AATGGGAGGGTAGATACGAGTGCTCGTAGTAGTTCAAACATTGGCATCAGGGCACACCTCATAACGTTGCTCAAATCGATAAGATAATATCAATGGAATCGGATCCAGAAGGAAGCGAGAGATTACCACAGATGTGTCACGGGGTACGACTAAGGGACTAGGTGTATGGGTGCGGCAGCAGTGGGTGGTTGACATAATTTGCATAAACGAAGAGCGAGGGAAAAACCCCCAAAAAATACCTACGAAAATATGTATGTATCACCTTTCGGGTCACATATTTTTCACCTGAAGTCGCAGCTACCTGAGTTTGTTGCCTAAGTCTTTTGTTTGTCCTGTTCTTCTGGAATGAGAGTTCGATCTCCGTAGCAATTTCTGGAAGGGTAATTTCGATTTTGTGACGGCTTTGGCACGCAAGTGAAATCCAGAGTTAAGCCAGAGAATGCATGAAGAATGTAACTGAAAGGACACTCGTGTGTTTTCTCTACTTACTGAAGGTTATGGCCTATGAAAATTTCTGGAAATTCATTGCGTATGCGACATTTTAAACAGATTTACTTTATGATGCATTTCTTTGGAAATTAAGGAGAGGATCAATGAATCAAAAATCATCCATTCAAGGTATGTAAGGGGTACAAATATTTAAGCATCTATAGAAAAAGCATTCCCAACTCCCAAGCAACGATAGCGATATCGAAAATATAAAGTATTGCCCTGACAATTAATATTATAATGGTATTCAATGAACTTGTATCTCTGCTCGATAAATGAATTGATTTGGATGAATAAATCTAGAAAAATCTCCTTAATAGTTTACTCTAATGATGTCTGCCTTCTGTCACATTCCAAACGTGCGTAGCACCCTTTCGGCAAGGGTATCTTAAGATGTGCACACATTTTATTTATAATATTTAGCCTCTGGCAGACCGGCAGACAAACCGTCTCGAGCAGCTGCTCTTCAGACTTCAGGGGTCGGATCGGTCGGTCTTGTCGGTCTGGTCGCGCCATTTCCAAAAAGGCACGAATTTTTATTGAGATTTATTTTGATTTAATTTTGGTCTGCTTTGGTTTTGCTTGGTTTTTTTTTTTTTTTTTTTGTATGTGTTTGTCTCTGTTTTGCCTTAGGGTTCAATGCCAACAATTTCGCTGTTTGGTTGGTGTTTTCTTTTTCATTTTTGGAGTTTTTTGGATGCTCACAATTTTTGGCATGCGACCTGCACGAGCCTTTTACGATCGTTTAAAGCCAGCCCCCCCCAAAAAAAAAAAAACAAAATTGATGGCAATCGTTTTGGGGCAGCGCTTTATAGAGAGGCATCGTCTGTCAGTTGTGCGGTTTGTGGTGTGTGCCCTCTCCGGTGTCTGTGTATCCTGCAAATGATTTCATCGTCATGCTTTGACGTGCTTATGTGGGCCTTAATTGTTTTATTTGAGTGCCATTATGTGGCACTGGCACTGGCAGGCACTTGGATTCGAGTTGGAGTTGGAGCAGCAGCCAGCCGGCTACCTCTTCATCATCATCATCTTCTCCTTCAGTGTCTCGTTATGATGTCATGTTCGCATTCAAACATAAAGAATTCTTCCACTTTTTTTGTTGTATGTTTTATGTTTGAAAAAAAAAGGTTGTTCTACTTTATTTCCACATTTTTCGCGGTTAGACAGGCGTCTGTCTCTTTGTTTATTTTAACACATTTGTCGTAATGCGTCATTGTCATTACAAAAAAACACAAAAATAACAAATAATAAAAACCCCACTAAACTAAAAAAAAAAAAACTGGAATTTTGTGTTGTTTTTGTTCAATGTTTTCCCAAGTCAAAGTCGAAGCCCCACCTCAAGAGTAGTTGCCAGAGCAAATCTTTGCATAGACGTTACAAAATGGATGACCCCTTAAAAAGTGACAACCAACACCAGCCGTGTGACGAGGCGACGGACGAGACAGCAGCAATAGTCACTAAAAAGCAGCTACAATTACAATGTCAATCTGTTTTGAAAATGTTGTAACAAAAGTTAGGTTAAGCTGTTAAATATTTCATTTTTGTTTGACTTGCTGATAGGGCAGAGTGCCTTACATATCTATCCTTTAGAACAGCAAGGGACACGAGAGAAAGGAGATTCGAGTCGAGCAGTACTGTGCCTCGTGATGATCACGACATGTATTTTGTTTTTGCATTCACGGTACAGATATTTTTGTACTCGAGTCTCAGAACTTATTAGCTGCATTTACGCGCAGCATGTACTTTGTTTTTGCATTCTGATGCATTATCTTTTTCGATTTTCGCTTGTGCGTTATTATCATTAGATCATTATAGGAATTTGATATTAGTTCTATAAGAAAATCCATTTGATATTTCGTCATCTGTAAAAGTTAAACAGAAAATTAATTTGGAATGTAATTTTAACTTCTGTCACTTTGTTACTCGAAATTATTAAAGCCCCTGAGATCTAGATCATCAATAAAGTACAACTGGTAGACAAATTTGGAGTTATGATCTATGCTAGGCCTGTCCCCAAAACTATTGGGAGATACAAAATTAAAATGCATGCATTTCAAAGAAGATTTTCTTTCACCAACCATTTATTATTCATCACAAAAACGTTTAAGTTTTGGTGTAGCCCTCTAATAAGGCATATCTTATCTTTGAAATATAGCTTGAGTGACTAATTGTGGTCAATAATTGAAGGCTAAGGCAATATTTGAACCTTTTGGTTGTGCTCTTTGTGTAAAAAGATATGGAATTGTAAAAGCGAAAGTGTGGAAAACCCCAGAAAACGGAATGAGCAAAGTTTGTAAGACTTCAAGAACTAGACAGGGAAGTACATAGATATGTAAATATTTATATTTATGCATCATAAGTTGTATTCAAATTAATAAACTGTGAGAATACAGGGGAATATCTCTGGGATGACAGATAACTTAACCCTTCGATCCCCTCGTAGAACCTTGGGTTTCCCCCTTTAAAACAGCTTTGATTTTAACTTAACATTTTTCACTCGAATCACATGTCTTCTTACATCAAGAAGATAAATGCCAACAAATCTCAATTACTTCAGCATTACCATTTAACATTTATATAGTAATCTGCATATTTATGGAGACAATATAATGGTTTAATATGCATTCCCATGCAGGTGATTAATATGTTACCTGGTCGTAAGCGCAGCAACAAAAGTGGCAAACACTGATATGTGATAAATGTCCGTGACTATTCCTAACGCATCTGCTCTCGGACCTGCTCTATCTTCGTATAACTTATCTACGAATACAAAACTTGGCACTCGCTTAATTCTAAGACCTCTCCTCTCCTATCTGTCCGTTCTATTCTGCACTTTCCTTCGTATCTTAGCATTGCTCTCTCTCTCTCCCCCACTTATATTTTTTCTATCTCTTACTTATTGGCCTCTGATTTTGGCATGAGAGCTGGTTATGCAGCTGCGGCCACAAAAATTCCAAACATGCGCTTAAATATGTACAAAATGCAGTTCTTAAAATAGTTGCAGCCCACAAGTCACATGCCGCCGCCGTCGCATTGGACAGTGGAGGTGTGAAAACAAATATTAACTTCAGGTCCAATCACGTTTCAAGATCGAGGTGAATTCTTTGACGTGTTCGCTTGGTAAATGACACGTCTTGGACCTGCAATTTCCAGCATTTATTCCAGCTTTCATTCCATAAACATTTTGCCAGAGCCATCGCCAAATGCCATGACATTTATGCTCTGCCCTGCCGTCTGCTTACGAGTATTGTATTTTTCTTTTGGCTAATGTCAAGATTTGGCTTTTTATGAGACGGCTATAACGCGGCTAAAACTTGAATTTATTTTAAAATGTGTATAAATAGTGCTTTAAAACGCCGCTAATTGTTGAACCATAAAAATAAAATCAACTCAAATCAAAGGAGGAAACCACATAAAACATGAACGGGGAAGACACGAATATTTGTGGTAAATGAAAGGAAATTTTTAAACTAAATATTTACTATGAATTTCTGCTATAAATTTGTTAATTTCTGGGACTGTACATGTTCTGTTTGATTGGTTTGGTGGGAAACTGTTTAGAATAATGTCACACACTGGCGTGGGACATTTTTAAATACAAATATTTTTACAGTTTTTAAATTTTTTTAAAATTTAATTTTTTATTATTTACTGTACATTATGTGTATTTTTGATTGTGTTAAATCATTAATCAGTGATAGGTTTGCACACGCTGGTGCAGATAATCCTTATATACTAAAATTTTCAACACTGAAAATTAAAAAAAAATATATATTCGAATGAAGTATTTTGGTATGTAAATATAGGAAGGGTTTCCGATATGTACTCGTAGAGTGCGCAACACCTCTATCACTTTCAGTGGGACTCCCAAGGGGAACATAAAGTAAAGCCTCACATTGCTGCTCGACTCGACACGCACAAGCGAATGCTCACGAAGAAAATTCCCAAGAACTGCAGAAATAAAACAACATGCATTTCGTGTCCATGACGCGGTTAATTGATGATAGATCTGAGTTTAGCTGGTAATGGTTTTGTTGTTGTTGTAAACTAAATTAAAATGTTGTTTTAGTGTGTTTGAGTGTGTTCTGTCTGAACATCACAAAATGATACATAACATGGTAAGCCTCAATATTGAGAAAGAGTATATCAAACAGAAAGATTAAACAAAAAATAATAAAAACTAATCTATGGTTGGGGGTCCAGCCCTAATGATAATGATGCTGACTTGCGTTTGTGGTTGCTGGTTTGCTGGTGGCTACTGCTGCTGGCCTAGTCCAAGCACCGTCTCCAGGTCCGAGTCCAAGTCGGAGGTGTAAACCAGTTTGGAATCGGTCGGTGTGCCGTTTGTGTTAATTGTGTTTGTCCGCCACGAGTCGATTTCAATTTGCATTCATTACAGCTGATATTTTGTTGTATTTTTATGTGTGCTCGCCGGAGAACGAGAATGAGATTCAGTATTAGACACACACCCACTTCTGGCCCCAGTCTGATCGCAATCTTCCTCTTTTCAGAGCCAAAAACATTGGTAACTGTGGGACAGCCATCGAGCATCGATGACAGCGAAGTGCTCGACGAGATCAACTTGAATACGAGCAGCGAGGATTCGAGTGGAGTCAGTGGTGGATCATCGACGGCATATCTGCGTGGCACTGGCGATGGTAATGCCAATCCCTTGCTGGAACCACCACCGGGCATAGCAAACGATTCGTTGTTGAGTCAGGCGGCCTCATCCTTCACAGCATTGCCTGCGGTGGCCTCCAATGTGTTTTCCACCTTCTCCAAGAGAATCTACGCGGGCACAAAGGAATCGGAAGAGCCGAAATTGGACATCCAACCCAGGTACATACAGCAGGCGGCACACTACGCTCCACCGCCAGTAGCTGCAGCACCACCACCACCATTTTACGCGGCCCCACCCACGGCAGTGGACGAGGCTGTTGCTGCCCCAGAGCCGCCCAAGTTCTATGCACCCACTGAGGTGCCAGCAGCGAGTGTAGGCATCGGCGGTGCACCACCCACCACATCGGGAAATCCCAATACCTATAGACTAACCGCCAGAAAGAAGATATACGCACCCATTCCTGGCTTCACCGAGCAGTCGGCACAGGGTCCGCACGCTACGCCGACTCCACAGACAGGTCTGCCCTTTCAGACGCCACCGTATCCAACCCAACAGGCAGCTCCGTTCGAGATATCATCGGCAGCTCCTTTTGATATATCTGCTCCCCCAGCAGCAGCAGCAGCCGTTCCTCCCACAGAGGAGCGCAAATCCGGAGGTGGACTCTTTTCACTGACCAATCTTGTGCCCACTGGCGTGCTGCAAAACATCTCTGGCCTTGTACAGTCAGCCACAGGCAGGAGCAGCGAGCAGTCCTCCAGTAATCCGCCACCAACTGGCGGTGGTTACTTTGACATCAACACAGTCGCTGCAGCAAATCCGAGCAGCTATTTCGGGGGCCCAACGGCGGCGCTACCACCAGCGGGAGGCTACTTTGTGCCTGCCACAGTCCCTGACGCAGCGACAGTGGGCGGATTCTTTCCACAGCCAGTCAATCCGATACCAACAGCTGCTGTAGGAGGATTCTTTGCTGCAGCTCCTGCTCCACCAGCAATTGATATCAATCCCATCTCGGGAGCACCACCAGTCGGAGGATTCTTTACACCAGGAGCAGCAACAGTTGCGCCCGCAGCTGGAGGATTCTTTACGCCCGTTCCGGCGCCCATTGAGATCAATCCCATTGCTGAAGTACCGCAACAGGCAGCAGCATCTATTCCCCCAACATCCACACTTGGAGGAGGATTTACTGCACCCCCAGGAGCAGTGCCATCTGTGACTACATCGACAGCAGCAGCTCCTCCACCAATTGGCGGATTGTTTGCCCCTAATCCGTCACCAAACGATATCAATCGACCAGCAGCAGTGGGTATTCCTCCCAGCTCCACAGTTGGAGGATTCTTTACACCTTCAGCAGTTCCAACTGTGGCCCCAGCAGTTCCCTTTGCTGCCCCAGTAACAGCAGCTCCTCCTCCACAAGTGGGAGGATTCTTTACGCCCGCAGGAGCAGGACCACCATCCTATCCAACTCCATTGGCTGGACCACCTTTGGGAGCAGCAACGACTTTGTCAGGACCACAGCCAACAGCAACTGTCGCTGGACCACCACCTGCCGCTGGACAGGCATCGTATCGCCTCCAGAAGGGCACACGTCTCTACAAGAGTCCTTTGACGGCACAGGAAACTGCCACATCGTCTGCCTACGGCGCGCCCTTTGCAACGCCAGCAGCTGCTCCAGCTGGTGCCATATTCAATCCATTTGGAACAGGCACTCCGGGCGTGCTCAGTCCAGGAGCTGGTCAGCAGGAGAGCGAAGGTAACACTGGAGTTGCACTATTTGCACCTTCTCCAGCACCAGTGGCAGAACAGACCATAGATCAGGGACCGGCTCCTCCAGCTGCCTTTGCATCGACAATTCAAGGAACCTCCTTCTTTGCACCACAGCCGGGACCCACGGCAACGCCATTCTTTATTCCACAAACGGTTGTAGAGCCCAAACGGGAAGTAACTCCTGTACCTATCCAGGATACAGCTTCCAGCCAAGGAGTATCCTTCTTTGGGGCACCTCCGACATCGGACATTGCTCTGTTTACGCCGCAACCCGTCCAGGAAACAGCAGCAGCACCTGAGGAATTGAAACCAATTGAAACACAAGGAATAACCTTCTTTGCACCACAGCCAGACCTTGCACCCACAGCAGCCCAAGAGATTCCACTGTTTGTTCCGGCTGCAGTTGAGACTCCTCCCGAAGGAGTTGCCTTGTATCCACCGACATCTACACCAGTCGCAGAGGAGAGTCCAGCCGCTGAAACGCCATTATTTGTGCCCGTGCCAACAGTAGCCACAGATCAGAGTCAGGGCGTACCGCTCTATCCACCAGAGGCCAGAGCCACATCTAACCTTCCATCTGGCGTTCCTTTTGCTGCATCCGAACATCAACCGAGTGCACCATTATTCGAAGCCATTCCACCCTCAGCCACTGAGGCAGGCGATTTCTTTGGATCTGCCGAAGCAGTGGCAGTCGCAGTCGCTGCTCCACCCAGTAGTCTGCCAAATACCGAAACGGTTTACAGCCCATTTGCACAGACGGTGACCACACCCTCCCAAGTGCTGCAAACACCAACGGCACAAGATTTACTGCCACCGCCCATAGGATTTGTTGCGCCACAACCAGAGGCAGAGACAGAGCCAGAGCCAGAGGTTGCTACCGCCGCTCCGCCAGCAGAGTTTGGAGGTGTTAACGAGGCCCTAGCCCACCCACCACTTGCACCATCGCCACTTCAGAGTTTCTTCTCGCAGCCAGCTACAGCCGCGCCAGAAGATTTCAACTTTTTTGCCACGCCTGGCAGCCAGATCTTTCCGGAACTGCCACCACAGCGGGGCATTGCACCGCCTCCTTTGGCACAGGAGCCTCCACCGTCGGCAACAGCAGCAGCAGCAGCAGCAGCAGCAGAGGGTAATATTGGAACAGCTCTTGGTTTCGATCAGTTGCTAAGCCAAACCCAGCAAGCGCCAAGCCAAACCAATTCCATTGGAAACTCAAACGAGAATTCCTATCAACAAAATTCAAGTGTGAATTCATTCTCTGGCTATTTTGGTGGCACAGCCACAGCAGCAGCAGCAGCAGCAGTGCCACTTGTTGCTGCAGCAACCAACTGTGACCCCTCCCATTTCTTTGATCAAGTGCCACAGACACAGGCGCAGACATCCGCCAACGAGGATCAGCGCATACAGAACTTCTTCAACAATCCTCCACTGCAGGACCAGCCAGCGGCACCGGGCGAACTCAAATACGACATAGTGCACAGCGGATTGCCCGTCAAACAGCTTCAGGCACGCTCCCAGACACCCATCTCCAATTTGGTAGAGCCCCCATCATCGTCTGCCTGCTCAGAGTTTTCGACACTGACAGCAGCCGCAGCAGCAGTAGCTCCAGCAGCCACCACCACCACAGGCGTCGACTGTCAAACGGGTGAGGATCTACTACAGTTGCATCAAGCCGAATTGCCGGAGGAGATCTTAAAGGAGCTCAGAATGGCCGCTGCTAATGCCACGACAAGCGAAAAGGCAACCACGCCACCAGTTTCAGTAGTAAGTGTGAATGGAGCAAAAATAACGAATTAAATCGAATTAATCAACTCCCTTCCGTTGTAGATTTATACGCCTGCTGTGGCCCATTGGTTCTACAAGCGTAGAGTGGACACGAAGTTTATTTGGACACCATTCAGTCACTATGATTCGGCGCTGCTTGAGACCAGCATCCATAATGGTAAGCCCCCCCGAAAATCGTCCTTCGCATTAGCTCTATAAGTGAATCGTTTTGCCCTTCCAGAAGATTCCACATTGATTGTGCCCGTTGAGGGTGGACGCTACGATGTCAACATCAAGGAGCGCACCAAAACCCCCATCTATTGGGAGGGCAAGGGCATTGAGGTGCGTCGCTGTTCCTGGTTCTACAAGGGTGTGGACTCCAAATATGTGCCCTATTCTGAGGACACTGCCGCACTGCTGGAATCGAAGTACAAACGTTCGGCAGATACCGGCGAATGGCATCAGAAGATCATGCTGGCCAATGGAGAGCAGGTCGTCTTCCATGGGCCAACGGTCATTGTGCATTTCCTGCCACAACCGAATTCGGACTCGTGGGGCGCCAGTGCACAGAGCTCGATGCGGCCGCGGGTGGTCAAGAGGGATCTGGATGACTTTACCATCGAGCAGGGCGAGTCGCAGCGCGTGGATCATCTGCTGTTTATGGTCCATGGCATTGGTTCGGCCTGTGATCTGAAAATGCGCTCAGTGGAGGAAGTGGGTAGGTCAACAATTGTATATTGTATACCAAAAGATAACTCGCTAATCCTCGAATTCCTTGACAGTGGATGAATTCAGGAACATTGCCCAGCAACTGGTTCAGTCGCACTACAAAAACTCCACAGACATGGGCCTGGTGGGTCGCGTCGAAGTGTTGCCCATCTCCTGGCATGGCCACCTACACTCCGAGGAGGAGGGCATCGATGAGAAGCTGAAGTCCATTACCCTAGAGTCGATACCACGGCTACGTAACTTCACCAACGACACGCTGCTGGATGTGCTCTTCTACACCAGTCCCAAGTACTGTCAGAAGATTATGAATACGGTGGCCGATGCTCTCAACGAGGTATATCTGAAGTACAGATTCAGGCATCCCGAATTCAATGGCGGCGTCTCGTTGGCTGGTCATAGTCTCGGCTCTCTGATCCTATTCGATCTGCTGTGCCACCAGGAGCCGCTCAAAGAGAGCGAAGAGGAAAATAAGGTGAGCTACACAAAACATTCAACTTTAAACCACAATTGACTTTCTTTTTGGTGCAGGAGAACCCTGACCAGCTGCCGCAGAAGCATGAAGACAGCTACAAGAAGGTGCAACTACCCTCCAGCGATATCCTGCCCAAGCAGGTCAGCTACACCATGGGTCCGGCTGGCACTGGACAACCGGTCATCAATTACACACAGCTCATCTTCCATCCGAAGAAGTTCTTTGCCTTGGGCTCGCCAATTGGCATGTTTGTGACCATTCGGGGCATCGATCAGCTTGGCCTGGACTTTCATCTGCCCACATGTCCGGGCTTCTACAACATATTCCATCCCTTCGATCCGGTGGCCTATCGCATTGAGGCGCTCGTCAATGCGGACATGAATGGTATACGTCCCGTTCTCATACCCCATCACAAGGGACGCAAGCGCATGCACCTGGAGCTGAGGGAGACTATGACGCGTGTGGGGGCAGATATCAAGCAGAGATTCATGGACACGTTCAAGACCACCCTGGACAGTGTCAACTTTCTGGCCACAGTGACAAAAGTTAAGAAAGAGGCCGAAGAGACGCTCGAAAGGCAGGTCTCAAGTCAGGTTAGTCGAACAATCATCCCATACAGATGGGGATATTGATGATTTCTTTTTAGGCTTCGTCACAGTTGTTCCAGAAACAAATCGAGGATCCAGATGAAAGTTCTGTGGCCAGCACATCCACAAGGACGAGAAATCGCACCGATTCCAACTCGACAACGGCCTCTGATCCAGAGTTCATAGAACTGGACTTTCCGCTGGGCAAGCTGAACGATTCGAAGCGCGTTGATTATGTGCTACAGGAGGCACCGCTGGAGTTCATCAATGAGTACATCTTTGCCTTGAGCAGTCATGTCTGCTACTGGTGAGTGTCTCCTACTCTCCATCAATAATTACAGCATAATCATTAATTTAATCATTTCCTTAACACAGGGGCTCTGAAGACACAATCTTGTTTGTGATGAAGGAAATCTATGCCAGCCTCGGAATCAGCACCGACAGCCAGGTGCCCCAGCAATCCATGACCATCGAGAGGCCCGGTTCATTTGATAGCAGTACTGTCAGTCAGTCTCTGTTGCCGATGTGAACAGGAACACAAACACAAACACACACAATAATATTATAAATATTTAGAAGAAATTGATTTGTTAGAAAAATTATGTAAAGAGTTTTGAATATGTGCAACGATAACTTGGTTATTTGGTATTATCTAAGTAAAACGTCCTTTTATCATCCGATCTAACAGATTACAGACCTACATACTATCTGCTGGGAAAATGAAACATTTTTTCGAGCTTTATAAATCCAACATTTATCAACTATTTACCTGATGAGCGACAGATGTACTCTTTGTTATTTTTGTAATATTGCGTTTATAAAATTGACCTTTGTAACATTTTATGCTAATGAAAGTGTATGTCTAACTAATATCTATAATAAATAACACAAGAAAATCATAAATTGCGACTATTTTCAAACTTGGATGTCACCACACTTCATGCACGGAAAAAGTAGGTGGTGGGAGCGTCTTTTGAAACGCAAAAATGAGTCGGGAGAGCGTAAATTCTTATCTTTCGACTGGCCGTGTCAAGGTATGGACAAGGCTCGTACAAAGCTCACCTGGCCATTAATTAATAAACATTAACTACAGGAATTACTCCACAAATAAGTCGTTGATATGTAGCAAATTTGTAGTTACCATGTAAAAATAGAAATTTTTGCTGACCTTTTTTCTTTAAACCGTATTTTATGAGTAAGTAAATGGGAGACATTAAAAGAAACCAGATTTTAGAAAATTGATTCATCTATCTGATAAAATTATATGTTTAATGGTTAAAGTCTTTACTAGCTAGTAATATTAAATCGAATATTAAAATTGAGGTATGGTATATGATTTTACTCGGTATATTTATGGTACATTATGAAAATGAGAAGGTATTTTTGGGTATATTGTTGAGGGTCAGACGGTATATTTTTTAGATAAATCCGCGGTCACACTGATGCAAAAAAAGTTTTGTAAATATTAACGCGAATTTGCACGAAAAACCACTAAAAATATTAGAAAATGAGGCATTAAAGTGCGAATCAACCTAACCATATGGTTTTAACTGAAGCACAGGTAGCACCAGCACGTTTTTTGGCCAGCAAGTGGCATACAAGGACGAAGGGGCATTAGATTACGTGCTGCTGTCGTGGTGTAAAAAAAAAAACCTTAATTGTAATTGCCCAAGGTGCCAAAATAGCTCTCTTTGCGAGTGTTGTCAGTGTAGTTGTAGTGGCGCGCAGAAAATGGAGCAGTGCAGAAAAGAAACAGCAAGACGATGAGCAGAAGGCAGCAACCAAGACGATGACGACGACGACGACGACGCCAGCAACGAACAAATACCAATTCATCAGGTGAGTGAGCAGCAGCAGGGAAATGCCTGTCCAAATATGTACACACACACATGCATACATACATATGTACATACAATAACTATGTCATAGGCGTGCACTTGTTGTTATTTGTGCTCGCGATGGCGATGCACGTCACAGCATTGATGAAGCGGATATTCGTTAACTTTATGTATTTTTTCAGCTTTTAATTATTTACGAGAATACTCACACACAACCACACGCATAGCCTATCCGGACAAAAGCACAAAACTGCGATAATATACTTACAAATACATGCCAAATTGAAGCGCACACACAGAGGCACAAACGAGCGAGGCAGTTATCAGTAGACGAAACCAAACCAAACCAACAATCTCTGTGCTGTAGAATAAACCGAAATGAGCTGGCTGCGGTCTAGTCCGCTGCGTCAGAGCGGCAACGGGGGCGGTGTCTCAACGGGCCACTCTGCCACGGGCAGCCTACGCCAGAGACCCATAGATGCGGCCACCGACTGTGATCCGCGCGCCTGCTACGACAGCTTCTGCAAGCACTGGCAGCAGGCCTACGACATCATCCAGCACTACGCCCCGCCCAGCCATGACGATGTCCTGGGGGTGGTCTCGCATCTCGACTATATGGTCACGCTGCTGCTGGTGGAGCTGCATCATTGCAACAAAGTGTCTTTACCCTCGACGGACGCGAGTGCTGCGCCAGCAGCTCCCTGCCTGGAGTACCTGCTCAGCGAGAATCTGTTGGACAAGCTGTACGAATGGGCCTGCACAACGGGCCGCTACGCCAATGCGGTGAGGCTAGAGCAGCTGAAGCTGTACGAGCTGCTCGTCAGTCATTCGCGGCATCAGTTGCTCTGCCATGAGCCCTTCCTGAGGCCACTGCTCAAGATACTGGCCTCCAGTCAGGGTGAGATCTTTCCGCCCGATCTGGAGAAGCGACTGGTCATCTTGCTGAACCAGCTGTGCGTCGTACTCATGCAGAATGTCCATCTGCTGGATCTGTTCTTCTTTTCCGCGCAGACGCAAGTCCAGGAACAGATACAAAATGGCAACGTGCCGCCCCCCAAAAGTGGCACCACCACCAAGTGAGTAGCAGAGCAGCAGCATTTGGGATTCACTAATTCAACTTGAACCACTTTTAGTTTTATCATTTTCTCGCTGCTCATCCCGTATGTGCATCGGGAGGGAAGTCTCGGCCATCAGGCACGCGATGCTCTGCTCCTTTGCATGGCCCTCTCGCAAAAGAACTCCAACATTGGCACCTACATAGCACAATACTCATCCATCTGTCCGCTGCTGGTGACCGGACTGGGCGGTCTCTATTCCCGGCTGCCCAACAGCATTGAGATCAGTTCAATCGACTGGCATCGGATAACGCCGGATGACGTGACGGAGATACCGGAGCTCACATTGTTCATGAATGCCCTCGAGTTTTGCAATGCTGTGGTGCAGGTGGCCCACGAGATGATCAAGCAACAGCTGCTGGACTTTATGTACCAGGGATTCATTGTGCCTGTGCTGGGGCCAGCCGTCCTACAGGTGAGACTCGTCACGTCTCTTTTTACGTGCAAAACTTGTCTTCGATGCATTTCTGTGGTGTTGGTTGCAAGCGTATCATTTTGTGTCCTGTTCTCTGTTTTCTGTTTTCTCCTTACATTTCGATGCTTTTTCATGTGCGAATGAGACGAATGAATGTTGCTGCTGCTGCTGCTGCTTGATATTGCAGTTTCTTTTGTGTGTGTTTCTTCTCTCTTTTTCCTTTTTTTTTTTTGTTTTCTTTTGTTTTGTGCCTTACCTTAAACAAACACACACACAAACACACACCTCGAAATCTCGAAACAACTTTTTGCGCTCCCCTTTTCGCAGACACTGAAGGGCAAACATTTTCAGACGAACATCGACTCACAAATCTCGGCCATGTCGTATCTGGATCTAATACTGCGCTCCATTACGGAGCCCGGTCTGCTGCGTGCCTTTGTCAAATTCCTGCTGGACACGGAGAAGTTCGATGGCGAACGGATACTAGATTCGTTGGTCGAGCGCCTCAACTCGCCAGATGCCAATCTCTGCATGGTGACGATGGCCCTGTTCGACACGCTGCTGGGCCTCCACTGCGAGGATCTGATGCTGGAACTTTTGCTCAAATTCATGCTGCCGGGCAAGCATGTGCCCATCTCGCACCGTCACAAGATCAACAAGATCGATCCGTATCTGAATAGCAGCGATTTCTTTCTGGAACTCTCACCGGACGTCTTGAAGCGTGCCCGCGACCTGGCCAGGCCGAAGAGCGTCCACGAGCAGCAGCCACCGTCTGGAGCAGCTGGGGAGCAGTCGCTGCAGCCAGTGGCATGGCCCAGCCTGCCCTCGCCAGCCATGAGCAAGACAATTGGAGCCAACTGGAACTACTATGGCCTCCACACCGGCGACAGTTTGTATGCCAACCTGCAGGCATATCTGTTCGAGGCTCACTGGCGGATAGCCCAGTGCCAGCGTGATTGTCTCAAGTGGGCGAACAGCTATCGCTATCAGAAATGGCCCCGCCACGGACAGGGCCGTGTCCATGCGCATGCCCTGGAGCTTGCCAGGCAGTTCTTCAGCGAATTTGGAGGTGGCCCACCTTTAGCCTTAGCTAGCGAATCGGCGGGGGAGAAACAGCTGGACAGTCTGCAGTCGATTGGCGAGTCCAGTGGCTATGAATCATTCAAGTGGCGGCCTGCCGACGAGGAGAGCGATGCCACCGACCTCACTGTGACAACAACCACAACCACAACAGCAAGTGAGGCGGATCTCGAGCACAATAGCAGCAGCATCAGCAGCGGAATGGGTGGAGCGGCGGCAGGCAGACGGGGAGAATCTTGGCGCATATCGCACAACAATCGCAACGAGCTGCTGATTACAGATTTGGATTTCTCAGAGGATTTGTTTGCGCAGGGCACCGTGAGCTTAGGTAAGGATCGAGACGAACTCCAATCACAAGTATCATATAATTTTTGCTGATCTTTTGCAGGTCCCTTTCTCAATGCCATCTGGGGAAAACTACAAACCTTTACAAGCAACTCTTTGTATGTGAATTTACACCTGACTGGGCTGATCACACGCCTGGCCTGGTATCCGCTGCCGCTGATCCACTCGCTGCTGCTGCGCTCTGACATAGCCATCACCTCGGACACCCCCTCCTTCCATCAGGTGTTGCGTATTCTCAAGCAGCAAATCGATGCCGAGCTGCCAGTGACCGAGGATTCGCTGGAGATAATCGATGTAGCACGCTCGTCGCTGATTGATCGTGAATTTCGACTGGTGAATGCCCGCAAGGGTAACGAGAACTCTCCCCTGCATCATCATCATCATCATCAGCAGCCGCAAACGACGTCCTCCCAGCAGCAACAGCAAGGACAACAGCGTTCTGCCTATGCGACACTGTCGGCAGCCACACCTGTACAGGCCACACCAACCAGCGCCTACGATCCGTTCAAGCGAAGTGATAACAAACGGCAGAGCATCAGTAAATCGATCAGCAGCATGTTTAGCAGAAGATCCACACCAAATCCCCCCTCCTCTGCCGGTGAGTAGTCAGCCAAGCAGTCTTTTCTGCATAATTTCTGCACATTTTCTTTTCAATGAAAACAAGAACTCACCAACTATACAAACAAACAAAAAACTATACAAATCTGCAGCGTTGGATGTTGGAAGAAACTTGGTTTCGGGTCGTAATAATCACAAAATCAGACACATATCACTCAAAACACACATACACATTAAAGCCCTGCATGAGCCCACAAAGGGGAACAAAAAACGAGAGTAAAAGGAGCGAGCATTTAGCGAGCACAAATCTCGCTATGCGTTCTGGCGAATGCGAATTATATCTGGCTAAAATCATAAAATCGTCTCGTAAAAATGCTTTGGTTTTTCGGGGTTTTCTCTTTTTCTCTCTCTGGTTTATCACACTTATCCACACATACACACACACACACACACACACACACACACACACACACACACATCTTGTAAAATGCCCCGCTGGCGTCGTCGTTGTTAATAATTAATTGATTTCTTTTATTTACTTTTTTTTATTGATACTCGTACAACAATCAAAAAACAAAACAAAAAACCAAACAAATCTTAGCTTCATCTGGCTTATCACAAATTTACGCATTCTTCACCGGTAAATATTTCACGCTTGATAAAAAGTATTTAAAGTTTTTAAACTAAAACCTAACCCAAAATAAAACAAAAATAAAACAAAAAAAAGTATCGGCCTAGTCTTGTTGAAAATGATTCTGTATTTTTGTTCCTGTAGCCTGTAGATAGCTTTGTACATAGTAAAATGCAATCCCCCCCACCCCACTAAAATGAACGAATTTTTTAAAATATAAAAGAAACATATGTGTAACCCCATTTAGCTGTTGGTTGTCGTTGTAATTGTTGTTTGAATTAACCTACCAAAGGTGTAAACATCGCCATGAGCTCTTGCTAATCTTGATACTGTCTTTTAGGAGCTGCCTCAACGCTGGCGGGGAATAACAACAATTCCGGATCTGGTGGCCAATCGCAGGCATTCCCTGGCCCAGGCACCTGTGAGACCAGCCTGAGCACTCACCCGCAATCGGGAGCAGCAGGAGCACGAGCAACGGGCACAGCGACGACAGCTAATGGAAACAGCAACATCAGCATTGGGGGATCGACGCAAACTCTCTCTGCCCACTCCAAACACCACGACGCATTCGTCGAGCACATTGCATGGCCTCGATGGTGGTCCACAGACGGGCAGCTTCAACTCGGAGCCCGCTTCCCTCGATTCGGTGTCCTCCATGGGAATTATTGCCAGCACAAGCGGCACGGAGCGCACCAGAGACGTCGCCCTGTGCGCTGTCCTGCTGGATGAGTGGCTCAAAGAGCTGGCGGCAATTGCGCAGGAGCAGAGCGTTGTGCTGGTCACCGAACAACTGCTTTGACATTACCGCAGAGGACCCTTATGATCGGATACACATGAGACGAATGTACACAATATTTTACGGATTTGTTGGCCTTTATTTATTTTAATCGTTTACTTTTACGAAACTATTAATTTTCATCTGTTAAATTATCGATATGATATTGTTTTTATCCTAAATATGTATGTATATTTTAAACGAACCCAATTTTTAACGAACAATGCCGCAGTTTTTAACACATTTACACACAGATAAATGATGATGCACACTTATGTAGACGCGTTAACCAGATATGATTAGGATTAAAGTTGTAAACTCCCGAATAGGACGGTGGATTCTTAAGTGTTCAGATGTAAACGTTTATTCTAATTAATATTAACATGCAATATATACAACCTTTATAGAGAGAATTAATTATATACTACACATACCATGTACACACACACATACATATGTATTTTTGCAATATATTTTATGCTTTTACTATGTACATACATACATATATAACATATGGCATGCATACATACAAATGCGAGATCAAAAAGCTTACCTTTTAGAGCGAACTTAAAAGTATTAAATCGGTCCAAGTTAATGAACATACCACACATACATACATGATATGATCCATATACTTTTACATTTGAGCAACATAAATAGTATATGGCAATTAAATTGTACCATGTTGTTGGAACTCTTTTCGTTCGTTTGAGGTTTTGCGCTCCAGAATCGATACCAAGCTACATACGGTAGGTACTACGAGTATGTGCATGTTAGCCCTTAATCAGTGGAGAAAGTTTGGCATTGGCCACGAACTACATATGAGGAAAAGTATGGGTTCTGGAGGAACAAACAGAAAAAGGCCTAGGAAGCCTCGGACCAATTCCTGATTATATGCGGAGCCGAAGATGGGTGCGCAAGTACGTCTTAGTCAAGAAGTTTCAATAGAGCTTGCAGTATTCGATAAATTAAGTTAGTTTTTCAAAACTTTGTTGGGAATTTTCGTTTTCATAAATTTGGTCTTATGGCTCCCCCCGAAATTGACTGAGAATGGATTCTATCTTACCTGCGCTGATGCCGCCAGAGGCTAAGGTGGACAAGGAATGGCCAATGCAGATTAAGTGCGATTTGAAGGAGGTCAAAACACCCAATAAAGGATAAATAAATGTATATTCTGTGTTAATTTGTAGCAATATTTGTTCAATAACTTTAAATTAATAGCTGAGACAAGAACTATTTGCAATTTCGATGTTCCGATATAAAAGTTGGCTGAAATCCCTCTCTACTTAGAATTCAAATCGATCCCCCCCCTTTCTAACATCAATTATTTCGCCTTCAAAAATATATTTTGTTCAAACCTTTACTTTTCTTTCACAATTCGAAGACTCGAAATCTCGGCCTCCAACAAAATTCAAAATTGTAAAAATTCGTAGTCTTTGATCATCATACAATCATGTCCAAGGGTACGGGACCGCTGTCAAAATTGTATAATGTCATCATACACAGCGTAGACAAGATTGTGCCCAAAGGAGCTCAGCCGTTCTGGCAGTCCCCGGCAGGTGAGTCAAACTCGTGCTGTAAACGATCCAAAAGCGATGCAAAACTCTTTCGTTAGGGCCGCGCACTGTTTTCTTTTGGGCCCCGCTCTTCAAGTGGGTAAGTATCAATACCTACCGTACCGCCTGAATACCATATAAATGCTGTTCATTTAGGGATTAGTAGCGGCCGGGTTAGGCGACACACTGAATCGCCCGGCTCAGAATATTTCGCTAAATCAATCCGGCTCCCTGGCGGTAACTGGGTTGCTCTGGTCCCGCTACTCGGTGGTTATTATACCCAAAAACTACAGCCTGCTGGCTGTCAATGTGGCTGTATTTTTCATCCAGTCGTTTTTGGTAATAAAACATCTTAGGTGGCGCAACGACAAGGCCAAGAATACGGTTTTCAAGCACCCGTACTATCCCCTTTGGTCGGATGATGATTGGTGATCTGTAAAGCCACAAAACTGATGATAAATAAAACAAAAGACACTTTTGGTTTGCCGCTCTGGAGCTTTACCGGTTTTATTCCTTTATTTTTTTCTTTCGCATTCTTGAAATCTTCATTACTTTTATATATGTAAGTTGCTTGAAACTCTAAGATAAACATAAACTAATTTATTCACGCCCCCCGTGCAGATGGTGTTTTCGGGGGCGTAGGCTTGGGCATGTGACTTACGACTAAAGAACTACAATATGTAACTACTACGTAAGTATCTCGTTTAAATGTTGGATAGTGCAATCAGCTTGAGTCCTCTGGCTGGTCCTGGTGCCGTGACTCGTGCCTGGGGGGCCTGCAGGGCGGCCGGGATAGTGCGCACAAGCGCTGCTGCGATTGGTCGTCCTGTCGCCAGTCGTCCTGCAGCCAATGCGCTGCCTGCAAAGGACTCATCGTTCGTGTTGGGGATGGATGGGTGGGAGTCCTCGGGTCGGGGCTCGCCTCAGGCACAGGTTCAATCACAACGGGCCTGCAATGCAGTTGGCAAACCTCGTGGTCCTCGGCACACTCACACACACACACACACACTGGCATGGATGTGGGGGCAAGGACTCGGTGCCCGGCCAACAGGCGTATGGTTGATATATTACTTAAAGGACTTTCCATGCGCATGTGAGCGAGGCAGGCCAGAGAATTACTTGGCTGACTTGCACCAATCCCCGTAGAGCGTGTGAGTGAGTGTGCTCCTTCCTGGACTGCTTGACATGTTGCCAAATGCATTGCGCGCCGGTTGTCCTGGCCTGCGGCTGCTTCCCCACCCCGTGGTCCCCCTTTGCACCAGGCTTCAATTCTGCACTGAACTGCCATTGGTTGGTCAGGCCTCCGATAGTTTCAGTGTGGCTCTCTGCCGGCGTATCCTCCCCAATTGGCCAACGAGGTTTCCTTTGGGCCTAGTCGCTGCAACGAGAAAGATGAAGTGAAATGGTACACATTAGTTGTGGCTCTCACTGCCAGGCACCAGATAAGTCATAAATTTTGGACACCCATTAGGGGAATACAGTAGAGCAGGGAGCAGTGTTTCACAATAGATAGGAGATTTCAAGATCCTTCAAGATTTGGTAATAAATAAAATGAAACTTAGTTTTACTTTCTACAACTTGAAGCTGAATATATCAGAACTCTTATCTCTTATCTCCAATTTCAGTGTCAGCTACCATCTGCTTCCCTTTCGCATCCCTCCATCATCTATTCTTATCTCACGTTTTTATAGACCTAGGCCACTGTGCCACCGTGGTGTTGTGGCGGTGGTGGTGGTGGTGGTGGTGGAATGGGTAATGGGCCTCTGCCAAGATGGTAGCTTGCCAAAATCTTGACTACAATTTTTCTCACGCTCGCTTCCAAAAAAAATCAAAAACGAAAAAAAAACATTAAATGAAAGCAAGAAAGCATCTAAGAGATGGCGGGATGGCAATGAACTTTATTGCGTAATGCAGAATCTTGGCAAGCGGCTCACTCAAAGGGGATTCCCCATTCCCCATACCAATTCTGAGAATTCCGAAAAACGACGCTACAATGTAATTAAAGCGCCACCTGCCGATGGGGCCCTGCCAACGCCTGATGCGTAAACAAACGAAAAGCTGACATAATTTATGATCATGGAGTTTTGCCAATAAGTTTTCGAGATGCCGGCCAGACACACTGTCTGCTTCGATCAGCCTCGGATTCGGAATCAGCCTGAGAGTCTCATCCTCACCCTCACCCCCATCATCATCATCCGCATCATCATCCGCATCATCATCCTCTTCATCGCTGAATGACTTCGGGAGAGTTCTAGCATTGCCTGAGGTCAGGTCGATGGTCGATGGTCTATGGACTTGACGTCACATAATTGTGCTATTGAACAGCTGCCAATTGCGGCCCACCACAAATGTTACTCATTCCAGAAAATCCCGAGTTTCACTCCTCTCTCTCTCTTTCTTCTCTTTGTGATTACTGCTGCACGTGTTAATTGAATTATGGCTATCGGAACTGCTCCAGTAAGTAATATGTTAGGGTAGGACTAGGACAACACTTGGTCTTAATTGCCTTTGAAGCAGCTGCTCGAACTCGCTTCCGTTAATTTATGAGCCTAATCATTGCCAAATTATGATAGATTATCGCTGAATTTATTTTTGCTTATAGGGATCCCATATTCATTATTCATTCTAGAACATGGGCGAAAATGTTCTTTGCTTTGAAGTGTGTGAAAATGTAAATTACGTAAGCGAATGCATTAAGAATTCATTACTTGATCGTCATTGGCTCTTGTTTAAGTTGATGAGAAGTATATAATAATAATAATAATAATAAATATAAAGATTTTTAATAATTAAGGGTTATGGTTTTAGTAACCTCCTCAAAGATTTATTATAGAATTGTTTGTATCATATATTCCAACGATCTCATCATAGATGATCTCATGTACTTTACCATATATAATACTATATGGGAATACTCAATGTTTTTAAACCATATCCCACCAAACGAGTGACCAAAAAAATGTGATCATTAAATATTAAGAAAAATTGTATATTAATTTTTTTATTATATCAAATATTCTGCCCCCGTCCTAAGAAAATCGTCTATATTATAGAAAGCAGACGGAACGAATTAATAACGTCTCACCGACAACGCAAAAACTACGAAAGTCTTTGACGTTTTAAACAAATTTCGCTGTCTAAATCGGTTTTCCTTATTTTTTTTTTTGGGCTTTTGTTGTTTCGGATCTTTGCACGTTGTTGTTGTTGTTGTTTTTCAATGTTTTTCCGAGGGAAAATTGCTTTTATTTATTTGTTCTAGAAGCTAAAAGTCGGCATTTTGGTTGGTTGTATTTTCCTACAATTTGTTTTTCCGTTTGAATTTTCTTGATTTTGGTTGATTTTGCCTCGCTTTTGCCGTGTAGAATTTTTCATTTACCTTGCTATTTTCGGACACACTTGACGGGCGGCCCGAAGAAGATCGAAGACGAAGGCGAAAGGCGCAAAAAGCGATAAAACCGTCAAGAGCCGAAAAGAAAAGTCCGAGAAAATTGCGCAGAACTGTCGCCTGCCCTTATGTATACCTCCGGGCGGTGGGGTAATGGGCTGGGGCAAGGGGAAATTGTGTTATATACCATATATAAATAGGTATTTAGACTGGCTCTCTATGTGTTCTTGGATCTTTGAGTTGCGATGACGCGCAATTGACGCGGGCAAAGACGCGTTGAAAGCGTCGCCGCTGCGTCTATTTTTGTGGACACAACTAATACTACATCCACTCGTATAGATAGCGCTGCAAAAGATACATTTACAGATACAAATGCATCTGGTTGTATGTTTCGTTTTTCGTTTTAATCTATTTCAGTTGCTTCATCGAAAATGTATTTCGTGTGGCACTCTGGTGTTCGTTCGGTCTGATTTTTTTTTTGCTTTCCTCCATCTGTCTGTCTGCCTCTGTGGTTTTTGTGTCTATAGTCTATAGGGCGATGCGGCACAAATTGTAATTAGTGTTCGTTTTTCTTCGCTTTAATTAGAAATTTTTCGTTAATTTGCACGTTTTCTGTGCATGTGTGTGCCCATGGTAAACAAATGAACCTTGAGATGCAGTAAGACTGCAGTTTATTTATCTGATAATGATGCAAGCAACGAATTTGGGGTCCTAATTGGGTTATACTAGGGTACGAAATGAAGGTTGCGGGGCACCTTTAGGGGTAATACTCGTACTGATTATATCATAGATCATTCCTTTGTGCTGAAATTTCGACACAATTTGTGTTAATTTATACTGATATTTTCATAAGTATTCAGATCTTTATGTGTTTGCGATAAGCATGAAATTATCGTTAGAGATTTAGGAATTTAGCTACTCGAGGGGCAGCACTGCCATGCCGCCATTGGATATTGAGCAAAACAGTGCTGCCAATGGTCCGAACTAAGAAAAGATAAAGATAATGGAATGATTTTATTCCACAATTATATATTTTTTTTCCTTTATTTCCAAAAACTGAATGAAAATTTTTCTGCGTAGAAAATTCTCCAGATGTAGGCAAGCAAAAAGTTAATGATTATTTTTTGTGTGTATTTTGGAAGAAGAGCAAAAGCGTTTTAGCGTTGATTTGTGTGTACAAAAAGCCTTTAAGTTGTTTTGTTCACATGGGGTTTTATTAACTACAGCTGGACAGCTAAAAAAGAAGTGAAGATGACTCAAAAAAGAGTGGCAGAAAGAAGAAATGACTAAGAATGTTCACAACTGTCAGGGATGCAATCCCCTTAAAAACTGAAAGTCAATCAAACGAAACAAGAAAATGAAAAGCAATAAAATGATATACAGAAAAATTCGGATTCTGAAACGGAATCGGGAAATTGGCAAACAAATCTTTGAATATTAACTGTCTGGCAAGACGGCCAAACAAAAAAAAAGAGAGAGAGAGACATTCAAAAACAAAAATTCCTTGAATATTGGCCAATAAATTTTACAAGACGTTGACATTTGGCAAACCGGCAGGCTGAAACGGCCTTGCCAAAGGCCAATCAAACGTCATTATCTGGTTATATATGTATGTGATAAACATACAATAATCATAATGATAATTGGACACCTGTTGGCAAGTGCCAGCGAAAGTCTGGCCAAGATTTCTTTTGGCCAATTCAACAACAATCGAGCAGCAACGATGACGTTTTCAGAGTGAGAGAAATACTGGGCAACTCGTCAAAAATGTGCGTCAGCAATTAAAATCATAATGAGATTGCCAAGTTAGAGGCGCCACCAGCCCGATCCGTTGCCAGACACGCGACCCCTGACCACGCCCCTGCCACTGCCCCACCCCCCACACACATTCCGCAGGATGCGTTGCCAACGCTGCCAAAAATCTTGGCAGCAGAAGATGCCGACTGCTGGCCACGTTTGTTGATGTTTATGTTGGTTGGGATATTTGCCTTCCAGAGGCGCAGAGGGCCGGCCGGGACGTTTTCGTGCCCAGTGATGGTGCCAAACAGGAAGAGGAATCAAAAAAGGAAGGAAAAAGCGGAAGAAGAGGTATCCACAGCTGGCAAAACGAAGATGGGATACGCTTTATTTTGAAAGAGTTCCCTACTAATTCCCTAAAAACTTGGAACTACGGTAGACATAAAAAACTTGGAAGATTATATAGGTCTGCGGTAAAACTTTGAGAATGATTACTAAGAGTTGGGGAGAAGAGGGATAGATCCACAACAGTCTTAACGAAGTTCGATAAATATAAATATTATAAAAACCACAGAACCTGCCCATCCAAGGAGCTACTTCCCTCTTTTATGTGCAGAAAAAAAGAAATTTTTCTCATTAATATTTGTTAATATTTGTATTAAAAGATTATCACTATTGCTACTATACAGTCATTCCTTCTCTGCGTGGCAAACATCCGTTTAAAATCGAAATGCCCTCTGCAAGAGTACAACCAGGAAACCCTTTCGGAAATGCCTCCAAGAACCCCCATCGGAACATGTCTTGAAAGAAGGAACATCTCTTACGTGTTGACTGGTTGCTGCTGACTGCAGGCTTTCCCTCAGACTGGTAGGCGCTGCCAATTGCACACTGCGACAATGCGGCGTATACGTAATGAAGGAGGAGAAAACTCAAACCCCAACCCAAGCCCCAGAGCACATAACGTATACGCAGTGCTGGACAAAGTTGCGGACCAAAATGCATAACAAATAAATAACAAAGGCCTGGGCCATCATTATAAAAAAAGCAAAGAAAAAACTGAAAAACTTGGAAAAAAATATGGAAAGAAGAACGTCCGCTCAAAGGATGGCCAAGCGAGAGCGGGCGCACTAATAAGTTTTAAGAAAAATGAGAATGAAAAATCGTTTGTGCATTTTTATAAGTGCAAAAATATGCAAATAGAGTAAATCATTACTGGCTGTATACCGAGCACTGGACCAAAAGGCAGACAAAGTTCTGGGCGGCTCTGATGACTGCAGGAGGACCACGAGGAGCACCACTGAAATCATAATTTGGCGATTTATCTGTTTGTTTGTTTTATTTGCCGCCTGTCTAGGCCATTGAGAATTATGGGTTTCGACTGTCGGCACAGCTGAATCAGACACAAAGTGGGTAGGAAAGGAAGCGGGCAGAGCCTAAAGGATGTACAACTTAAATTCTTGGCGGGGAATTCGTATTTAATGTTTGTCTTTGACAAGCATTTCTCACTGGCAATTCAATTAGTTTTAATTGCTCGACTTGGCGTTTAAAAATGTCCTTCGCGGGCCATCAAAAAAATCAATGCCGGACATAAATCTTCAAGCCTTTCATTGCACAGCGAAATGCAAAATGGGAATCGGAATTTGAATCCCAATCTCTGGCGGAAACACTGATAAAGGGACAGAACAAGGAGCCGGAGAGTGAGAGAGAGAGAGAGAGAGACAGAGCCTTTTGTTGGCTGGACATATGCAGCCAGTCAAGGGGAAAGGACACAATGCCTTGGACTTGGCTGCGTTTGGTTTAGTTGCCAATTTCCTGGCAAAAAAAGTAAAAAAAACCAAGATTGAAAGAAATGGGTGCCCCCGAAAAAAGAGAATTATTTGCCAGGATGTCCGAAACATTGTTGGTGTCAACAAATTCCTTTTCAACGGACTGCAAAAAAATGTTCAACCATTGCCAGCAGAAAGACAGAACGAAAAAACTGAAACCAAGTGAAGACAAAATTAATGTGGAAACATCAAGGAATGCCCAGAGGGTCCTGCTCTAAGTCCTTGGCAATTAAATTTCGTGTTAATTTTTTGGCTCCCCCTCTGGAGAGAGAAAGGGGGCTGGAGAGAGCATCGCCTTCTTTCTGGCCAATTAACTATGGGAGAGGTTGAAAGATTTTTAATTGTTCTAATGGCTCGTAAATCTCTTTTGTACAACTTTCTGATTGTTGGAACTTGTTGTGTTCTTCCGCACTGCAGACAGTCATAAATTTGGGAATTTAAAATTTCGAAAATTCAACTTAAAACTATGAAATTTAATGGCACCCATCGGGAACTACAAAGGCAGACAGACACACACACAGATATTTACTCAAAATTAATTGTCCAAAGTACAATGTACTCTGGCGTGTTTTTTTTTTTGGTTGCACAGTCATAAAAGAGTAATCTATCTATGAGATTAATTTCTGATATATGATTTTCGTTTCATCTTGCGGCAAATGTTGGGGGCAATCTGTGAGAGGGGAATGTGGTCATGGCTCTTGGTGTGGAGCTAAGTCTGAGACCCGTCCCCGCACGTACAACTCATCCTTCGCCTCTGTTCATTGAACCATAAAGGAAAGCTGTGATAGAGATCGAAGGAGGCTGCTGGTCTGCCAGTGTGAAGCCCTTGTTGTGGGAGAGAGGACCTTAACGTTTTGGGGCCAGGCCTATAAATTCGTTTGCGTGTCTGACTAGATGCTGGATGACTCTTCTCTGGGCACGCCCCCCTATGGCGCATTTAACATTTTCGTTGTCATTTCTGCATTGCACTCGGCCTTATTTATGTGGCGCCAGGATGTGGCCCTGTGAGCTCTTCCTTTGCGGGTTTTTTGAGGTTTTTCGGAGGATGAGACTTTACTCTTTTGGCGGGCGATTATCACCATGTGGCAACAGCTGGTCATGTCGGATGAGAGGCGGTGGCCTGGGCGTTGTGTGTGTGTGTGTTTCGGTTGAAAGGTTATCATAAGCTTTGGGTAGCAGCCATAGAGCCATTGAACAGCATAGTTTAAAAGGTAGTAATTGTTTTGGGATGAAATTTAAATACATATTCTAAGGCAATCAATAATTTACTGTGTTACGTTTTTCTTTTAATTTGTAAACACATTTTAACTTTAAGTGTTCCTCTAGAATAATTTTATAACATATTTTAATACCTTTTGTATACATGACATTTTCTTCCTCTTTTACAATTATCTGTTAGTATATTTTTATAATTATGTAGTATTCTCTCATCCAAGTATATAAGTTTAAGTTTATTCAACAAAATAGGATTAGCTAGATCTACCTATATCCATTTTATACATATGGATAGTGAATAGAGGATCTCTCATTGATCCTATCTGTTCATTAAGCTGGCTGTAGAAATATATTTTAGTTCAACTCTAAATTAATTTAACTATCTTTGTTGTCAGGTACTTTATTAATTTTTACTATGTATCTGTCAACTCTTGTCTATTCTGTGAGTCTTAAGATCGAATTTACCCTTTCCTTTCTTCACTCCCACATGCACCTCTAATTGTTATCCCTTCCCTCCATTTTACTTACCATTATCAGGCACTCTTCCTCGCTCAGATGTTCTCCCTTTCTCCACTCCTCTCCATCATCATCCATGTGTGTTCATCATCTTATGCTCGACGAGGCCAGGGGAGTGCCTCGCGCTGATTGAATTTAGGCTCGATCAAGATCGATCAAATAATTGTCTACAAGTGCTTGTCGTTAACACATATTCGATATAACCAGGTTTATAATATTATATATATTGCACTAAGAGTTCAAGAGTATTCTTTGTTCTATTGCGTTTATTTATAAGTGTCGATTAAGTTTCAATAACGTCATAGTTATACTTGTTTGGGGGGATTAATTATATAAGTTATTGCTTTTGGTTGAGTATTTTATGTGTGATTAAATTATATGCGATTATTGCTCATATAGAGTTTTAAGCACTACGTTCACTATGTTGAAATGTTTGTAACTTTATTTATTGTTATTTTTTTGAAGGTTTTTGTATTGGTTTTTGCTTTGAAGTGCCTCTCTCTGTGGATGATGTTTATCCTTTGAGGCTTCGCTGGCGTTTGCCTGGCTCCGTTGACGTGCTGTTGGTCCAGGACGATTCATTGCATTAAGCCTGGTCCGATGAAACAATCAACATTGCCAAAGGTTGGTTGTTGTTCCTGGCTCCAATCCCACTTCCACTTCCAGTTTCAGTTACAGTTTTTTGTTGGTTGTTGGCTGGGTCCGAGCCAGGCAGGGCTGCCGTCATCCTGCCACCTCCTTCTGTGGCACTCTTTTTGGCACCGCATGTTGGTCAGTTCACGTCCTCACGCACACATCCACACACACACACACACTTTTGCACACACTTTTGCACCACAGCAGCAACTGGTTGTTGGTGTTGCGGAATGATGCTCCTCCTTCTTCTTCTTATTTGTCTTTTAATTGATGTTATTTCTGTATGATTGCTGTATGGTCGAGACGGACGTAGGGGAGGAGCATCCTGCTGGTGGGGTCCAGTGTGGTCCATCCGTGTGTCCATTGGCGTGTGGGTCTGCGTGTGCGGAGCTGTCAATTGGCCATCAACTGCTGTTTGACTCGATCTTGGCCCTGATGTTTGAGTTGGCTAATCAAATGGCGAGTGCGGCCAAAAAAGTACGCTGCTGCCAGTGCACTGCTCTGCTTTCACTCCACATCCTGGCTGCGTGGCAATGTCTTCTCAGGCCACCTCAGCCTCAGTGCCATGGCCAGGGGTGTAAGGGCAAGGGCCAGTTGTTGTTGGCCACTTTTCTTGGCTGGCTACGCGTCGCTCAAACTCAAACTCAAACTCAATTGGCAGTCCAAAATCCGCAGTCAGAACCGGTGGCCAAGGGTCCGTCCCGGTCCCGGTCCCGGGGCCGTGTAGCCCCGGTCCGGTCCGGTGTTGGCTGCCAGCCTTTTGTTGGCTCACAACACCAGACGCTACCAGTTTCTTGGCCAACTGACTGACGACTGCTCGCACGGGCTGCCAAAAAGCGCACCAGAGGCCCTCGAACGCTGTTTCTCTCTGTCTCTATCTCTGTCGTCGTCGCAGTCGTCTCGCTGCTTTTTGTGTCGTCATCGTCAGAGCATCGGTCCCATCTTCCACCGCCCATCCACAGACCCCCACTCACTCTCTCTCTCTCTCTCTCTGTCTCTCTCTCGACATTGCTCTCCCATCTTTGTCGCTTGCAATTCCAACTGGCTGCGCTCCAAGCGTACGACAATCGCACAAACGGGACAAACGATCCCCCACACCCAACACCCCACCACATTTCCCCACTTTCTACAGTTTGGCGCTCGTCTGGGCTTCGGCAAAATTTTCGTTGCCAGCAGCAGAGCTTTCTCTGTGTGTTTTGTGTGTGTGTGTGCTCTTTTTGTTACTGCAGTTCTCTCTCTTTCTCTCTCTCTTCTAATGCTCTCTGTTTTTGAAGCAATTTTTCGAATATTTTTGGAATACTCACGTGCCCGCATAGGAGTCCAGAGTGTTCGGTTTGGCACGCGAAAAAAAATAACAGTACTGGAAGATTTATGAGAGCACTTGTTTTACGGAACATGCGGAGTAAGGCTGTGGGGGCTCCGTTTTACATAGGGGAATATGTGGGAATTTGTGCTGGGATCTTTGCTGATTAGGAGATCTGTGCAGCTGTAGAAAACTTTTGATCTATTCGAAATATTTCATAATTTGAAATGAAGAACATACTTAGCGAACAGAAAAGGGAGCCCCAATTAAAATCAACATAGAAACTATGAAATAATATAATATTTCACTTTTTTCCATGGTATCCAAGTATATTGAAACTTTATCAGAAGGGATAAGAAGATATTTTAGAATAATCGTAATATGGAAATTTATATAAGCTTAAAAATTACAAATAGATGGCTACAGAGATTACAAATAATAATTAATGATTACAAAGACGTTTACATAGTGTACAATTATTTGTTTTATAGACTTTAACAAACTATTACTAAAATTCGATCTACCTGCATAAATACAATGCTAAAAGATGCACAGAGTTCTGTGGAATAATCAAATAAAACCCAAGTTCATGCATTCAAATTCATTCATTAGAGTTTAATTTGTGAAACCATTTCTAATGCGTTCTCTGACTTTGGTAATCTAAAATCTCCAAGCAATAGAAGTTCCGCTCCCCAAGAATGACTAACCTAACTAGTTTAATATTATAATATTATTTTTGCTTCTCTCGTTTTCCCCGGCTGAAACCGATTCCCTCAAGGTATCCGCGATGACAATCTGTGCAACAATCAATTTCCCGACCCCAATTACAAGTATGAATGCATATGCAATAGGATAAGGAACAAGCAGATCTGAAAGAAGATATATAAATAGATGGGTTTGCCTTTCGACAAACGCATAAACGCAGTCATAAAATTAGAATTTAAATGAGGCAGTAAAAAGTGCAAAAGCTACAAAAACAGAAGAGACCGAAAAGAACGTCTGTCTCCAGCGACTCAAGGGTCCAAGGCCCTTGGAGAGCTGCTCGAGCTAAATGAATGCAAATGGTCAACAGGTTTTAGCACATAGCAGCAAGGACATCTTCACAGGACATATCGATGCCAATCAGAATAAGTGGAACCCTCCAGAACAACCCACTCCATGCTGTCCCTACATACAATACGCTCCGCTCGCTCTACTCATCCTGAGTGGATACTTTGTCTGAGTTATGAAACGAGTGGCGCCAGTGTAAAAATTGTATGCAAGTGCAAAAATTTCCGATGTAAAAATGTAACCAGTGCTAATAAATTCCTAATAAATGCATGTTAAATAAAGACCACAGTGTTGTGCATGCACTTAAAGAATCCAAACTAAAGTCAAAATTAAAGCCAGCTTGAAAAGATTTTTATTATAACAAAAAAAGAAGAAGTTAAAAAAATTCTTAAACCAGAGTACTTTTACGTTATTAAATGATTTTCAACACACTTACGGGTAAAACAGAAATGAACCCAAGGATCGTAAGGCTTACCAATTCAAATTGATAACAACAAAATCCAACATGCAGGTCAGCAGGAACTTTCTCGCAGTGTAGTGTAGGCAGCCCTAGAGGAGGATACCCGACCGTGTTAATTGAGCACCGATTACGCTGCTATTAATGGGGGCGCATCGTTCCCCCCCAACACGGATCGAAGGTCGGACGAGAGTTAGTTAACCGCCGAGCGAGCGGGAGAACAGCAACAAAAACTGTGACAACTATGCGAGCCACACGTTGACCACAGCAGCACGTGCTGCCAGCGGCAAAAACAAGCTAGCCCTCTCCGAAACCCTCCTCTGTCACTCCTCACCTCCATGGCCACCTCACCGTAGGGGGTGGAACTGCTGTTGCTGTCGCCCTGTTTCCGCTACCCAACTAAACGTTTATTTATTGCCCAAACAGCGCCAAAGGACAACAAGGCCCAGCCTCCAACGAGCCACCTAACCGCACCCCTGAAATTCCTGCACCACTTCAGCTAGACAAAGGCCAGGCCAAAGATAAACATACGAGTACGGGTGCAGGACTGCCATACCACCAGGATTCCCCGATGTTGCCAACAGTTCTTCAACAGCCTGAGGAGCAGGCAGCAAAAAGCGTGAGAGGACCGCCACACATCTTGATTTTTGCCAAACAAAACATTTTTGTCGAGCACTTGCCCACCGACTCCGCATGGCTATAACTGTATTTGGTTATGTTAGTCACGTGGCCTTTACTTGGTTTTTGCCAAATTGCTGGACAGAACGGAATAGTGGGGGTGGTTTGGTGGTCTGCTTTGCGCTGACAGGGGAACGGGTTGACTTGCCTTGGCAGGGAAACCGCAGTTTTTATTTTTATAGTGGCAACCAAATGGCTTCAAGTGTGTGGGGGGCTAAAGGGAGTTACTTTCCCTTAACCGATTTGATAGCAATATTTAATCGTATTTACCATTCCTTCAACTGCATTTCCAAATTATTCAACATATCTTAAAGGTTCTTCCAGCTACTTTTAAAACACCTCTCAGGAAAACATTTACTCAAGCAGCATTTCTCTTGGCCACATTTAATCCCGGATAGCTTCACTCCTAGTCCTAATATGTTTGTCTGTCAGTCTTATCTTTCACTCCTTTTTTGTCAACCGCTTAAACCCAAAAACCCTTGTCTTTTTTCTTTGTGTTTAATGCCGAACAGGAATTTCTAATCGTTTTCCTGGAAATTACCTTCCACACATTTCTACCGTTCTTTTTTTGTGTGAAGGCGTCGAGTTGATAATTTCCTAAGCCCGCACAGGGCAGACACACAATGAACAGAGAGTCACCCACATTATCGAAAAGTTTTCAGGTCATTAAGTTTTGTCGAAGAACCCGAACAGAGCCCGACCAGAGGCAGCCATTCAGGGAGGTGTAAATTAACCAAAAACCAAACCAGAGTTCTGGCAGTGGAGAATTCTGGTAGGAGGCCAATAGTAAAACAATTGAAAAACTAAAGTGGCAATTAAAGTATGTTTTAGAAATACTTTGGAGGATTTGTGCGAGCAATTTAATGCACATATGCCGAGATTTATGTGTTTTGTTCGCCACGCTTGGCCAGAAGTGCAAAACAAAGACACATTTCGCTTTAGACAATATTTTTCTTATGGGGAAAATAACCATTTATGGTATGGGTAATGCTGTCTCTTCGAGCTGGGGCCCAGATCCATTGCCAGGGCCATCCCCTTCCAATCTTTGTGTGTATTCTGGCATTTAAATGTACGAAATTGTTTTTGCTGCTCGTTGGCATCCTCTGACAGGATGCGAAAACGTTTGAATATTCCTTCGTCCCGAACATTGTAGTATTTTATCCTTTTTTTTCTGTAGTTTTATATTTATTTGGTTTTGTCGCTGGCTGTCAGGGCGAGGAGGGCGAGGACTGGCGATTTTTTGCCTGGCCGCGTATTTGGCATCGCGATAGCGCCAGGAAAATGTCTGCCTCACAGAACTAAATGCAGTTCAAATATCGGCCAGTGCGTCAGGGGGAGTGTCTCTCCTTAGCCAGCGACTGTAAGAGCCGCGACTTAGGCAGACACTATCCGCATATTAATTTCATTTACTTTACTTGTGCTTTGTTGACGGTCGGTCAGTCGTCTCGTCTGCATTCAAAATGCGTTTTCGCGGTGCAGAGAAAGAAGCGAAAACATTTTTCATTTGCATTCAACGGTAGCTGCGATTGAACTGCGCCTGCTTTTGGGTTTTCTTTGATTTTCTTGTGGGTATAGGGATAGATATATGTAGATAGATGGATGGATAGTTCTTCTGTGAAACCAGGGCACAGCGCACATGTTGTGAAAGTTTAACTGTTGCCAATGCCTTGATTTGTGCCCACCCCACCTGGCAAACAGCAATCACACCATTTGATTGATGCAAATCCTGCTCGAATAACTGAGAAGGTGATTGTGGATAGCTACTATAGCTAGTGGTAAAAGCTAGAAGGCCGAAGAAGACAGCTCTTGGGCAAATTTTAATTAATTTAAATGCAAAGCATCTTATTTATGTAACTTTTTCGTTTCCAATATCAAAATGGTAAATATACACATTGAAAAGAGAAGGACTTTGAAAAATAGGATTGCACTTTAAAATCAATATATGGCGCGCAATAATTACTTTGGGGTCGGATCCTTGCCTTCTCTCACTACGAAAACAAATCCCCTAGTTTTTGGGTTGTATTTCAAAATCAATATATAACCCATAAACCATTCCTTGCCTCTTCAGTATGGAATACAAATCCTAGTTTACATAAGTTATAAAAGCTCCAGCAATTACCGAATATTTCAAAATTCAAGTAATAATAATGGTAAGAGTTCCCATATTTTAATTTATAATTACACTGAAATAGTTATCATTTACAGGTGGTCTGAGCTTAGCTCCTGTATTAACTTATAAAACACTTACGATATTGAGTCCAATATTACTCATGGTTCTTCTTGTTGATTGGAACAGAGGCCAAATGGTTACCGACCTGGACTTGTTGGTGGATTGCTAAACATCACGATCGTCTGGCAAAGGATTTACTTAGATTTTTGATGCAGTGCCACGCAGCGTGTCGCACACCTGGTTGAGGGGCAAGGTCATGGGGCGCTTCTGGATGTTATTCATCCACTTAGACCAGGCACCCTCGCACGTTTGCATGCGCTTCTCTTTCGAAGGGAATATAAATAATGTTAAATAAAAGAATTTAGCTACGATTTTATTTCCTTTAAATTTTCCTGTTGCTTAAACATTTTTTTCAATCACTTCAATAGCTTTGCATACTTTCAGAGCATCCGCATACACTTTTGCACATTTTATAATGACAAAAGACGCCGCCAGTCAACATTTGCTGACGATATATTCCCAACAGGTGTAGACGCCGTGCCACATCCAATTGCAAAGCTATTTTGGGCCATGAGTCGCCTCTGCATCTCTCTGCCCCCTTTGCTGACTGGGCTATAAATATATATGCATGTACGTGTATGTATGTATGGTGTGCCTGAAGTGCAGCTGGAAAACTGTCTAAATGCAGTGGCGGGGAAATGGCAAACTCTGCAGATGAACTTTAACCCGCAGGAATCGGAAGTCCCCCGAACAGCATTTCCTCTCGATTGTTATGGCCACCGCAACATTGCGACACAAAACACTTGAACGAACAGAGCAAAGCATCAGTGGGGCTTCTCCCTCGCTCCGCGAACATTTTTTGTTTGAGTTATTTTACGAGTTTTATTGGCTTTTATTGGCAACGAGATTTGAATTTTTCAAAACGACACTTGCCGTCTGCTGCGGGTCCTGGCCGGGTCTGGCCGTGCTCTCCTTTCTGGGGCTTAATCGTTAGTCATTTTTTATGGGCATTATTGTGCCTGCAGGGCGTCTAACAGGTGGCGTCCGGACATGTGTTTCGTTTCCTCCTCCTGGACATAACTTAGCCGCTGATTGCACTTTTATGGCCAAAAGTTTTCTCTGCCAACCAAAACAGACAAAATTCATTGCGATAACAACAAACTGCTAATTAACTGTTGACTAAAAAACCGCTTAATCCTTTTAGCCCTAAATGTCTAACCATCAAAAGAAGATGGGAACACAACCATTAAAGAGAGACAGAGAGAAAGCGAGAGAGGCATCAAAAAAGCGTGAAATCCAGCCATCAAAAAAGTGGGAGTGCCATTCAAAGTGTGCCGCATAATGGCAGACCACAGACAGACAGACAGACAGACAACTTGCTAATTTTCATGCGCCATTTAAGGGGTGCATACTGGCTTGGAAAGGACCTCCTTCTGCTCTGCCTGGCCGTGTCCTTCTGTCTTGCCTGTCACGAATTCACTTGACAACTCTTTTTTCGCCGGATTTTTTTTTCCTGGTTGCGACAAGCCCAGCCTCCTTGAGAGCTACTTAAAATTCAGTGCCTGGCATAAACATCCTTAAGCATCCTGCTAGTCAACAGTCGGCAGTTTGCGATGCCAGCAATGCGCTTTAACGATATGTCAGAGATTAGAGAGCATTACAAATGAATGCTATGGCAATTAATTGGGGGGAATTACGAGTGGGTAGAGGAGTGTAAGTATCAGGGAGTGCGGGACTTAATGTCTACGAGAGCATGTTCTCATCGAAGCAGTTTTCTCAGCAATTGTTCGACGGAACTAAGAACTACTGGCAGTATGTTGTATAATGCCACGGAGTTTTGGCAATTGAAGGAAATCTGTTTATGAGAACACTTTTCATAAGTCATTTTCTTTGGCTAACCCCCCACACAGCATTCAGGAAACAAATGCAATAATAACCACAATAAAATTTTATAAAAATGAGCATTACATGTGAATGCTCAAATAGTAATCGTAAAACATATAAAAGCCAAGAGAATCGCCAACGGCACTCGGAAAACAAAGCAAACAATAATTTCCCTCATATATAAAAAGCCAGCAAGGACTGAGAGCCAAGTGCAGGAGCAGCAGCAGCAGCCGCAGGAGCTGGAGATGGAGGAACTCTGTTTTGGGCCAAGAAGTCAAAACGGATGTACAAATTGCAAAGCATAATTCAAATTGTTTGACTTTTTGACAATGACTGCGCCCACACCCACACCCCCACCCCCAGGGCTCCTCAAGGCTCTTATCTTGGCATATGTGCCATTGAGCGGCTGCCTGCTGCTGGACGGGCTGGCGCCATTCGTATGCAATATTTTTGTTATTCTTGGCTATTTATTTAAGCTCTTGACTGCACTCGCAGGGTATTAAAGTCTGCCAGGCCACAGCCCTCACGGATCACAGTGCGTATGAGTCACATTAATTAGCTAAACTGCCAGAAAGTGCGCTTAAAAAGCAATTAAATGTGATTAGCATAAGTTCCCTCTCACTCGCACAATCACACACACACACACATGCACAGCCACTCACATCACACAGATTCAATCTCTAAAATAGCTGCATACTTTCTGGAGCAGCTTTGCCCGAAAAATCATTGCATACTTTCCGGCTGCCATTAGGTTCGAATGAGTTTTTGGCGGTTTTGGGGTTTTTCTGCCTCTGGCACGGCCCCATTTGACTTAATTAGTTGGCCGACGCCAACAGTCGACGCCCTCGCCTTGCCCCGTACCCCTCTCCACCCCATGCACACCCCCACTCCCGTTTTTTAGGGGCCGAAAAACTATGAATTTATTTGACACTTGAATAAATGCGGTTTTTGCGGCAGCCAAAAACGAGGAAAAATGGCAGAAAATATATTTTTCAAAATGGATTTGCAGTCAGCAGACAAAAATCTGAACCATCCGATTCCCATCCCCACATACAGGGTGTCGACATATCCTTGGTTGATATATGTATAACCCATGTCGTGGCTCTTGTTCCGCAGTTCGATTCACAGCTTCGCATCGCAATTTCCGTTTCCTGATTTCCTTACCCTCTTAGTCCGGGTCCTGCATCCCAGCCGTAGTCCCTGGCTGGCTGTGCGGGGGGTATGGGGTATTAGAGCCTGGTTTGGGGGCGTGTGTGTACTTATCGTTTGTAAAATACCATTTCTGGGCTCTCCCCCTAATTTATGAATGCCGCTGCTAAGTATTCGTCGCGCTGGTGGCAGGCGGTAATTGTGATGTGTGTGTGTGCGGGAGTGCGTTTTTGGCTGGGTTTGAAGATGAACAAAGGGCTAACAGAGAAATGATGTCATCAAGGGGAGGAGTAGCAGGATTAGAAGGTGAATAACCTGATTGGAGACTGAGAATTGAAGCTAGATGAAGAACATAGATTATTCAGTTTGATTTTTAAATTCTACTAAAATAAAATGCAAACTAATCGCTCTGATCTCAGGGTACCCTAAGTGAGGTCTTCCACTCAGAGCCCAGGAACACCTTTCACCTATTCCAAGCCGTCTCCCCTGCTTGACCATTTAATTTCCCCTTCTGAGAGACTTTTGCACCTGACCTTACCCAGAAATTAAAAGCGCAATGCACCTGAAAAGCACACACAACTTAATACACACACTTTACTACACCCACAATCCACCAATAGTCGTATCTATTTATAATTTTTCGATTACCAGGCCCGAAGAGACTCCCGAACGATTGGGAATTCCATAAAAAAACGCTCGCACAATTACTATATTAACAAGTCGAACACCTTTTGATTGCTTGGGACCTCAGCTAATGTATGCCATTTAAATTCAGCCCCTGCCTTGGTCTGATGTCGAAATAGCAACGCTACCACAGTCCATTGCAGGGAGTCGAATCGAGCGTGTCGCATACCATCCGCTCGAGTAGGCCTAGAGAATAGAATCAACTTATCGAAATGTTTGCCGCCTTATCAACGTTCCTAACATTTGTGGGCTTCTACGCTCTGGCTTGTTATCTGTACGAGCAGCTGAGAGCGCCCTACAGACTGATTAAAGTGCGATGGTTCACCGACGAGAAGGAGCGGCCTGCACTCAAAGAACGGTTTGGAGAATGGGCTGCCATCACGGGAAGCAGCGATGGAATAGGCAAGGAATACGCTAAGGAGCTGGCACGACAGGGAATCAATGTGGTTCTAATCGCCAGAAATCAGGAGAAACTTCAGGCAGTTGTTAAAGAAATTGGTAAGTTATTTTTTTTTGTATCAGTTCTGACGACTTCTGTGGAGTGGACTTCCATGGAATGTTCTATTCTCCCAAAATTAACTCTGTCACTCTTCAAAACATTGTCCACAGAAAGCGAGTCCAAGGTGCAGACCAAAATTGTGATAGCAGACTTTACCAAGGGTGCGGAGGTCTATCAACATATAGAAAAGGAATTGGCAAATCTACCCATTGCGATTCTAGGTAAGCAGAACCACAAATAAAATATATATACCAGACCATTAATGCGATCTCTTTCATCTCCTACAGTGAACAATGTGGGAATCGGAAACCCTGGACCCATCCATAAGTGGACACAGGAGTCGACCCAGAATATAATAGAGACCAATATAATGGCCGTGTCGCAGCTGTCGCGTCACTTCCTTCAGCGCATGAAGGCCGAAAAGATTAAGGGAGCCATCGTGAATGTCAGCTCGGGAACAGAGCACCAGCCGCTTCCCTATGGGGCCTACTATGCGGCATCCAAGGCGTACAATCGCAGCTTCACGCTGGCCCTGCAGTGCGAGGCCGCTCCGTACGGTATCCTCGTCCAGCTGCTGTCGCCCGGCTTTGTTGTCACCAAAATCAACTCCTATTCGCGGGCCATCATGAAGGGCGGCCTCTTCATACCCCCGGCAGATGCCTATGCCCGCAGTGCCGTCAACCAGCTGCGGGATGGAGTCGATGAGACACCTGGCTACCTTTGGCATCATGTCCAGACTGCTGTGATGCTTGCCGTTACCTGGCGGATTCGTCGTTTCTCTGCTCTCAAGATGTTTCAATTCCTGAAGTAGAAAATCCAATTACATCCTACCTCACAATTTGTTCGCCGACATAATGTTGATATCTATATATGTATATCGTTTTTTGATAATACATATACTTGTAGACAAAAACTTGGCGTCAAACATGACGGACGGGCAGACGGAAACGGCTATATCGACTCGGCTATTGATCCTGATCCAGAATATGTTCATATATTTTATCCCCCCACATCCACTTCGACGACAAAACTTATACATATATCCATAAACATTTCGAGCAGCGGGTATAAAAGCTGTTTTAAATGTGGCGCGCTTCTCTGCTTTCGACTGTTCCGATTTATATTTCTATCGATATTTACATTTTATCACGACAGCTGTATCGCAGCACGTGCTTCAACAAAAATACGCTAGTGGCGCCGCATATTTATTTAATTTGCAACAAAAATACGGCAGGTGGTGCTGTTAATGGTAAGTGGAAAACTTTTTAAGAGTTTTCGTTCAAAACTATTTTTTTTGTTTTTATCGGGATTTTAAATTTCTTAAAACATAAACAGTGCTTGCATATAATCAGTCTATCAATATTTAATCATACTAAGTATGGTCGTATAGTCTGTCGTCGCGACGCTTGCCGCCCTGAAACGAATTCATTCTGCCAGAAAGTGCTGTCCAGACCGGCAGGGCAGGAGACGCGGTAATATTGATTTTATATTCAGTGTACAACATTTGCATTCATTGTGTTCCTTGATAGTGAGTTTAAAATATATTACTAGTGTATTAAATATATGTAGCTTCTGGTATACTATAGTTTATAACCTAATATGGTTTTAAATTGGTGATACAGAAACGCTTGGTAAGGGCCCTCTTACCATGAAAAGAACCAACAAGTGACAGTGCTAGCTGTAAATGTCTAGACCAAATGTACATACATTCGTCTTTACATAAGATTAAGTCGATACAGAGTTTTAATGCTATTAAAATATGGCGAAATTAAAAAAAAAGGAAAGCAAAAAATAAATAAATAAGTAATAAGATTTTAAATTCAGAAATATTTACGTTTACGTTCGTGTTTTATTATTATTCGGTGCTGATATAAACTGGTAAAACAAGTGATGATTGTTCAACACATCGCCAAAATCTCTTAATTTCAAAATACAATCCCAAAATGTACTTAATTGCAAAACACATTAAGCCAACATTTGCACAAATTACAACCAATATTTGCCCTGCCAATGTTTTTTGCTAGCCGGAAAGTGTTAACGGTCAAAGTTAATTTGCTCAGTACAAATATTCATCAAAGCCATTGAAGCCTTCCGTTGTGTCGCCAACTGAAAATGCACTTTGCAAAACTAGTACTTTGTTTTTGTTTGTGGCAAATGAATGTTTTCTTTGGTTCCGTTGTTGATAAGCTAAAAATAAATACAACTAGTGGTATTGAAATGATAAAAGATAGTACAAAGGAGAAGGTTAAATGAATGAGAGAATTACCAGCAGAATGCACGAAAAGATTATGGGAAAATAAAGGAACATAACGAAATATGAACTGAGAGATGGATACGAGTATCTGTGTATGTGTATCAGCTGCTATTAATCTAGAATATACATAAATAAAACCAGATATTTTAATGGTAAAGGTACATATATGAGCGCACTCCTGATACCATAGATTTCATTGTATAGATTGTACCCTCCCAAAGATTTTCATAGAATCGTATCTGATTCTTATTTCTTTTCGCTGAAACATCAGCTATAAAAATCATGACCTTTTCAAGTGTAAACTCAGATGATCAGACCCATACTAGTACCTGCCTAAAACAATAATTATTCCAGATCCCTTTACGCAGATTGACACATTTGACACGCACAAAAAAGCTAATTAAAAAGGTACGACCATAGGTAAAAAAAAAGCGCCTCAGGTGTCGGGTCATTGCATGCTAGCGGACAATTTCTCGCATCTGTCGCTTAATTGTTTTCAATTAGTTCTACGCCACAAATAAGCTCATTATGCACTTAGCAAATTAACCGAAATTGTTTTTTTTTTTTTTGGGAGCGAGTGACAGATGTCTCTTCAGGTCACCTCTCTCATGGTAATTAATTGTGAAGACGCGCAGATTTTCGTAATCTTTACACCAGCCTCTAAACACTCGACAGCAAAACAGTAAAAGCCACAAAAAGTTTATGATATAATGAACCGACGAAAACTGTGTAAAACCAGGCAAAAGAGTCAAAAACTGCAGTCGTCTTGTGGCTCTTTTACTGCGCTGCTGTAAGTAGGTTTTTTTTTGTTGTTTACAATTGTTACTGGTTGTATACAAAAATCCGAAGCCCGAAAGCCCAAAAATTAAAGCTTAAATCGGTGTCCGACGAACGAAGTCGCGTCTCGATCCATTCAGTGCGTGATCCACGCTCAAAGTTACAACTTGTGCCGCCGGAAAGAGGCAATGTCCATAGTGCGCGAATGACACTCGATTTAATTTATACAGATAAGAGGAATATATTCAATATAGTTGCAAGCAGTGATAAGCATACGTTCCACAAGCCACCGCAGTCCAATCCAATCCAATCCAATTTTTATTATCACCGACCGAAAGTTTTCGTTGTTTTACTATATAAAGAGAACTCTCTTAACCATGCAGCCAGTACTGGAATCTACAATTTACAAACTGCTAAGAATGGCATCGATCTACGAACTTATCACCGGCTTCATCTACACAGTCGGCGTTCTGACGATTGCTGCCTTTCTGTACGAGAACTTCAGGTCATTGGTGGGAATAATCAAGGCCGTGTTGGAACCGTATTTCCAGCCCCAATTACCAAAGACTTTGGTCGAAAAGTATGGCAAATGGGCAGGTAAGTTGTATAATCATCAGTGTTGCTTTCACGCCTCCTAAATGTGTATGTAAATATGTAGGCATAGAAATTTTCACCGAGATTTGCATATTTGCTTGCACCTCAGGCAATACATTTTTTTTTTGATTTCGTTGCTTGTTGATTTTCTTTAACATGCAAATTGTTTAACCTAGGACTAGAGTGAGGGTTAGATCTACATATATGTACTATGCTTACATTATCTATAGAATTCCTAAATCACACATCATTAACTCATTCGGTATCAAATAATTCGCTTATGTATAATAGCTGAATATTATGTAAATTGCATATGCAATGCATTGAATAAAACTCTTTAATAGCGCACAATTCCCACATTTAATAAGAATTTCGTGAGTTTTATTCTTTTAAATCATTAGTATAATAGAAGCTAGCTAACTCTCTTCCTGTTCATTTGTAAAACGTGTATATAAGTATGTGTATATGTAAATATGTATATTGTAAGATCATTATAATAATATTTCACAAATCGTTTCCCAATTATATTCACCAATTAAATAGCTTTCAGTGACATGACCTTTAGTGGTTTTGTAAAGGTTTATTTAATATGTATTTTGAATCCTATATTCATTTACATTAATAACTTTCATAGTCGTTTAATATCCTATATTCCCAGGGAACCTTCATTTAGGTTCCCATATTCCTTGACTTTAAGGGACTCTCATTTTCAGCCAGAATATTATACCCATTTATTTAAATGACTTTCACTTAAAATTCAGTTTCCCAGAGAATCATACACTATTTTATTTTTGTTAGCCAATAATAATAATAATATCCCACAAAGCTTTTGTTGATATTTCAGTTTATAGAGCAGCAAAAGTCATTCAACTCGAAACCGAAAGCCGGTTTCGGTTTGCGATTTTGACCCTCCCCCCATATTTTTATGTTGATTTCTTTATTGTTATTTTATTTTACAATTTCGCTTTCAGTCTCGTGCTTCTCCACGAACAAATGCTAATTTTACTGTCGCTACTCGCATTTATTGTTTTAAATTAAAAATTGACCTTCAATGCCAGTGGGTGATCGTGCTCGTCTTGATCGAATTCTGCATATTTTGCCTAATTGAATTATGGATATTTTCATGCCTCGAAAGGCCGATTGAATCGAACTGCAAAATCTTTACCCAAACTTGCCCCATTCATAATTATCTGGCAACACGCAAGCGCAACAATCGATGTTGGTGGTGCTTGCTGCTGTTGCTGCTGTTGCTGGTCATGTTTCCGTTGCACAAATATTTGGCAACCAGTAACTAACTGGCTGGAGCCGCCACTACCGAGCAGGTCTCGCTTCTACCAGTACTTCTACTGTGACCATTCATAATGTTTGCATTGGTTTCGACAACCACAGGCGGCAAGCATTGGTAACGGGCAAACTGGCAACAGACGAAGTGCATAAAAGACACCAAAATAAATAAAACGAACTAATTAGCAGACACATGCAAATTTGTTAAAGATATGGTACAGAGATCTTTCATAATTAGGACTCCCCTAAGGAAAGTGTCGAAGTTTTAAATTTAAATTCTTGCATCAGAGTTCGGATCTCTAAAAGGCAATGTTTTTTTTGTAACAACACTTTCTGTAGGCCCGTTGGTAGTTTTATGTGTTTAATGATTTGTTTATAAATAAATAAACAGTTTCAACAGGAATCTACTCGAACAAACTTTTTTACATACATAAATATGTACATACAAATATGTATGTAGCTAAAACCCCTTTGAACAACCTTCACCTGTACGATTACTCATAGCGCGTCCTTTCGCTTCCTTTCACTTCACAGTCATTACGGGTGCCACAGATGGCATTGGCAAGGAATATGCCAGAGAGCTGGCTCGTCAGGGCCTCAACCTGGTGCTTGTCTCTCGCACCAAGGAGAAGCTGATTGCAGTCACCAATGAGATTGGTAAGCGCAAGCCACATAAATCTGTATCGTAACAGTTTAAATAATTTACATAATTCTTTATTACAGAGAGCCAATACAAAATAAAGACCAAGTGGATAGTGGCGGACTTTGTCAAGGGTCGCGAGGTGTACGAGCACATTGAGAAGGAGCTGGCCGGCATCGAAGTGGGAATATTGGGTGAGTAAGGGGTACATAAAGAGTGGCACTGCCGCACCGGGTCAGACAAGTGCTTCATCATTGTCCACAGTAGCAAACGGCAATCAACAGAGTGGCTTTTTATTTGTGTTTCGGTTTTGTTTTGTAGCCCCCTCATTTTTTTTATGTTTCTGTCAATGTCATATAATAATAATTGCTTGCAATTATAATGCCTCTTTTTTTGGTCTATTGGCGAGACGAAGAGTAGTGTGTGTGTGTGTGTGTGTGTGGCTTAGGCGATGTTCAAGTACATCGGTGATGTAGATGGAATTTTATTTGCCAAAAATTCATAAACGCTTTGACGCGCTTCAGCAATTTACATTTTCATTGCGTCTGGCGGTAAAGAGAGATACGCGCACAGATAGACCTTGTTCGCGCTTCAAGGCATTTTCTGATACGACCTGATCTTGATCTTGAACATGGAAACTTATATCGCTGTCTCTCTCTGTATCTTGTATCAGTTAACAACGTGGGAATGATGTACGAGTACCCCGAAAACTTTGAAGAAGTGAGCGAGGATCTGTTGTGGAATCTAATGACCGTCAATATTGGATCTGTGTTGATGCTCACACGGAAGCTGCTGCCCAAGATGAAGGCCGCCCGCCGCGGGGCCATCGTCAACCTGGGCTCCTCCTCGGAGCTCACGCCACTGCCCTACTTGACGGCCTATGGTGCCAGCAAGGCTTTCATAACCTACTTCACCAGGGCGCTAGAACGTGAGGTGTCTTCCTACAATATCGACGTACAGCTAGTGCTGCCCGGCTTTGTGGTCACCAAGATGAACGCCTACTCAGAACGCGTAATGGAGGGCGGCTGGATCTTCCCCAATGCGTATAACTATTCACGATCCGCCGTCTTTACCCTGGGCAAGACGAGCGAGACCAATGGCTTCTGGATTCACAGCGTTCAGGTAAGATCTACACAATATATAGTATATATGCAGATTTATATAGACTATATAAAATATTTGTTATTTTAATTTTCTCTTTCCAGTACTTCTTCATGAAGTTGGCCCCCATCCGCATTCGAATGGTTTTTTCCCATCTGCTCTCCAGTCGCCTGAGGTTCGAGGCTCTTGAGCAGAAGGCGAGGAAAGAAAAGTTGGCGACTTAGCTGTGTATGGGTCGCCCTCTCTTCAACTGTGTTACAAGTCATGTATATATTTGGTTCGTAGTCTAAATGTTTATAATAGCCTATTTACAAAAAAAATAATTTTGTACAAAGCAAAGAATAATACAAATAAATTAAACTTAATCAAAACAGGCAGGACGAGTCTTGCTAGAACGATATATAATAAACACAGGCCTTAGCAATAATTAAGCAGTCCAAAACGGATGTGGCAGTGGCTCCCTGCAATCGAATACTGCATCAAAAATTACACATCTGGCCCGTTTTCTCGATTGCCAGGCATACGCGTCCTCATGTGAGAACACGATATGTATTGGGATATGTATTACAAATAATGTACCGAAATTCGTTTGAAATCACAACAGGCTAAACACCTGAGAAAAAAAATGGATAGTTAAATCTTTGCCACTCGGGCTTGGACCCGAAGCAACGAAAGCAGTATATCTGGCATCCTCAAGAAATTAAATATTTGGATATATGAGTGTATAAATATATTAAATAGTAAGCAATTTTATAAATTCGATCATCTATTTGTTGCAAACTTGTTGTCAAAATCAGCATACCCCCCGCTCTTCACTGGTACTTGCAGCATGTACAAGAAGAGAAGTGAAAAAACCGGCTGGCCAAATCAATTGCCAAAATGCATGCGGGTAAAAACTCTTTGGGATTGCATAACCACTGCAATTTTGTTGTGTTGGCTATCAGGGGGGATCTGTGGGAATTCGGTTTGCAGGGGATGTGTACGGTTATCGCCCGCAAAACCGGTTGGCCAGCACGAGTGCGAAACCACTGACCGACAAAGCGGTAAAAAGCCTCCAGCAGACGGAAGCGAAGCCTCCAAAAGCCCAAAGATGACGCTGGCTTCGCTTCATTGCATCCACTTTGTGCTACTTTTTGTGTTTATTTTCTGCGAATTTTTTTATTGTAACCTTTTTAGCAGAAAGTTAGGCTTTAATTTTGCATGTTGCATGCAAATGAGTTGAGGGCGGTTCAGGGGGGATGCACTCAATGATCTCTCGAGGAACTGCCCACAATTATGATACAATGTGATATTACAATGGAAGCTGTCGATTATGGTGTTATGATATTTACTTTTCCGATTGCTAGAGAACCACTTGCGAAACTTGGTAATTGGCTATTGAATTACTAGGAGAAAGAGAACATTTGCTTCTCTTGATTATATGAAAGCTAACAGCTTCAATTTTAAATAAATATGTGTACAAAAATCCGATCCAGGCTTTTAAAGAAAAATTAAGTTTTTGTATTTAATGAACCGGAATCCCACCAGGATCAAGTTTATATACTGTTATGAAAGATATTGGCGAGACACGCCTCCAAGTGCTACATACACTTTACATGAAATATAAAATACTGCAGTATTTATAGCTACGCCCCTAAAATATGCTTTTTTTTTATTCGTTTTTGGAATGATACGTACATATGTATGTATGTATGTATGTTTATACATGTGTACATGTACTACGAAAGTAGATGGATGTCGTATGAATCTGAACAAAAATGTAGTGTGAATAAATAAATAATACAAATACATACAATCAAGCCAATTTCAATTTTTGTATAAAAAAACTACCAAATAAACTAACAGCTATCTGTGGATAGCTAGATGCATAGATAGATAGATTATAGCTTTAAGGCTATAGAAACCAAACTGTTACATAACAAATGGGACCATGGGACCGTAACATCTTATTTCCAATAGTTAAAAATAGTCGTAAGCAATTTAATTGCCAACGAATATTTCTCTTATACAGTTACACTCGATCTTGGAATCGATCGATTGCAATTCCATCTTTGGTCAATAATAATAAAACGTTCTCAAGGTTTTGTTTCTAGTTTTTTTATTCCTGCAGTAGGTTGCTGTTGTTGTTGCTTTTGTTGTTTTGTTGCATGTGCATATGTTATTCACAATAAATTAAAGCAATGTCAAGTAAAATGCAGTTATACATTATGTAAGTCTTACTAAATACGAATGCAAAATAAATTTGTGGCTTAGCAATGAAATAATAACCAAATTCTTGAATGTTCTTATTGATGGCTGTGGCTGTTGTTCTTGCTGCTGCTGCTGTTGTTGTCGATGGCATATACTGTACATCATGGTCTATAAATTGCAAATTAAGTCAATTTCATTGCGAAACGAAAAAGAAATCATAAAATAAAAATTTATGATTAGAACAAATGACGCCGTGGCCACCAGAGCCTTGGGGATGGATCGATCTTGCACCGCATCGAAGATGGAACAAATCTAGCGCAGCCCTAGAAAAATACACAAATCGATATACATAAGTACTATATAAGTGTGGCGAATTAATGGTACTTACCTCTCAGCATGGATGGACCATACATCATCATAACGCTAATGATAATGATGATGGCGAGCCCCCTGAGAACTGTGCTAAACTAATCGCGGGGCCTGTCATTTGGCAGCTGGTGGCTTTGACGTCATCTGCAATGCGAGAATTATTTTGTTTAATGCTATACATATGTATTTTGGGTATTCTATAAATGAATGATTGTTTTCAATTGAATACGGTTCAAGATTTAAATATATTTTCGCTTTTAGTTTCGCCTTTGATTTGTGTTTTGTTTGTTCAAGTGGTCGAATTGGCATAAACAATGGCCATAATCTCTTCAGGGTTTATTTTTAGTTCCACATAATTCATTGAGGGATTTGGTCATGGTTAAACTCTTTTCTGCATTTCTTTTGCGTTTTTTCTATGAACAAAGTTCGCGAAAAATTTAATATAAATTAATAATTATAATTTTCCACCTTCAGCGTATCATAAATTCTGATCATAAAAAATGTCTTTGAACATTTTTATGCTTCGGCCGCATCGGGGCAAGATTTGAATCACAAGATTGCGAAATAGAAAAGCGAAAAATTTGGAATATTCTGTGTGAAAACGATTTTTAATGTGTCTCAGGGGAAGAGAGACAGCGAGAGGCTGAGCGGGCAGGAAGGTGTTTAGTGGGCCATGTCGAAATGTTGTGGTTAAAAAATAGAACAAGAAAATCTATTTTTTCATTTTGGAAAATTATTATCGAGCTGCCACTGCCAAACGGCGGCTGCCAAGAAATTTTCAACGATTGCTTGAGGTTCTGTCAAGGTTTTCCTCTATGCTACAAAAATCTGTCCGTTGGCATTTCGAAAGATTTTTTATATGACTTGCGTGGGCGTAATTCAATTAATTAGTCGTGGTAATTACTAAGACGGGACTCACCTGGCTTAGGTTACTAGTAGAAATCCATTAAATGCTAACATCTTAAACGCGTAAGGTCCTAAAACTCCTCGTAGGCCACAAGCTGTTCATGATTTGGCTTGGAATTGAAATTCAACATGTAAGCTATCCTTGATTGATTGATGATTGATTGGGTTGATGGGTTGGGTTATTTAGAATGCGGCTTCGTAGAAGGCATAGAGCAGGAAGAGCAAGAAGGCCAGGATCAGGAAGGTGGTGAACAAACTTTTGGCTTCACTCATTTTGATAGGGCTGTTGTTTTTGTTGTTGGTGGTTGCTGATGATTACAATGGAAATAATGGAATTAATTGAGTCATAAAGTATTCCTTGTAGCACACAAAAACACACATTTTTTGGGGTATAGTTATTATTGGGGGGACTGCTCCAACCGTTCGTAGCTAATGGCACGCAATAACTGAGTCTCTGAATTTTCGGATCTGAATTCCGCTTCTCCACAAAATGTTGGCCAGCGCTTGGAATTATTGCTCTACCAGACACACTCACGGCCATAGATTTTATTATACATATATATTCGATAATATATATATATAAAACATATATTCAGATATTTTGATCATGGTTGTATGGGTGTCCAGTTGTTGCTCATATTTTCTTCGCTGCGGCACAAATATTTTCCACACTTATATATATACCACACACATCAGCATGGTATGTACATATGTATATATATATGTAGACTATGGTTTGGTATATGTTCAAGATATATATACTTGGATTCCATGGGATTTGACTTCATCTCTTGCTCTCTCTACCTCTCATTCAGCAATTATTCATTTACTGGATTGCACCTAGACAAATTTGCTTCTCTCTCAGAATCTGGATTTTGGACCTTGTCATTTGAAAACTTTTTTCAAATAATTTTAGTTTTTTTTTTTATATGGTTCATGGAGGCAGAAAATCGGTGGGAAGAGAGCTGAATTTTTTCCAGCAGCCTGTTTGTTTAATCAAGATACATATTTATTTACTTTCAACAACGGAATGGATTCGCTTTGTTTGCTGCCGCAATGTTGCCAAATATTGATGGAATCTTGAACATTCCCATTCCACATCAAACATCAGTCACGTAGCCCCCATTGAGTTGATGGCACAATTTTTGGTCTTAATGAGTTTTTTCAAGGATTGTTGATTGATTCTGATTTATTCGAAAGGGATTTAAATCGATTTTGTGCTAATTGGGTTTTCGTATATAGCTAATTTTTCGAAAAGAAAATAAATACCTGGAAATAATTGTATTGTTGTTTATCATTTGACGAATGATTTATAGAATTTTATAGAATTTTATATAATTATCATGGAAATAGAAGAGTTTGGGCGGGACTTTTGATCTACTTGATTGCTTTATAGTATAAAATGTTTTTAACTTATGGATCCCAAGAAAGGTTCAATTATTCCTGGAATGAGATCTATGCATAAAGTTTTTAGGTAAGATCCCTTAAACAATTCTTTACCGAAAGAGTCATAAGTTCAGAGAAGTTGTCCTAATTTCAGGTTTATAAAAAAATCCTACTCAAAATTCGAATTAAATATAAATCCTTGAGATATCAATATCTCAAAGAACAATTTCTTTCCCCTAGAACATACATTTGATCACAAGTCTTACCCCATATCGCTGCTCTAAGGACCTCCTAGTGGCCCTGCCAGTCTACAATACTGCATAGATGAGGTACAGGCAGAAGAGCAGGAAGGCCAGGATGCCGAAGGTGGTAAAGAGGTTCTTTGCTTCGCTCATATTGATTGGATTTGCTGAAAAGAGTTCCGGGAAAAAATATTGTTTTGAATATTAGTTTGGAATGAAGCCAGACAAAGGTTGAAAATATTTCAAGGAAAATATGTAAAAGTCTGTTTTTATACGGCGCGTGAGAATTTTAATTTGATAGAAACATTCAAAAGGCGGCCATAAATTCCGAAAAAAACACATATCATTTTGTTTTTTAAAATAAGCAAATCAAATAAAATTATATTATATTCTATATAAAAAAATGTTTATATAAAGAAGACAGATATCACAGCCATATGGAATATAAAAACTTGTAGTCTCTTCATATTTTTTTTTTATATCTTTTTGAGGTTTCTTTGCTTTATACAACATGTCTATATAGATGGGAATAATTCCAGTTTTATAGATTGGAACAGTTCCAACAAATAAAAGAATTGATAAAAATATTTATGAGCACGGCACACTTGAATTCCATTTTTGATTTTTGCTTTAATGACGGAGGAACTGCACATTGTAGATGAGGTCGCACAGATCACTTGAGTTTGCTCCTGGATTACCTTTTGGTTGCTTTTTGGGGGAGACACAATTTTTGTGCTATTAACTGATGAAAGCCTTTGGCTCAACTAAACCGAACCGTCCACGAATGGCACGCACTTGCCGTCCTCCCTGTGAAATAGATGAAATACTCAGCGAACTGCAAACATTTGCCATCCACTGACATACACACTCAAACAGACGATCTGACAAGTGGATATAGAATCACATATACCCGTAACTATATGGGTGTCTCTGTGTATATAGCGTAGCATTCTGTAGCATTGGCCAAAATGAGACGCCACTATGGTAGGGGGCAACAAGTGCAGACTTTTTGGAAAGTCGCAAAGACATAACATCGAAAATAAATAAAATAAATCTGCGGCGCACATTTTGACAGTTTTCGAGCAGCCGTTGGCCGGATCTGAAGCTCAACCACCACCAACACCACCAACAATAACAGTACGCTTATTATAAATAATACTCGTACACCCAAGACATCACTATATTGGTGTTCCATTTTCAGCCACACGAAAAAACAAACCTGAAACATTTTTCTCCCAACTAATTGACAGATGGACAGAAATTTTGGAATCTCCCGCAAGTGCAAAAGAACGGGGAACATGAATATTTGGTTTGAGATCTGTAAGGTTGTTGGGTCAGGGAAATACGTCAAGACAGAGGCAGTGGCGCATTCGAGAAGTGAAAGTATTCCTTGTAGACTGTAGATCTCTTTGTCTTTTCGATCATTCCTTGATTGATTCCAATTTTGACGTGCAGTCCTGCACCAATTCAACCATCAGCTTATAGAAATATATTTATACTTAAACAGCAACCAGCACTTTCATAAACAACACGTCGCAAATATCAGGTCCATGACTTCTAAAAAAAATACACACTTTCCGCAAAGCTGACACTTGTCATTAAGTCAATTTGAAAATGCACTGCGCAAATGGCGGAAAACAAACGAAACGATGTGACAAACATTATATATATTTTAGGGGTATATATTTTGGACTTATGTGCAAAAAAAAAGCAATGTACCTAATGACCAAAACAATTATGGAAAGGGGAGAAGCGAATGTTTACTTAGTTGAACTCGAACCCTGTTAAAATCAGAATAAAATATTTGACGATTGGAAAAAGCTTTTTAGATTTTTTTTTTTATTTCAAATAGATAAATGGATTGAAAATGCATTTACGAAAAATGTAGTTTATTTCTTTGAGTACATTCCATTTGATGTATTGTAAGTGAGAGTGTTTGCGTTTGTTGGAATTTAATGCAGCTGTGAACACATGGCGTATGCGTAATGTATGGTATAAATTCAGAAATTTAGTAATTTCATGCCTTTACGACAGAGTCTGACTGCGGAATGATTGTCTGGTTACAAGTAAATTTAAATGTTGCCCCACTTTGATAGATCGTATAATTATATAAAAAATCGAGCACTTAAAACGTTCTGAATAATTAGTAGCAAAACGAAAGATTGAGGATTTTACTACATATTTAACCATTCAATCAAAATAATAGAACGTGAATTTGGACTCTTTTACCATTTCTTTATATTTAATGGAATACTCGTTTTTGTTTTTTCCAGTAGAATAATTTCATTTTTCTTCCGTGAAGCATTCACATGCATACACATGTACATAAATACATACATATGTGTGTATAAATATCAGAGTTCATTTCGTCATCAACAGATGTAAGGCATGAACAGAATTGGAAAAATCTTTAAGGTCAAGGCGAGTGTACACTGGCACACTCCCCTATGAGGAACTGAGGCACTTGGAGAGCGGTGAGAACTTGGAGAACTCTGATAGAAGCTGAGCTCAATCCACAGCATTCGAGGCTTATCATTAAGGTCTCGGGGTCTCTCTCATTCTCTGGGAAAGACGAAATTTTTGCGCAGTTTTCGCGAAACCAAAGAAACGAGCGGACGATTAGAAAATAATGCGCTGGAAGCTACTGTTTACCTTGTGTTTAGTTATAGTCACTAAATCGGTGCTGGGAAGAAATGCCAAAGAGGCGGAAGCGGAGACAGAAACGGACATCGAGTCGGGGCAATTCTTTAGCCAACTCTACAAAAGCAATCTCCGGCAGTTGGTCCGAATGAAGAATGATTCAGCCGATCCCTGCGATGACTTCTATGCCCATGCCTGCGGGAACTTTGAGCAATCGCTGGTGGATGAGGATGAAGTGCCACCGTATCTGTACAACAAACAAGATCGGATGAGCTTTTTCCAGGCGCAGTATGGAAACTTCCAGACGTTGCCAGGTCGCTTGATCTCCCAACTGTACACGGAGTGTCGAGGTAGAGGGGAAAGCCATGTGCTGAGTGTGAGGCCCCAACTCTCGCACTGGGAGCGTCTGCTGGAGGAGATCTCATTCCTGAGAGCGCATGAAGAAGTGCTCTCAGCGTGGCCCTTCCTCCGACATCAGTGGGAACGCAGGCAGCTGAATGGGAGGCTCAATTGGATCGCTCTCTCCGCTCAGCTGGCGGCTCACGGGCTGCCAACACTCCTCCAAATCTACTTTGCCGCACAGACCATATATGTGAGTCCCATCCAGAATCTAGCTTGTCCCAGCCTGGAGGAGTTCCAGTCGAGCATGTCGGATCTCCTGGAGGGTCGCCATCGCAATGTGGGACACATAGTCGCCCACGAGATGCGAATCCTATGCCGTGGAATGAGAGGAGAACTTCCGCTAGTCCGGAGTCTTACAAGGAATGGCAGGACGACGCCTAGACCCGATCAGGAGCAGCTTCTACTCGATGATAATACCATGGAGTACTTTCAGCACTTTTTCGCCGCACTCAACTTCACTGAGGAGCAGCTGGAGATGGCTCGAAAGCTGCCTTTGGATGTGGAGAAGATCACGCAAGCCTGGCAGGTCCTTCGGCAAACGGAACCCCGCATCGTCTACAACTACGTGCTGTGGCAGGCCAAGGAGCAGCTCCTCTATGCGGATTGCTTCCACCTAGCCGAGGAGTTCGAGCGGCTACTGCACTCTGAATACTGGCAGTGGCATGTCCTTAGCCCCCAGATCGGCCGAGAGGTGGCACTGGCCTCCTATCAGCTGCACACCACGCGCTTCCAAAAGAGACGACGTTCGACTCTGTCTCGAAGGGATTGGTATGGCCATCTGCTCCCAGCCTCCGTGGAACGAAAGGAGCTCCAGGTGGCTCGGCTTCTGGAGTCGCATGCTCAGGCCTACCTCAATATTACCGAGCTAAACCATAACTACAGGGATCTGGGCTTCTCCAGCAATGCCTTTCATGGGAATCTTCTGCTCCTCAGACGAGCCCAACTTCGTCACAGCTTCACCTCGCCCTACATCGACGAAGAGGATGTCAATGGTCCTGCATACTTCCTGCGCCACTTTCTGCACTTTGTGCTGCTATCGCTCCAGCGACCCACCTATCACTACTATGCCACCCAGGGCCTGGAAGTGTGGCGCCAGTCGCATCTCCTACTGGACACCGATGGACGATACACCGCCCTGGACTGCCTGGAGCGACAGTCCCTACAGCACTACGATTCCCGTCTAGCACCCATCTACCGGCAGCTCAGCGCGGATGAGATTGGGGAGATCTTCCTGTTCTATCGCTCGTTTCAGGCCACCCTGCGGGACTATCACTTCTGGCTTCAGGGCGAGCGCTTCGCCTTCGCAGAGGCCTTTGTTCTGAAGTACTTTCATCTGGATCCGCAGCGGGTGCTCTTCTATGCGGTGGCACAGCAGCTGTGCAACCGGCAGGCGGAGATCTTTGCCGCCCAACTGAATCGGGTATACTTGAATATGCCCGAGTTCCAAGAGGCCTTCAAGTGTGGCCCGGATAAGCCCATGAATCCACCAGCCAGGTGTATGATCAGTATGTGTGATTAATGGCAGACACAATACTCGTATAATCTGAAAACATAAATAAACCGTGGCGAAAAATCAAAGTTAATCAAAGTTCCATCTATTTATGTATTATTTTAGAATGGTATGGACGCTCTCCAATACCAAATGTCAAATTTCTAAACAGCCTGAAGACTTGTAAATATATACATATGTATGTAAATATCCTATAAATAATTTAATGGAGCTGACGAAATTGCCAATCTCAGGCCCACATGTCGTTCATTTATGAGCACGGGTGGCAAATGTACATAAATACAAAAATCTGTCTATTAATTCGCATTTTGTTTGAAATTCCGTAGCGAAGATTATTGCTACATTCGTACATACATATGTACATATGTTTGTATATAGAAACGGATATAACATATATATATATATATACAGTATGGATTTGGTACGGAATTATCGTGGGTGTTCTAGACACACGTATCGGCCATTAATTGGAAAACCATGAGGAGCACTTCCACGGAGCAACTCACACACTTAAGGCCAGAAAAGAATGCTATAGATTTTGGATATAGCTATTTGGATATTCACCATAAATCACCTATGATGATGGCCACACACTCATAATTATTCGAGTATCTATTGAATGTGGTATACGTATAAAGAAAAACCCAACCAAAATGTTAATCTCATTCAGATTTGTTTTCATTGACCTGGGTCGGGAAAAGAATATCAAAACACAGTACATACCGAGTTATCTATGTGGGTTTCGGGCTGCGCGTCTGTGTCAATAATGGTATAAGATTCTGGTTAAGGCCATGCCCGATTACAATTCCTACTACTATAAGACATGAGATTCCTATAAATGCAAAAGACAGGCGAACATTCGCCTCTGTACGTGCGCCGTGATCTCTGGCGATGACAACAAAAAGTTTTCATTCAGTAAACGCATTCTGCTGACAATTGAAACCACAGACACGTAGGCGAGTGTGGAACGGATCGCAGTGTTGGTGGTGAGTGTAAGTGACTGTGTGGGCGATTCGTTGAGAGAGTGTTGTGCGAATGCATTTATGAGTTATGGAAGAAAAACATCATGTGCAAATAGGAAAAGCTTTCAAAATATGAATAGTGAATATTGGAATCTAGAGATCATAAAGTATCTCAATTAGATCTGAGCATTAAAAAGTAAAAACTCTGTTATATAAGCCGCGTGTTCAAATCATACCATAGATACATTGATAGTATCTAAGTCATTCGTTTGACTTCAAATTCTCTTTATGGTTTCACTTTTCCACCCGCAACTCTCACTTTACAGCCCGCACTCTCACTCATACCAATACAAATACCCATGGCCATGTCCACTCATTACAATTTGGCCAAAATCGTATTAACTTGGCCAGCCGGCCTTCAGTTTCTCCAACGTTTTCAGCCCAAGCGCTCCATGAAGCGCTGAAAGAAATTTTTGTTTTTAATCATTGGAAATATATCAAGGCGGAACTTAAAAGGGAATCAGTTTTACTAAGGATACGATGCATTATTTGTATCTATTGAGTGGACTGGCATTGGGTGAGTACTGATCAATGTGTGGACTGAAAATGCATGAAAAGAAATCCTCAAATATTTCTTATACCCAGTCAGCATTTGCCAGGCAGCTACAACCAGGAGTTTTGCAACCAGCAAGCCACTGCCCACCTTTGAAAATGATGGCACAACACCTGCACTGGCGACGCCTACGAGTGTCACGCCTTCTCCCACAAATAGAGACATTACTTTAGGTCCCTGCAAGTGGGCCGTGGGCCGCAGTTGTCCCGATCCGGATGTCAAGTATTATATCTACACGCGACACAATGCAATGGATAGACAATGCCTGCACATCGATGATAGCCTGGAGAAGTCCAATCTTACAGCCTCCTACTTCAATCCCAGGCATCCCACAAAGATCATCATCCATGGCTATAACTCCGATATGTTTCTACATCCCCTGCAGAAAATGAGAGATGGTGAGATTGTTGCTCTGTACATTCAAAATTCGTAAGTTATAAACTCCTGCCCAACCTTAGAATACCTCTCTAAATCGGACTACAATATTATCTATGTGGATTGGAGCGTCCTGTCGCCGGGTCCCTGCTACATCAGTGCAGTGCACAATACACGTCATGCAGGGACGTGCACGGCCCAGCTGGTGGAGCGTCTGGTGGAGACGGGCAATACGGACATCCATGTGATTGGGTTCTCTCTCGGGGCACAGCTTCCCAACTATATAGCGAGGAATCTAAGCTCGTTTGTGCTACCCAGAATAACGGGCTTGGACCCGGCAATGCCGCTGTTTATTACCTCGGGAAATGCGGATAAACTGGATCCGAGTGACGCCACATATGTGGATGTGTATCATACGAATGCCCTCGTGCAGGGAAAGCTGGAGAGATGTGGTCACGCCGACTTCTATATGAATGGTGGCATCATGCAGCCAGGCTGTAATGGACAGAAGATTAGTAAGTGACACAGAAACGGACACTAAACTTGAGGATTAACGTTGGTTGATCTCCCCTCCTGTAGATTCCTTTGCCTGCAGTCATCAGCGTGCTCCTACCTACTTCCTGGAGTCCATACGCTCAACCAAAGGATTCTGGGGCTGGGCATGCAGCGGATATATCTCTTACCTGCTCGGAATGTGTCCTCCCACGAATTTCCTGCTGGAGGCTGGTGACAACATTCGTTCCACCACTCGAGGAATGTTCATGATCGACACCAACGACAGTTCTCCCTATGCCCTGGGCAAGTGGACGGATCTGCCAACGCTGGGTGCCAAGCAGCCGCATATGCGTGCTCCTTCCAATCATTTAAGGGCGCCGCCCAACCAGAGTGTGGATCCTTTGCTGCAGCACATCGATCAGTTTGGCAAACTGGGCGCCAACTTCAACAACCTGGCCATGTCGCCCAGTGGCCGAGATCCCTATGAGCACTGGACCAGCTTTAGTCCGGAGAACAAGGAAATCGACAACGATGAATCCGTGGAGGAGCAGGATTTGGTCGAATTCATTGATCCAGACGATCGCCAGCTGTCCACACAATCTTCCCCAACCATGGACTGGTGGGATTATCGAAGGAATCTCACGTATGGCTTTATAGAAAATAATATATTTGCTCTGCCAAAGGTGAAGTAGCACCCGACCGGATCGGATTGAGCAGTTAAATCCCACCCTTGCCCCTACATTCCTTACTAATAATTAACGGATGAATTCTTCATTGTGAGGGTGATATCCAACAAATGCAAATACAGTGCGTTTCAAAACTATACGTACTAGGCGAAAATTGTAACTAAATTGCGGTTTAATCATGCAGCATTATGTATATTACGAATATAGACCTATGCTTCGTATTCCTGAGCCCTAGAACAGTACTGTTTTAATAAATAAATTAGTTAAATAAATGATACAGATTTTGTAAATATTATAAAAATACAATAATTGGTTAAAAACGTATAATTTAGAGCTAAATGTAGGTAGGTAAGTGGTACCATTCGGGGATTAATAGAGACGAGACCATCATCTATGGTGGCGGGCCTTAATTACATATTTTAGTTGAATACTTTAATTGACAATTTAAAAATTCCTAATTGCTGAATTGAAAAGTGATTTAGCTTGATGATTGATTGGATTGCTAAGCTTATAGTTGTGAAACGCAGTGTATGGGTTTAATCGTATAATTCAAGCATTGTATAATTTTAAACAATTCCGGAATACAATAGCAGTTTTGTATTAATTGTAAATTGTAATAAATTTTTAACGCCATATTAATTAGAAATGGACTTGAAGAATGTGGAGTGCCGGTTCGGAAATCGTATTTTCGGTGTATGGTATGTTCTAATCCTCTATTTTCTATGCAGGGATTGCAATTGGGGCAGGACAGGATGTATCTGAAGCTGTGCTATGTATACAATTACATGTACACTTACGAATAGAAAACATCCGATCTACCCCGTCCCACTTCCTGACTATGACGACGAAGACAAGCGTTGAATGCTATGATGATTGTTTTTCACTGCCCCTTTTCCTTCCCATTCCGTCTGTCCGACCGTTCGTACGTACCCGACTTCTGAGCTTACGTAAAATGCTTATCCGTACAATATTAATCGCCACTGACTGTTGCTGCTGCTGCTACTGAGGGTCAGCCCTATACCTTTTTTTTGATGACTCTTTTGGCACGCGTTGTCGGCGTTGCGGGGACTGGTGTTGCCGGCTGGGGTGGCGGGGATGGGGATTCAGGTGTTTCTGAGACTGAGACTGCGACTGGGACTGGTGCAGAGGACTCTGGCTCCTCGACTGGTTTTTCTGGTTGCGGCTCATCGATAGCCTCCACCTTAATGTCCACCTCCATTTCGGGCTGCTCAGTATCACTGTTGCCGGACATAGGCGATGGTGGGGCCCGCACTCGATCGGGATCATCATCCTCCTGATCGAGCGACGTGCTGTTTGTGCTGGCATCCTCTTCCTCCAGCACCGACAGGTGATAGAGCTTCATGTCCTCCTCGGAAATGGGCACGGGTGCGTTCGAGAGCGGATCCCGTCCATTCAGCGACTTGGGGAATGCAATCACATCGCGTATGGACCGCGCCCTGCACAATATGGCGATGAGCCTATCCAGGCCCAGTGCTATGCCACCATGCGGCGGACAGCCCGACTCTAAGGCACTCAGTAAATGTGACAAATGCTCGTGTGGTATCTTCAGGATCTGTTCCAATATAAACTGCTGCATGTCGCGGTCGTGGATGCGAATGGAGCCGCCGCCAACTTCTTGGCCATTGAGCACCAGATCGTACGCCTGCGAACGTATGTTCTCCAGGTTTTCGCAGCTGGTCGCAAAATTATCCAAATCATCGATGTGTGGCTGCGTGAACGGATGATGGACGCTCTCCAGCTGATTTGTTTCGCGATTCCGCTCGAACAGCGGAAAATCTATGACCCAAAGGAATCGGTAATCGTTGGGCTTCTTCATCTTGACATTCTCCACCAGAAAATCGTGATAATCCAGGCGAATGCGACCCAACAATGTGCGCTGTAAATCGAAAATTTTGTAGAGACTTAGGGGGGGCAGTCGTCCAAAAAACTTACAGTTTCCACTTTGGGTCCAATGCCCAGGAAGAGCAGATCATTCTCCTCGAGATCAAACTTTTCTGTAATTTCATTGGCCACCTGCTCGCCGAGCAGTTTGCCGAGACGATCCTGTACATCCGTGGCGGGGCCGAATTTGCGCACAAACAGTGTACCAGTAAAGTCTTTGCCGAGACCCTCGTAGTGCTTGCGGGCAGCTCCATTCCAGAAGGCTTCGCTCGCTCTCACCACAATGGCATAGGCGCCAAGACCGCCCTCATATTTGCCCTTGTACTCCTCGCTCTTGTCGATAATGTCGGAAACGTTGTTCAAAAGAAAGCCGAAGCGTGTGTCGGGCTTGTCGTTGCCGTATTTCTCCAGCGCCTCCTCGTAGGTGATGCGACGGAATGGGGTCTGCAGCTTGGGCAGGTGCTTGGGCCACGAATAGCGCAGGGTCTCCTCAATCAGCTGCATAATGCCATCGCGACTGGTGAACGACAGCTCTATATCCAGCTGCGTGAATTCCGGCTGACGGTCGGGACGCGTGGCCTCGTCACGGTAGCATCGCGCCACTTGGAAATACCGATCGATGCCGCCAGACATTAGCATTTGCTTGAACTGCTGCGGGCTCTGGACGAGCGAATAAAAGTGTCCGGCCTTGCGGGTGGGCACCACAAACTCCTGAGCTCCGCCGGGGGTGCGTCGGAACAGAGTGGGCGTCTCCACCTCGACGAAGCCCAAATAGTTGACGAGATATTCGCGCATCTTCATTATAACCGACGAGCGCAGGCGGAGATTGTGTTGCATGTCATTGAACCTCAAGTCCAGATAGCGATGCGTGAGGCGGAGTCGCTCTCCGGCTCGATTGAATTTACGTATCTCGAAGGGCAGGTTCTTCTTGGACGGATTCAGCACCAGCACCGTGTCCGCCTCCACTTCAACGTGTCCGGTGCTCATTTTGGGGTTAACAGTGGCCCCTGGCCGGGGTATCACCGTGCCCTCCACCCGCACAATCGACTCAATGGGCACCCCCGTCTCTGCATACTCCTCCAGACCCTTGGTCCTCGGCAGCAGCAGCACTTGCGTCTGGCCATAGGCATCGCGCAGTATGAAGAACTTGTTCATCCGCTGGAATTCCAGCCATCCGCAGATGACAACCTTTTCGTTGATCTCATTCGATGTCAGCTCCCCGCAATTGTGCGTGCGATCAGCAAACTTATTCGTATCGGCCACCTTAACGCGTTGCTCGGAATTGCTGCCATTGTTGGTGGACGACGTGGCCTCCGGTCCGCCATCTTCCTTGGGTTCACCATTGTTGCTGTCCGCATGGGAGGAGCCGCAAGCGGCGGCCTCTTCAGCCTCGAGATCATCAATGGACATCTTCTGTTGCTTCTCTTTGATTTTGATTGGGCCATCGTATGGGTCGTCGGGATTCAAAATCTTAACGCTCGCCACACTGACCTCCACCTCGCCAGTGTCGTATTTCTGAAAGATATATGCGATTAATGATACACAACAATCCTTTATAGACAATAATCGGGTCAAAAACTCACCAAATTAATATTGGCTTTGGGTCTGCCCAGCACTTTTCCCACTACTTGGAGCACAGTTTGGTCGGGCGTGGACATAAAGGTGTCTATGAGCTGTTAATTAAGATACGAGACATTTAATAATATAATATAATATATATATATGCTCACAAAACCGACTCACCGACTGATCTTCAATCATTAACTGCGTTTGGCCATAGCCATCCTTGAGCTGTAGGAATTTGTTGTTTTTCGTGGATGGTATCCAGCCCACCAGAGTAACCGTCTTTCCCACATCATCGCGCCTCAGATCGTTGCACGTTAGATCGCGATTCTCAAAGTATTTCAGAATGTTTTCGTTCCCTGTTGAATCGGTCATTTAAATTAGTAAGAAGTCTACTCTCTAACTACTCTCTCTTCCGAGACTCACTTGCAATCTTGTACTCGGTGCTGGTGATGCCCTGCGTGCTCTGCTGTTGCACCATGGTGCTGTAGCTACGCTTATCGCCCGCTCGCTTCGTGCCGCTCGCCGGGAAATGTATGTTGAGGATATCTTGGACCTCAACCTCTATTTCGCCCGTTGGCATCGTTTGATTGCAGGAATTGTGCGGCCTCCTCATCACTTGTCCCACAATCGTGAGCGTTGTATTCTCTGGCATGTTATTCATGCGTCGCGCCACCCTCGGATGCTTGTCCTCGAGCACAACCAGCTGGCAGGCGCCACCATTGCGATCCCTAAGCTCAGCGAAGCGATTCACCCGCTTCTTGATCAGCCTACCCGACAGCTCCACGAACATGCCGCAATGATGATTCCGCAGCTCGCCACAACTCTGCCGCATGGGCTGCGGGGGCTGCGAGTTCATGTTGATATTGCTGGCCATGGCGCTCATCAGCTGCATCATGTCGTTGTAGGAAACGTTGGGGCCCACTGCAGCAGAAAGGTACGGAAAATATATATTGGGCAACCTTTTTGTTCTGGCTTCTTGGCACTTACTGTTGAAGGGATTGGGCCCTGGGCCAAAGTTGTCGTTGTAGCCGCCACCGTTTCCGCCTCCATTGCCACCGCCGCCTCGATAATTGTCGAAATCATTATAGCCACCGCCGCCATAGCCAGGTCCACCTGGTGGACCACCGGGTCCGCCGCCATAGCGCCCGCCGCCTCCTCCGCCGCCACGATACCGACCACTCATTATCTGCTTGGGAATATAACTCATGGTGAACTATTTCTAGCACTAAACGAGATCCAGGCACACACGGTACACTTACGTGACTACAATCAGCCGGCTCTTCCGCTAGCGCTAATGAAAATGAGGAGTTCTGGTGCCGCCTTAAATTTCCGCTGCTCGCAGACGCACGGTGCACGAGTGCTGCTTGTAGTTGCAGTCTCTGGTGACTACGCCAAATCGTCCTGGAAATTGATAACATTTTGTTAAACAAATCGCGTTTCTCATTTAATTATTATGGCCGCATGCAAGCGCTGATGTAAAAAATTTTCAGACCCAGCGCGAGACACACACACACAACACAGCACATACACTGGCAATTGGACAAACACACACACACACGCAATATCTATGTGTGCGCGACTGTGTGCCGGGCGTCGCGAAAATGCCGACGAAAAACATGCCAAACTAGTCGAGAACGTACCGTAGCAGGTGAAGCGATAGCAGGGCCACAATCGCACTTTTGTAAACTAAATAAATAACACCAGAATAATAACGCACCTAAACGGTAGATTACGCTGATATTGAATTTTTACGAAAAAATGGTTGTTTTGGCTTGGTTTCAGAACTACGCCTAGCGATGGCCAACACACAGATGCCTGGGCCGCCTATCGATACTCATGGTATCGATACCACTACTAAATTGAAAACGGCGGGTTCGTATTGACATTTATATAATTTAGTTATTTTTAATAAAAAACTGAATTTAAAATTTGATTATTTATTTACATGACACTTAAATTCATTAACAAATGCATTTAATAACAATCTATATGTTTTAATCAGTACTATATGCATGTGCAAAAAGAATACAAAATAGATTTTGTATGGTGGCAATCGCGTTTGGGCTTATAAATTACAAAAAAGTACACGGACCAGTGCTGATGTTCCATCCCGCAGAAAGTGTCTTTTAAAATCTAACTCTCGTATTCGGTGCCGTTGAGTGAATTCTGGTAATGCGTGACCACGTAGTCGTGATAGTACATCATAATACACAGCGGCTGACCCAGAATAATGGATGCCCAAACAATGATATTGCCCATGCGTGGGCCCAGGCGGCGCTCGACGTATTTGGACACTGCTGAGAGTGGAATCTGTCCCATCATGCCCATAAAGGCCCAGATTTTGTATGTTTGTAGTGGAACAGAGACCTAGAGGACCGAACAGAAACAAAATTATAAATTTTGATCGGTATGATCACTTTTTTTTCCCAGATCTTACCAAGTACTCATGGAAGAAGGCACTGAACAGGAACACTATGGTCGAAGCCTGACGCGACGAATAGCCCATTTGGACGACCGGAATGTAGAGATGACGCACACACCACCTATGCACCGGCATGTTCCATGTTCGCCAGAAGGTGTCAATGTTGTTGGCATTCCACCAATCACAGTAAAAGTTACGATCTGCAAAATTCAGGAGCTCACCCACAGCATTCAGGAAGGAGTGGAACATCAGATAAAAGAAGCACAGCCAGACCAAGTGATTGGGAAGCTAAAGAATACAGTTTAGAAATCATAAATACTGCCGCCAATCACCACACTAACCGCCAGTTTGAGGAGACGCTCTGTGGCCAGCACCACATCCATATTTGAAAATGGTATCAGGGAGTTGCGCACCGAGGGAATGATCCATTGCTGGAACAAGGCCATCACCACATGAACTCCAATCATGACCTCCAAGAGGCGCTTCAAAAGGAAACGCTTGCGGACTCGACTTGTGCGAGGGAAGTTCAGTTCATAGCACAAAGTGGGAGCGCACAGAAAGTATAGCAGATCCCTGTAGCTTAGATTATCGGGATATTGCACCAACTTGGAAATGGCTTCATCCTCATCTCCACTATCCAAATGACCGTTTTCTAAAGAAAACACAACCAAATAAATATGATTTATGACATTATTTTTGTTGACCTAAACTTACTGAGTTCCGCTAGCGAGATGCTGGGCCTCCGCTCTCGGGGATTCTTCTGGTAGTAGGTCTGTCGGCACCACATATTGGTCTGCACATAGCTCCATATCTTCAGGAACAGAATCGAGTAAAAGAAGCACACGGTTGAGGCGCCCACTGTGAAGGGCGAAATTAAAAATAATCATTTGCTCGAATGAATGCATATTTGGTACTCACTTAAACTGAATGCATGTCCTTTCAGGTGTATAATGACCACGGGCAAACATACCAGCACAATTATGTTTACTATCTGAATGAAGATGCCAAGTCCTTCGGCAATAATTTCCTAAAAATATAAATAAAATATTGCACATTAAATATTGGCGGGGTAACGACTTATCTCCACCATATTCCTCACTGAATATTGCCACTACCTATCGTTTAAGTCACTGTCATCTCTAGATGCGCTATTACGATGGCAGTAGTCGATAGTTCGCAATAGGTTCCATCACTGGTCACACTTGCAAAAAGACCATTAATTTCTCGATTTCATTTTATGTTGTAAAATTGATTGAATAGCACGCAAACCGGTGGTATCCATTAGATTAAACAAAGGCTAGCAAACAACTAAAAGCAAAATGGAAGTAACCGATGCGAACTTGCAACTTCTGGCCGGTTATTTGCAGCAGACGCTCAGCGCCGATCCCAATGTACGCCGGCCGGGTAAGTGTATGGGAATCTGCGACTTGTGGTGTGCGCGGGAAACCCTGTAGGCGACGCCTCGAATTATTGCGAATCTGGAATATGGTCGGTAATTCTATGTTGTTTATATTGCAGCGGAGAAGCTGCTTGAGTCCACCGAACTGCAGCAAAACTATCCTGTGCTGCTGCTGAATCTCATCGACAAGTCGCAAATGGACATGACAACGCGTATAGCCGGCGCCATTGCATTCAAGAACTATGTAAAGCGGAATTGGGCAGCGCATGAGGACACCGATGGGCCCGATCGCATCCACGAAAGCGATCGCAACACCATCAAGTCTCTGATTGTCACTCTTATGCTGCACTCCCCCGTGGCACTGCAGAAGCAGCTGAGCGACGCCGTGAGCATAATTGGCAAGCATGATTTCCCGAAAAAATGGCCGCAAATGATCGACGAGATGGTGCAAAGGTTCGCCTCGGGAGATTTCAATGTGATTAATGGCGTCCTACAAACGGCGCATTCGCTGTTCAAGCGCTATCGCTTCGAGTTCAAATCGCAGGCCCTGTGGGAGGAGATCAAGTTCGTGCTGGACCGCATGGCCCAGCCGCTCACAGACCTCCTGCAGGCCACCATGCAGCTGACCAAAGTGCACGAGAACAACATGGAGGCCTTGAAGGTCATCTACGGGTCATTGGTGCTGGTCAATAAGGTGTTCTTCTCGCTCAACTCGCAGGATCTGCCCGAGTTCTTTGAGGACAACATGAACACCTGGATGGGTGCATTCATCCAGCAGCTGGCTGTCAATGTCCCAGCGCTGAGCAGGGAAGATGACGATGATCCCGGTGTGCTGGAGTTTCTGCGCTCGCAGGTCTGCGAGAATATCTGTCTGTATGCGAAGAAGTACGACGAGGAATTTAAGCCGTTCATGGAGCAATTCGTGACCGCAGTCTGGGAATTGCTGGTCAAAACCAGCCTCAACACTAAAAACGATTCGGTAAGATTTTCCAGATTCTAAAAAGCCCTCCAAATATGCTTGATTACTGGATATTCCATTTGCAGCTGGTGTCGAATGCCTTGCAATTCATCACCGTGGTTGCTGAGCGGAAGAACTATCAGGGCATTTTCGAAAACCCAGAGATTCTGGCCCGCATTTGCGAGAAAGTTGTCATTCCCAATCTGGACATTCGGCCCTCCGATGAGGAACTGTTCGAAGACAGCCCCGACGAGTATATTCGTCGGGATATTGAGGGCTCTGATGTCGATACGCGCCGTCGTGCTGCCTGTGACCTCGTGAAGACCTTGTCTCTCAACTATGAGCAAAAGATCTTTGGCATTTTTAGTCAATATCTGGAGATATTGCTGGCCAAGTACAAGGAGAATCCGGCGACCAATTGGCGTTCAAAGGACACTGCTATCTATCTGGTCACCTCGTGGGCATCGCGAGGTGGAACTAAGAAGCATGGCATCACGCAGACCTCGGAGTTGGTGCCGCTGCCGGAATTCTGTGCCACGCAGATCATACCAGAGCTAGAGAGACCCAATGGTAATGAAATACAAAGGTTGTAATATTGTTTTTGGTCTAATTTATGCCCCCATTTCCAGTCAATGAGATACCCGTGCTAAAAGCAGCCGCCATCAAGTATATCATGGTCTTCCGCAGCATTCTGGGTCCCCAAGTGCTGGCCAACTGCCTGCCGCAGCTCATTCGCCATCTGCCAGCCGAAAGCATTGTGGTTCACAGCTATGCCGCCTGTTCCGTGGAGAAGATCCTGGCCATGCGCGATGCCGGCAATGCGATTGTGTTTGGACCACAGGTACTGGCACCACACGTCAATTCGCTGATTAGCGGACTCTTTGCCACGCTCGCAATGCCGGGAGCGACAGAGAATGAGTTTGTGATGAGGGGTGAGTGTTCTTGGAGCCGTATATATTTTTGGCTTCGGTGAATATCCAATAATTGTTTTTCTTTGCAGCGATCATGCGAAGCTTCTTTGTGTTGCAGGGAGCTTCCATGCCCTTTATGGGAGTGGCCCTGCCACGTCTCACTGAGATCCTAACCCAGGTGGCCAAGAATCCATCGCGACCACATTTTAATCATTATCTCTTCGAAACGCTGGCACTATCTATAAAGTGAGTATTGCCTTGCTCTCTCTTCTTTCTTTTCGGATGCTCAACTAATTTGGTTATTGCTTTAGAATCGTTTGCCAAGAAAATGCCACGGCTGTCAGCTCTTTCGAGGAGGCTTTGTTCCCAGTTTTCCAGGGAATACTGCAGCAGGATATTGTCGAGTTTATGCCATACGTCTTTCAGATGCTTTCTGTTCTGCTGGAAGTGCGCGAGGGCAGCGGCTCCATTCCAGAGCCCTACTGGGCCCTATTCCCTTGCTTGCTATCGCCCGCCCTGTGGGATCGCACAGGCAATGTGACGCCTCTGATTCGTCTCATCTGTGCCTTTGTTAAGCAGGGTGCTGCCCAGATTCAGGCCATGGGAAAACTGGTATGAATTCGAAAGACTTTCATCAAAATTTCAATTATGATTGATTCATTTCCTGTTTCTTTCAGAATGGCATTTTGGGCATCTTTCAAAAAATGATTGCCTCGAAGGCCAACGACCACGAGGGCTTCTATTTGCTGCAGAATCTTCTCTCGTATTATCCGGCACCTGAAATGCAATCGAGTATGCGTCAGATCTTTGGGCTGCTCTTTCAGCGACTGTCGCTGTCGAAGACGCCCAAATACATCTCTGGCATCATCGTGTTCTTCTGCTTCTATGTGATCAAGGCGGATGGCAGTCATCTGGCAAAGCTTATAGACGAAATCCAGCCGAACATGTTCGGCATGCTGTTGGAGCGCATATTCATCACGGATCTGCAAAATGTTGTCAAGGAGCTGGATCGCAAAATGGTGGCGGTGGGAGTGACCAAACTTCTCACCGAAACCCCCGAAATGGTTTTGCCCCAATATGCCCAATTCTGGCCGCGTTTGCTCCACGCCCTCATCGACATGTTTGAGCATCCGATGGAGTCTTTGAAGGGCATTGAGGGTGAGGTTGTCGCCGGAGTTGCCGAGGATCCCGATGCGGGCTATCAAGTGGCCTTTGCCCAGCTCACCCATGCCCAGCCCAAGCAGCAGGACCACCTCGCCGAGATTACCGATGCCCGACAATTTCTGGCCAACGCACTGTCCAAGTACTCGCAGAAGCGGCCCGGAGAGCTGACCAGCCTGTTGGGCCCCCTCGAACCGGAGTACAAACAGATATTGCAGAAATACTGTGATCAAGCCGGGGTACGCATTGTCTGAGGAATGGATTGATGAGCCGCAATTTAATCCGCAATCACAATCACACACCTCGCACCTACATTCGCATACCTTTCTCCATATTTTTGTAGATGCAAGAGAACAAGCTCTCCTTCAAACAATCAAGCACCGAAACTCACCCATGCATTAAACTGTTTTCTTATATATGTTATAGTCTATTTGTCCGAACAATAAATAGTTACGTTTTGCATATGAATTGTTTGATCCCTCCCAGAAGTTTGCACTACGCAGATGAGAGATTATAGGTGACTTACGAGTATTCTGAATTTATAGATAAACACAGTCCGAGTCGAACTATGGCAGATATACTACAGATACAAAATACTCATATAAAAGCGTACAAAAATTCAAAATCTTTTTATGGGTTTGCTACTTGCTAATAAATGGAGAAAAATACCTTACCATTCGTATTTACTCTAACAAAACATTCCTAAACTAAATGATCCCAGGAGTAAATTGATAAGCAAAAAAGCCTCCTTTGAAGGGTTTTCTACGTTATTTGGCGGTATTAGCGGTATTTTATATAATCTCTACCTATAGAGTCAGAGATCCCAAGGAAATACGAACCGCAAGAACAGATCTTATCCGGCATACTAAACGTTTTTTTCTATATACTCTAATCCGATGTAAAGTCATTCCGTTTAGACACAGTTGCCTAACAATTCCTTTCATTTTTCGAAACAATTACCAGTTTTTGTAAATAAAACTAACGAGTATTTAAAATTATTAGCAAAGTGCAACCAATCACCATATACCACACGAAACATGCTGAGGCTTCTTCAACCGATCAAATTGCCATCGCCAAAATCTTGCCCCCGAAACTATCTACGTGAGTACTCACCATTGCCAGACCCTTTTCTACCGCCAGACACAGCGATATGTGAACTATGGAGTCTGAAACGAAAACCAACAATGTGACAATTCTTTGGACTGCGTATTTCGTTAGCAGGAGACTTACAAATGATCAGTATGAGGGCATTGTGGCCCTCGCCCTCATTGTGACCGCTGATGAAAAAGAACCAGTCCAGGGGATTGATGCGAATGCCATATCTAGAAAGAGTTGGAAACATATATTCTTAGAAATGTTATACACTGAGATGTGGTTTTTTCTATGACCTACTTGAGAAGATTCTCCAGACCTAAGCGCAGACCGCCTATGCAGAGCAGTAGGAAACCCCAGTTGACCAGACCCGTGAAATTGGTAAAGCCCGAACTCCAAGAGAACAGCGAATCGCGGGGTCGATGGATACTGAAATTGATACGAGTCTTTGATTATATATATGTTCCGTTTAAGTTATATTTTTCACTCACGGTCTGCCGGGCTGAGCCTTACGCTGCTTCTCTTCTTTGGTGGAGATCTCCTCGGCTCGGGTCACACTCTGTGTTCGTCTATAGCGCGTCTTCTTCTCGCTGCCATTGGAGCCATTGCCGTTTTCGTCTTTGTCCAAGACTTTGCGATACTGTCGCAGATCGATGGGATTGCCATGCTGATCGAACAGGTTCTGGGTGGACTTGCGGTTCCTCAGATTGCTCAGATTATGTTCCGTGGCCGAGGCTGAACGCCTCAGACGCTTCATGAGTCCATTCCTTTCGTGCTCTATTTTTGGGGCCCCCTTTTCCTGAGGATCTTTGGTGGTTGTCATGGTTGCGTGCTAGTTCTTTAAGTTTCATAAGTGTTAGAAATTTTGATGTTGATTAGTTTTCAATAAGTGACCAATCTTATCAGGAATTCCAGTTGGCCACTAAAAATGCAATATTAAGATAAGATTTGTACCATTTGTACCCCCATTAAAGAAATAAACATTTGGGCCACAGAAATAGCGTAGTAAAGAGATTGGACCAAAAGAAATCTGAAGAGAGTTTGTTATCGGTCAAAGTTATTGTTAATCCATTTGATTAGCTTGTTATATAGTTTATGGAGAGAGAGAGAGATGAGATGGAGAGATGGATGGACATACAGATTGAATTTAATGCGCGTACAGACGCACTACCGGAATCTATTTCAGTGGTTTCTGCGGTCAAAGTTCGTCCGGCTACTTGATCGCTGATTAGGTAAACAGATACTACCATTTGCATAGACATTGTACCCCTTCCATGAATGATCGGTGTGGGTAAGTTGTCTAGTCTGGTCCATAAAAGGTCGCTCGACAATTACTTCTCGCATTAACTAAGCAAAAACAAGTTGAAAAATTGTTACAAGTACGGATTGTAGTTGAATGCAAAACGAGTCAAGATCGCATGTTAAATTGCTGATCACAAAATGATTATCAGCATTAGAGCAGGTGATGATGCTACCAAGTCTTACGACTATATCGATTCTCCCCGCTCCACTGCCCACGCATTCACTCTAACGCCCTGACCTCTACATATCTCTCTCGATTCATCTGGCCCTAAATAAATGACTACATCTGCAAATTCTATTTTTATATCAAATTTGAGGTTCACATTCACGTAACTTGTTTATGCAAGCTAGCGCCAAGAATTGATTAGAAAATTGTTGTTTAAACAATTATTAAATATACTCGTTTATAATATACGAGTGAAATGACGAAATTTGAGGGTTATCTATGGAAACGGAACGCAAATCTACGTCATTTTCAAGGGTGAAACAATCATTGTATAATACATGCAATATGTGAGATTTATAGTTGAGAATTATCGTATTTGAAAAATTATATAAATATTTGTGAATGCATAATCGTATATACTGATATCTTTAAGATATTGCTATATCTATTGACTTTGGTAGATCAAAGTTCAATGGTAATGCTTAGTTTCTTATCGTGAATTTTAAATTGCGTTTCTAGACTTTAGGCCTACAGTGAAGATAATAAAAAAGGTGTTGATTGTAAAGTTATATCTGTAATACATTGGATTTGACCAATGTTTCTATTTGTTCCAATGGTTTTTGGCGAAAGACTTTTACATAATCATTCACTTTCAGTCCATTGAACTGATCCAACTTTAAAGAAAGACAAAAGTACACATATATAATACATACATATGTGAGAATTTACATATTCCTCGCACCCCTATATACAGAATGCAGAATGATTAAAGTCGAGTCATGGTGACGCAACGTCATCCAGAAGTCGGCGAAGCTCGTCATGGCTCATCAGGGCGAGAGAGTCATGAGTAATTAAAAGTCCGTGTAGAGGACAGATACAGTAAAGCCATGCGTACACGTACGAGTTACATATGTATACTAAATATGTTTTCCTGTATCTACATACATATACATATGTATGTATACATAAATATATGTACTCTATTGTCTCCCGCATATGGATCATGCATCGAATTGCTTCTGCGGTTTAACGCTTAGTTTGTTGAACTTTCGGTTTATATTTATACGGTGTGAGGAGGCCATGGGAGGAGGGGAACAAGTGTAGTGTTTAACTGCAGCACTTATCGTGCTCTGCTCTTTATATAATATGTATCTGATTCCAGATAACCTGGGCTGTGGTTTTCTATACCCTGCCTTGATATCTCTTATCCCGTTCAGATCCTCTGATCTCTTAGCTTCCCCTGATAAACTTTGTACATACACTTCCAGTAGCCAGTGTTTATTGTTTCATTTCTGTATGCATTGATTGAAATGCAATATATGACGCGAACTTTCCTTGTTTTATTTTTGTTGTACATCAACAAACATTCCGGTCACTCCGGCAGTCGTCGCAGTACTATTTGCTACTCCGTACTCCGCTAATTACTGCCTGCAGTAAGCAGTCCGAACGAACCGGTTCCCTGTAAATGGAGAAGAACTCTCTGCCATCTACGGGCAGCAAGCAGCGGCATTGATAAGTAGGTCAGTAATTCAAACATTTTCATCAACTCTGGCTGCGGATCGAATTCAAAACACATTGATGATAAAGGTTATCGTTAACTTTAGCGGTTCATTGATTGCATAAGTACCCCCTCTTATCATGTTGCCAGGAGGCATTCATTCTACCGCCCAGACATGTCTGGTCAGGGCACACCCTGCTAATCATAATGTTTCCCCTCCACTCGCACTTCTTACATTGTAATACGGATGCGAACCCACAGAAAAGGCACGAACATGAGAGGAAACAAGTGAAACATTAAAAATTTGCCGGCTCGCATTCGCTTATCAATGAAAAAGCACGTCTTAATGTTGTGTTATCAGCGACAGTCTGACATTTGCCGCCGACGACTGATAAACGCTCACAGCTGGCATTTTCCTATTGGAATGAGAGGAAATTTTGTTTTTCCTACAAGCATACACAGACACTTTTCCGATCTCTATCTCCATCACTGTCTCTCCCTATCTCTCTTCTCTATTGTTTGCTCTGTCCTTCTCTCCCTCTCTGTTGTTTGCTGTGTGTGTCTCTCTCTCTCCTCTGGCTCGCCATTGTTTGCTATGTCTCTCTGTTTGGGTTTTAGCACGAACAAAACCGGTTTTTGGCAATAGAAGTTTGTTTGGTTTTTGTGATACCCTTGCAGGTGGTACTACGATCTTGAATGGATATTGGCAGCCCATAATACCATGCATATGTACCACCCTTCAATCCCTTACTCTATTATTCTTCTTTTTGCTGAAAGCAGCTGGAATTTCTTAAATCCGCTCAGTAACTCAAATAACCTTCCCTCAAAATACAAATCTTAAACTTCATTGTTCAGGAAGGTTATAATAGGGGCCTTAATCCATCAAATAAACTTGAACGAAATCGGATGACTATATTATATACAATCGATCTTGGCAAGAGTATCAACAGCTTCGGCCACCAACGGTTTGTTTCTTGTTTTGTTTTGGAAGAGACAACGACGCGGCGGCGTCACATTTCCGAAATGTTTCCTCAGACCTGCGTCTGGTGTCCCGGATCAAGGTTATTTTCGCTTTATGTTCATGTATAGCTAGTCATTATCTGATTACGCACAACACATTGATGGTGGCTGAAGAGAGCTGCCAGAGAGATAGATAGTTTCACTAATATATGGTCACTATTAAATTAAAAAGATTTGTGGTATTTGTGTCACTATCTGCCGCTCTAATAGGATTTGAATTGCAAAAACTATATTATAATCGGGGGTACACTACACACTTTATCACGGAAGTTTTGTTTTACTTTTATCACTGTCCGTCCACTATTTTATCAGAACAAAACCCGTTCTGCAGGGGGGTAACATTGAGTCATAAACTGTAGCAGCACGTGCTTTCGGTCACTTTTATTCAGTGTTTTTGTTACTTTTGTTCTGGTTTTACTGTTATTTATGAGTGCAACACATTTCGCAAGTTCCGTTTCGCAGAAATCCAATTTTGCACACTTCATTTGGGGGCCGGGTGCCCCATTTACGGCTTTCATTAACTTCCCCCCACTAACACCCCTAAAAAAAGCGAAAGCGAAGCGAAGAATCCACTCGTTGATCGTAAACAAAAAAGTTTCCCACTCTCTCACTTAATTTTAGCGTCTCCCTGGAAGCTCCATGAACTTGACTTCACACCAAAAAACTCTCTTTGTTAAACAATTAATTTATTTACTTGTATTTTTTGGGAGCACCTTGCATACAATTTAGTTTAATTTGCACTTTGTTTTTTGTTGTCTTCACCCGCGACACGACGGGGTGCCAGAGAGAGAACGTTTTCCGTTTCTGGAAGCGGCGTTTTTTCACTGTGTGCGTTTGGGGCGGCGTGGAGATCTCGATTGACGCTTGGCGCTTGAAGTAAATGCTGGAAGTAAACAAACGGGGGACTCCAGTTATCAGTTACTCATGCGTTTTACGTTTTCAACCAAAAACGGTCCGTTTTCATTATGGCCAGACAGCTTTGGTTGTTTCATAGCAGTCAGCTTTATTAGTTACAGAGCAGCAAGCTTTAACAGTTTATAACAATGCTATAGGAGCCACCTTCAATATTTTGATCGTGCCACTACCTCGTTCTGCTATCTCACCTTGCACTCGCATTTCAAATTTCATTCATCGCAATCGATATCGAAGACAAGCGCGAAAATGCGATCGATTATTCTATAAATTAAATTTAAAATTCAGAGCTTTCAAATGAACTTTCACTCGATAAGCTTTATTCACTTATTTAACAGATGGCGCCATTAATTGCTGCAGCACCTGCCCAATAGTGTCGCTATAAAGCGGCTAAATCAGAGGATTGTAAAAATCAAAAGGAACGGATATTATTTAATGTTTTATTTTATTGCACTAACAACTACAAAACAAACGACATTTCAATGATTTAAATTAATTGTAACTAACTTTGCAGTCACATTGTGACGTCAGCAGGGCCTAACAACTAACAACAAATAAATACAGATACAGATACAGATCGGTTCTCCTCCATTTAAAGCTGACTTATTTACAAAAACATTTAAGTGTAAGAAAAGTTTCTGATAGATTTGGTATAGAGCGCAGTTAAGAAAAATTGTGTCATCTTAGGCTAATGCTGCTGTCGTCTCTCCTCAATCAAATCCTCCAAATCGTCCTCTCCATCGTCCACATCATCCACGAATCTATCGATGCGTTTGAGTAGATTGTACTCGTTGTCCTCCTCCTCCTCTTCAGCCTCTTCGTTCTCCGCCTGCTGACTGCCAGAAGTGGCAGCCCCATCATCGAAACTCGCCTCCTCCAGCTCATCCTCCTCCTCCTCCTCCTCATCATCATCATCATCATCATTGTATTCCATGTCGGTTGTGGCCGTGGCCCCTACGCTAACCCTCGACTCGGGCAATTGATCATAATCAAAGACCTGACGCGTTGACCGCAGCGGCAGCTCCGTGCTGGTGGCTGGTGGATCTGACCCCAGATCCTCGCCAGCTTCATCATTTTCCAGTAGACTCGATATACTACCTGCCTGCGTGCCAATTCGTGGCTCTGGCTGCTGGGGCAGCAGCCTGGTGCTCACCGGCTTCAGGATGGTGCTCATGGTGCTGCTGGCTGGGATTGGGTTCGGCTTCGGCTTCGGGACTGGGACTGAAACTGTCGAGGAGGCAATCTCATGGACATCGGCAAACATGTTGTCCAGCAGGCTTAGCAGATCATTGACGCCACTTGCGGAGGGCGTCGGAGAAGATGGGGCTGTCGATGATGGAGTAGTAAATGGAGTTGTCGATGGCGGCAAAGAAGTTGTAGTCGTCGTCGTCGTCGTTGTTGTCTTCAACGTGGTTGTTCTTTGTGTGGGTTTGCTGGTGGAGCTGCTGGTGACTGGCCTTTCTGTGGTTGTCGTCACAGGCCTTGGTGTGGTTGTCGTCATTGGCGTTGTTTTCGTATGCAAATGCTTGACCTGAAAGGTCTCCACTGTCCCACGCTTCTCATTCGGATCGGCGATACGGACTACAGGTTCCCGCTTGGAGATTACCGGCACTATCTTCGGACTGTGGGGGTCCAGTTCGTTTTGGCCATAGGTCTTGACCTTGGAGTGACCCTCGATGATGAGATACATGGGCCCGAGCAGAGCCTTTGGCGGCTGCTTATAGTGCGAAAAGAGCGAGTCGGTGGTGGATTCTGGCGCGGGTGCCACGGTGGGACGCTGAGCCAGATTGCTCGTCTGAGGGATCAGCAGGCGGTTGTTAGTCGTCGTTGTCGTCGTTGTGGTAGTGGGGCTGCTGCTTCCAGGGCGTAGATAAATGGGCAGAGGCGTGGGAGTGGTCATTGGTATGGATATGGTGGCGGAACTGGTTGGACTGGTCACCAGCATCGGTCGGAAGCCGGAGCTGCTGCTGGTCTGCGGTGTGGGCGTGATGTAGATCTCCTGGCCCAGGCTGCTGGCCACAGTGGGCACTGCAATGGTGGGTGGACCCGGCACAAAGGTCACGGGTGCGTAGCCCATCGGTGGGCGCGTCGAACTAATGCCATAGCCTGCCGGCGGTAGGGCCTGATGCGGTTTGCTCGTGCCCATCAGGTACTTGGTGGCCGGCATTGTGGGTTTCACCTTCGGCTTGACCACCACCTCCTTCTGCAGTAGTTCGTGCAGCCAGGGCTTCCTCAGGGACGCCTTCGAAGCCCCCAGATGTCCCGGCAGGGAGTTGGGCGAATAGCTCACCGTCTGGTGGGGCCTGGAGCTGAAGCTGTAGTGCTGCATGGACTCCTGGTGATGGGCATCGGCGTAGCTCAAGCGATGCGGCGGCATGCTTGACATGCCGCTAATGGGCGCAGAGGAGTGCCAGGAGGTGTAGGACGGATGGTAGGCCATCGATGAGGTCATGAATTGCTTGGGTGCTGGCGAACTCATGTGGCTTATGTGGCTCATGTAGGAGGTGCTCATGCTGGGTGAACCCGCAATGGATCCCGGACTGCCACCCGTCATGCTGTGACGATATTCAATAGAGCCAGAGCCAGAGCCCGCTTTCATCATCATCATAGGCGGTGGCATTAAATGCGTGGGCGGCATGTGCTGTTGTGGTGGTGGTTGTTGTTGTTGAAATTGGGGCTGTTGTTGGTGTTGATTTTGCAGGAGCTGTTGTTGAATTGGTGAATGTTGTTGCATTGGTGTATGCTGTTGACTTTGTGAATGGATTTGCTGTGGATTCTGGGCATGTTGTTGATGCTTTTGCGTATACTGTTGTTGAAATTGTTGATTATGTTGTTGAATTTGCTGATGCAACTGCTGCTGCTGTGGCGGAGCATAGTAACTCCTTCGTATAGCCGCATACTTTGCCAACTGTTGCTGCTGCTGTTGCTGTTGATGCTGCTGCTGTTGTTGCTGCTGCTGTTGATGCTGTCCCAATCCCAATCCCAATCCTGGATAGGAATGCGAATGTGGCACCCTCACACGCTCACTGGCCACGCCCAGCAGGAGGATCTCACTCTTTGTCTTGTTCCGCAACACCTCCGGTGGCAGCTCCTTCTTCCTGGCCTCTGGGTTACTCTGTCCGGTGCCATTGTTCTCCGCCCAATAGCGCACCCTCTCCAGGGCGGGCGGACTGTAGTCGTAGGTTGGATCCTTTTGCAGGGGATCCCCATGGCCCAGCGGACGCCACTCGTTGTTGTTGTTGTGATCCAGTCGAGGAGCTGTGAATGAGTTGGAGAAGAAGCAGAGAGGAGGATGATTGAGTGCCGTATCAATTTACTTTTACATGTGCAACTTTAATTGCCCCCAGCCACCCCACACACATACACACACACACATTCGTTCGTTCCCCGAATGCCCGGAAGGCAGGAGCTGCAGCTAGAGACGACGCTGGGAGTCGGAGATAGGCCAAATCATAACTCGTTAAAGTGTTAACAAATGTTTTTGTCCCGTCACTTGGCCATTGGTGGGCATCCTGGTTGCTCAGCTCATCACAGCGAGAGTCGCTCTGGCAGTAGATCTCCGGTAGAAAGAAATACTATGAGACAATAGTGTGACGACAGAGAGAGAGAGACAAATAAGCTTCATCTGCAGAGTCCGCTTAAAGTCCAGATATTGCAGAAATGAAAATCCTGCCTTTTATTGGAGATTGGAAATTCATCTACAAGAATACAAAACACTTCTCCCACGTCGACTGCCTGTAATCTCTACAATTTGTACATATAATCAACTAAAGGCAACCCACCATGCACCACATTCGAGTTTCGAACTCAATCATGGCAATCGTGCTTGGCAGCGGCACTCGTCAATCTGCCCTCGTGGCTGACTTCAATCGTTTCGAGTTGTTTGTGCATAAATTGATTTTAATGCCTGCAGACAGTGTCGAAGATTGGGGGGCTCACTCGCAGATCCGTGGAGCTGTTTAGCTCCTCTCTGCGAGGCTCCTAATTAAGCCCGAGTCAGAGGCCAAGCCGCCGCACAGCCCGAGTGTCTGTGCCGAGATCCAGACGCCCACCTGGCAGCAAACACTTTCGGCTGTTGACAGCCGTTGATCACTTGGGGCCAAGACCAAGGCAATCAACACAGCAAACATAAAGACAGACACAAAGAGAAGTTGACTCTGGCTCTGGCTCTACCTCTAGCTCTGGCTTTGTCTTGGATTGGGCTGTTGTTGGATTTGTCTTGGTGTTGCTTGATTGACTGATCAACGGGCGGCGATGGAGGCGACTGCGAATGCGGAGGCCTGTTAAATTATTAGCTAAAACCAGACAAATCGCTTTCCATTTGGCCAGCGACAAAGGCATGCGGAGCTCTCGAGAGCTCCCAAACGTGAGGACCTGCACTTGGCCCAGGCGGAAATGGCCAGCCATGCATCTTGATCTGCTTCTGGCAATTGCTTTATATACCCTTGCCGGAGAGGGTATGACAAATTTGCAAAAGGTGAAGTTGCATTTCGACTTTTGAATATCTTCTAGGAGTGGGTACTCCTGTTCTTAGTTCTTTGCCATCCCTCAGAGGACTACATGATGCGAGACATTTAAATATTGCAGGCAAACTTTTATTAATATCAGATTGGGCTTTGGTAAGGGGTTATGTGCATCCTAGGATAAGGCAACCAAAATGGTGGTGCTATCCGCACTAGTGTTGGCTTCAGTTGTGGTTGAGACGGTGCCATTGCCGGGCAGAGTGCCATTTGGTGGCAGACCAAATTGTGGACGCCGCTGAGATCCTCCCTGCTGACCTCTCTGGGGTCCTCCCTGAGCAGCTACCACAGCAAGCAGGGCAAAGAGGACAATCAAGATGTGGAAACGCATGTTGTTTAGAAGTTCGAACTGAAACTGTGATAACTTTCACTGCCTCCAGAGCTCTTTTATACCTTACTTGCCAGAAGAAATCTACCCGCAGAACAGCTGCTGCCTCTGGGTGATGTATCACTGATCAAATAAACGCAAGTTCAGTTCGTAATTTGGAAAAACCGTAGACAAATATTGACTGCGCTAAGAACGGATTCTACGACTTGGTCTTGACTCTTTTTGGCCGCTCATTCATTCGGTTGCTTTTCATCTGCGTCATGGATAGGCAGCTGCTCTTGTTACGTTTTCCGTAGTTCTGGTTTCTTGTTTCTGTTTTTGTTTGTCTTTGGCGGGGGATTTTCTAGCTGAGGGAATTATCCAGCCCCATTTCTGGTGCATGAAAAGAGTATTTCAAGCGTCGTCGTCCCCTCCTTGACAACCTTCCTTTCTGATCTTGTCGCCTACCTACGCCCAGTAGTTCAGTCCACTCCGCTCCCCGCCATGGCCGGCCAATCGGATTGAGTGCATGTACGGCTGGCTACTCGTATCTGTATCCCATTTATCCTTGCATAATTGCCAGTAACCACGAAACAATGTTGCCAGACGATTTTCACTTTCATTCGCATTAAAATGCCTCGCATGATTGCGCTCAAAATTGTTTGATCTCCTAATGCTGGCCATTAAAATAGCGCTCCCCCCACCACCGCCACCACCACCGGTGGACCTCCGCTCACCTGCTCTCCCAATTATGTTGGTGAAACAAAATCAAAGTGCAAATCTTTCATATTTTTCTTTTTTTTTGTGTGTGATTTTTTTCGCATTGTTTTGTTTTTTTTTTTTGTGTGTGCTGCGGTTCATTGCTCACCTGTTGTCGCACTGGGCGTCAGTGACTGTGGCTGTGGCTGACCAACCTCATCCTGACTGGCATTTGTCTTCGTCGCCGTCACCGTCGTCACCGCCGTCGTTTTGGTTGTCGTGGTCGCCTCCGTCTCTGACGCTGTTGATTGAGCCAAGACCTCGAAGACTCCGCCGGCTGAGGCTGAGGCTGAGTGGACCAGAGGTGCGGCCGAGAGGAGCAGCAGCAGCAGGGAGCAGCAGCCCAGACAAAGTATCGTAACCAAATCGTTGCTCTTGTGGCGTCCACTGATCATCTTGGTTCGGTTCGTTGATCGCCTTCGGTTTTTCTTCTGTTATCTGGAATTTTGTAAATTGTAGAGCTGAGTTTCGGTTATGGCTTTGATGATGATTTAATATGCCCACAGATCGATTGTTGATCTCCCTGTAACCTGCCATTTATTGTCCGGCAGCCGGACCATGGCAAACGTATTCTTAAGTATTGGATAACGGACGTGAATGAGGAAGTAAGCCCGGCCCGGCCCGGCCCGGCTCGGCTATTTCAATGGACTCTCTTAACAGGTTGTTATCGAGATTGCTGGGAAGTTAATTTACTCGAAATGGGGTACAACACATGTCTACGAGTATATTCAGTTGCCCGTCAAAATTGATTCATGTTTGTTGATTAAAGAGCGAGGAAATTCAACCTTTCACTTACGAGTAGCTTAAATATTTATTTATCTAAAATAAATTAACCAAAAACGCTGTAAATTATATATTGATCAGATGTGCTTTGATAGTTCATAAAAATGGAAGAGAGAGAGAGAGTGTTGGGGTAATTTCGATATAATTATCATTATGGGGCTTTATTTTTAGAGTCTATTGCACTCGAACGAATTAGAAAATGTTTGCAATTAAAATTGATTTAGGGTAAATTTCGTCAAAAATATTACATCGTTAATAGGTATTCCCTATTAAGCTGTAATTTCATTAGCCGCAAAATTTCATAATTATAATTATATAAGGGAAATCCCGCTTGTCTCTCTTTTTCAAACTGCTGTTCAAACCCCACATAAGGATTCACCTCAATAATATTACATTCAACTAAAGAATTAACTGGTACGAGTATGCTTGGGTTTCTCCTCTTCAGAAACTGTAATTTCCTGAATGAAAGATTTTTAAACGATTAATTCATAATTTATGGCACTTCGGGACCGAAGGCAAGCGGTCAGGCAGTCAGGTAGCGTGACAAACCAGACTCCCTCTGAGGAGACGGAGACCCTGACTAGGGTCTGACGTCTACCCACGACTTGGGCGGGCGCCGGCATCTTTGACCAAAGCTGACCAAAGCCCTCTTACTCCGCTGCCATTTCTGCACGGTACCTTTCTTCCGCACCGTGGCTCTTCCTCTCTTACTTGCACTCTCCTGATCATTATATAAGTACTATAACGTGGAGCTGCCTGCTCTTTCTACATCACTTGCACTGCGCCAATCCTCCACCCATCCGATCTTCAACTCTCCCGCTGTTCTCTCCTCTCTCCCTCCCTGCTGGGGTTTCTCTTCCTGCCTCTCTGATTCTTTTTGTCGGACATGTCCTAAGGGCTTCTTATCATCATCATTTGCTTGCTCTCCGCTGTTGCTTGTCATCTTTGTCTCGTCTTTTCTTTCTTACTGAAATTTACTGACTTTTTTTCGGCTTGCTCTTCGCTTGCATTTCGTTCCCATCGAAAGTGAAACTTGTGATTTTTGATCATAAAAGAAAATTTGCATTTATTTTGCAGCGGCCTCTACGGGTTTCTTGTAGCCGGTGTCGCCGCTGTTACGGTTGTTGCCTGCTGCCTGCTGCCTCTGAGTCGCTCGGCGGCAATCGTAAAAATTAACTTGATTACTACACGCATAAATAAAGCCATTAAATGGCAAACATCTTGCTATGGCAGCAATTAAAATCAAATAAAATTCGCCGACGGCATCCAGATCAACCCCTCGCGAGGGGGGCAGAGTGCGTGCGGCAGGAGGTAGGCACCAGGAAGGGGAGGTGGCATACAATTGTATATAATTTTGTTTGTTAACTTTTTGAACACACAAATTCCAAGTATTGGGAGCAATGGATTCCCGAAATGTTAGCCGGAAAATGCTCCATACAAATGTTACAGTGCTTCCTTTAACAACATAGTACGAGTATTATTAGCGTTATGACACAAGCATACATTTGACTACTACCCTTTGCACAGGGTATTATGATTTATACCAGTAGTTTGGAACGCACAAAAACATCCCTTTTGCGACGCAAACAAACTCAACAGCGGAATGTAGTGAGAATGCGGAATGGTTAAGAGAGGGTATGACAATAGGTTACCGTCAATACACTACCATCCTTCAGAGGATTATTTGGTGCTAGTGTCTTATATTGACTATGCTGGTAGGATGTGAAAAACATTAAATTCTTGCAGGGAAATTTTTATTAATATCAGATTGGGCTTTGGTTAGTGTTTATCCTATGATGAGGCAGCAACCTCAGTAGTTGTGCTATCCGCACTAGTGTTGGCTTCAGTTGTGGTTGAGACGGTGCCATTGCCGGGCAGAGTGCCATTTGGTGGCAGACCAAATTGTGGACGCCGCTGAGATCCTCCCTGCTGACCTCTCTGGGGTCCTCTCTGAGCAGCTACCACAGCAAGCAGGGCAAAGAGGACAATCAAGATGTGGAAACGCATGTTGTTTAGAAGTTCAAGCTGAAACTGTGATAACTTTCACTGCCTCCAGAGCTCTTTTATACCTTTCTTGCCAGAAGAAATCTACCCGCCGAACAGCTGCTGCCCCTGTGTGATGTATCACTGATCAAATAAACGCAAGTTCAGTTCGTAATTTGGAAAAACCGTAGACAGACCTTTACGGGGGGTAAAAACGTCAGAACGTTCTTTGTGCTTTATTGACTTTATATGTATGCATGACATTTCAGCAGTATTTAATTCGAAATGGAAAACAACACATCCTGAATTTTAATGGGAACTAATTCTTGCATAGATAATCCCATCTACTCATCCCAGTTGCAAATCAATTTAATTCTCAGTCTCACAGCTGTCAACAAACAATCTGGAAGGGTATCCACGCATCAGTTTGTTCGTAAGTTAGGCTTGTTTTCTTCAATGTTCATTCACGTGTCAGTTATTTAATTTCCCTCATTGTGTTACAACCCATTTGCATAAGCCAGAGTCACTTTGTAATGCATTTAATTACGCATAATTTCTGTGTTATTTCACTTCAAGGTGTTTACATGACAAGTGAAATGTGTTGCCAGCTAAGTGAGTCTTATGATAGGGTATTATGTGATGATCCGATAAAATCTGAAGTACCTGCGAGCGTTTTAAACTGCTTTAGTGGCTGTTAATTGCCTGCCCTTGAAAGTAGAGAACTCTTGAACTGGAATACAGAAGAGAGGAACAGGCTGGTAAAAAGATTATTAATGGAGACAATTACCTTTTAAAGGCTAGACAGATCTCACATTCTATTTTCGTTTCTCTGTTTTAGTTTATATTTAACTGAAGAGTAATTAAAAACATTAAGTAAATGTATTTTCAGTTTCAGTTCCGTTCAAGTACTGATACTCCGATCTATCTCAATTAATCCTTTCACAAGTTTGCGGATTTACACAACCCTAGGCCGTGTCCAAAGACAGTTTATCTGAATTTATTTGGTAAATTACAAGCAGCCGAAGGTAAATCAACTTTCATGGCTCTCCGGACTCCACTCGGATTGCACCCAATCAAACGCAACCCACACATCGTACAAAGTATGCGAACACATTAACTTTATTCCCCCGCTATCATAAATGCATTCCAAGCACTTTCAATTGATGTCTCTTAAAAGCCACCACTCAGTCACTCAAACGCTGCCTGTTCGGGTGCCCGGTTGCCGGAGTGCTCGGCTGCCCGCAGCAAACAGAGACCCAAAAGGCTCAACGCAGACAGGGACGGCGAGCGATAAAGATAGAGTGAGAGATGCACTCAAAGCGACAGCTGTTAAGTGGCCGGCTTAGGCCATTGAGTGTAAAAAAGGCAGCCACAAAAACAAAAAGCCGATGAGCAAACAAACAGACCAATAAATAGACAAACAACCGAAGCAAAGACCAAGTCGCAGCCAGATCCAGAGCCAGTGCCAGAGAGCCGAAGCTGAAGCCAAAGCCAAAGCCAAAGCCAGAGATTCATTCAAGTGCGCGACACTTTTTATGCGCTAAGTAAAAAACAACAAATAGCTGAAATGAAGGTGCGCCCAAGGGCCGACTATTTAGATACTCTTGCGGGCCTATTTTAGCTATAAATTAAATTAGATTTACTAGCTTATTCCAGCTAAGTTCCACAAGTTGTAGTCTCAAAGATTCAGCCAATAAGCTTATTTGTTTAAATGCCTTTACCAGCTCTTTGGTTATTATTGGGAAAGAATATATATTCCTTCTGTTCATTGCAAACCTCTGCTCAAAATCCTAATACTCTCTTCAAGTGTATTAAAACCAACAACGACGACAACTGGTCAAGAAAAGAAAAAAACGGCATGAGGAGCAGCAGCAACAACTGCAAGAAACTGGCGCACTGAGATGCATACCAACATGGCAGCGTATTAGCCAAAGACAAATACTAATTGCAGCCAAAGCAGCTGCAACAGAAGCAGCATCAAGCAGCATCGCATCAGCATCAACAGCAGCAGCAGCAGCAGCAGCAGCAGCATCAACCTCAGCAGCAAGCATCAGCACCGGCTGGCAGTTGCTGGCTTTTTGTTGCCGGCAGTTAATTTCATTTAAAGAATGTCATCTTCACTTTAAGTGAAAGATAAATGTGCCGAGACGCAGGAGTGCCTGGAAAATCAAGTAGCACTTGGGCTGTCTCCCTTTCGCTTCATCTCCATCTCCATCTCCATCTCCATCTGCATCTGCATCTCCCTCTCCGTATCCCTCTCTATTGCCGTCACACACTGCGTATGAGTGATGTCCATTTGTTTGTCCCACCAAGCGCCGGCTTAACTTTATGCAGTGTCTTAATTCTTTGCGCAAAGATCGTAAAGCGAGAAAGAAAGATTCGATTTCGCTGGCAAAGAAAGGGGCAATTTATGTGCAACATCCGCACTCACGGATTACCCGCTTACTCGACCATTGAAAACCGAGAGTTGATTGATGGAAAATGCGTGAAAAATGGCCAACGAGCGCATGTTAATGGCCGAAAATGAGTCGTCGTGACCGGAGCAGAGCGCTGTAAAATGAAGCGTGCAGTTCTCGATGGCTAAGGCTGAAATGGATACGACTTGCTGTGATAGATGCTCCATATAAAGATCGTTGTGTTGAGGTTGAGTCATCAATCTTCAGCCAATCTAGTATTTGCTGATCGTATTATATCCCTAGCCGTTTTATTTGCTTGTAATTGATCGTACACATTGGACTCTTAACACGATATTTACCGATCGCACATCAACTTTAGTGGTCATACATGAGCTTAACATGTTGTAAAGCAATCTTCATTGATCATTCAAATGTGCAAACCAATCATATGCTTACGATTTAACATGACTTCTGGCGACCATACATGATTTTTAGCGATCTCACAATATCTTCAATATGTTTCAAAACAATCATAGCCGATCAAACAAGGTCTTGAATGATCGAACAGGATCCTAAATCACTTTTCATCAAGCTAGTTAAACTCTAGGTAATGTTAGCTGCTGCCACAGTATGCTATATAATCGAAACAGGATCTTTAGTGGGCATTCCAACGTGTCTGAGGATTGTGCAGGATGTCCAGTGATCAAGAATTATGTGAAGCAGCGTGAAAATGTTTATCGAGGATACAAGTTCCTCAGTTAAATATCAATAAATATTTTAACATATCACAGGTCACTCTGCAAACTATTAAAGCAATGAAAGACCCCTCACTCCCCTTTCCAGCCTAGATCAAAGCAGCTTGCACTTCGAAAACGGATTCCTTGTGTCAACGATCATCTTTAAGCATCCAATGCAATCCATCAATCACTTTCCAACCTCTTCAGAACCACATTCACTTCAACAGCCGATTCTTTCACTCACTTTCACTGCCTTACACAATCTAAGCAGGATCTTACATCATCTGGTTTCGGCCAAACAGCTTACCATTCAATGCTGGTCGCTGAGGAGCAATGATTCTCAACTCTGTTTTCGGTTTTGTATTCGTTTTATAATCCTTTTGTGAATGCTTCTATTTGATTAATTTGCAGTCATTTCCTGGCTGACAATTGTCACAAATCAATAATCAAACACACAAACACGATCCAAACACACACAATTGGCCGGGCTGGGACTCGGGCACTGAGGACGGGGCTTTCAAGAAAACATTTCATTTCATTTCATTCAGTAAATTTCACTTTTAAACGACCAACGCGGCCGATGAAGATACTCGTAGCGGCGGCCAAGGTGGCTCTGGGAGCTTCTTATTCGTACACCTGAACCGACGACGACGACAGACATTCGCACGGCTTCAGCTTCAGCTTCAGCTTGAGCTTGAGCTTCGATTTTTGGATTCGGCTTGGGGTTCGGCGTTCGGCGTTCGTCTCTGACGGGGACTTTTATGGAGGATCTTCAGGTTTTCTAGTCGGTGTCTCTCTGGTGTCTGGTGCCAGTGCATCCGTTTCAAATCGCGTCCGTTTGTTAACTGATTTCGCGTTGTCTTGGCCAAAACTCAAATTCGAAACTGTTAAAAGAGGCAGCGACGCTACCTGTGGCAGCGACAGCGACAGCGGCGCGACTGCAACCGAACCACCAGACAAGTCTGCACTTGTCGTCTTTTCGCTTTTTTTTGTTGTTGTTATTTGTTGCTTGTTGTTGTTTGTTGCTGTGCTGCCTGCTGCCTGTTTGGTGTTTTGTTGTTGTAGTTGTTCAAGTGGCTTTTGTTGAAGTCTCTGCTGGCGCTGTTGTTGTTGTTGGTGTGGTTTTCAGTGTTGTTATTGGTTTTTGTTGCTGCTGCTGCAGTCGTTGTTGTTGTTGTCAAAGTCCCTGTCCTGTCTAAGTTTTTGGTTGTAAATATTCTGTCAAATCTTTCATTCAAATTAATTCATATTTGATATTCTCGCGCACTGAGCCATATGGGGCATTCGCACATTCAGATTCGATGTATGATACTTACTTAGTGGCGTTGATTCGCTGTAAAAATTGACCAAGTAAGCGAATAACACACATTTTAGACCACCTATATAAATCAGAATATACTATATGTAGTAAGTGTACACTCCAATATTATAGGGACCAATTCGACAAGTAGATGCATATTGTATGTTGTTCTGCTTGAATTACTCAATCGAAATGTTAACGTGGAAGTGAAAAGGAGCAACAGCAGGAACCATCAGGAGTTCTAAAGATAGGAGTTCCTTAAAGTTTTTCCCACCTTCTCATGCAACGTGATCGGGTGCTGCAGCTATTTTGTTTTCAAGTTAGCCTCACATTTCACTGCCTGCCAAAGAATGTTGGTTCTGTTTGGTCGAAACTTTTTTCTGGACTTTCGCTTTTCGTTTCGTGTCGGTTGCATAAAAAAAACACCCGAAATTTGTGGCCAAATAAATTTCTACCTGGGGCCACTAATCGTAAAATATGTTAAGAGCTTCGGGACACAGCCAACAGCCAACAGTCAACAGCCAACAGCAGACAGAAACAATTGGCAATAGTCATGACATGACTGGCTGTCAATTGTTGCTGTTGCCGCTGGTGCTGTCTCTTCTGCCCCATGGGCGTGTGCGTATTTGATGGGAGTCAGGAGACGAATGAGAGGGGGGGGGGGAGGGGGCGGTGACGGGCACACGCGAAACACGTCGGGTGCTGATATGCCTTTTGTTGTTGCTAGGCCTCAAAGCCTTCCATTGTTTTCTGCATATTTCTGCACAAAAATAAGGTGTCAATTAAGGCGCAACATAAGCGCGGCAGAAACAAAATTGCAAATCAAAAGACTTTGGCAACGAACTTGACAGATGACTTTCACAGCCTAGAATGGCTTTGCACGCCCGTAATGTATGCTCATATCAATGGGTACTGAATAACAAGCGGTTCGGCTCAAAATCAATCCACTTTCTTTCTTTTTCAAAATTAAGCATATGTACATATGTTTAGTATTCTTTGGTGGCGATTACGACTGGCGAAGCATGTCCAAAAGAGTACGAAGAATAAAACAACTACATAGAAATATCTGGGAATCTATTTTACCTTTACTACAAATACCTGTTGTAATTTATCATAATTACCAATCAACCTCTCAACCTTTGGAAAAATACAGCACAAGATTTGCTAGCGGACAATTCCTATGGTCTAATAAATTAATTCCCCCGCCAAAGATTTGTATACTATTTTCCGCTCAGTGTATTCACAGTCAAATTAAGGATGGAGCCTTGGCAAATCATTTTCTGTCCCCTCCACTGGCAATTTGTTATCCTCCCCGCCCCCGTCCTAAAGCGAATTCAAACGAATTTCCTCAGTCAGAGTTGGTCACTTGGTAAGCCGCATTAACTTGTTTCTGTTGCAAGGCCATCGCCGAGTGTCGAGAGCCAGTGCGGGCACCCCCGCCAGTGGCTTGTGGGCCCCCCCTTAATTAGCGCATGTGTTGCATGTGGCTGTGTTGCATGTTGCCAGCAAACTTGCAAAAGCCTGCAACTTGCCACTAAGCAAACATTGTTGTTGTTGTTGTTGTTGTTGTTGCTGTTGCTGGTGCTATTGGCGGTGGCTGGAGACTGAGGCTGAGGCCCACTCAGCCGTGTAAATTGTATCAATAAATTTATTGATTTCAACTGTTGCTGCTGACTTGTTTAATATTTTGCGACGATTTATGTTGCAGGCATGCAAATTTTAGTATTTATTTGCTTTGTCGGTGCACGCAGGAGATGCTGCCAGTGCCGCTCGCTCTGGCTTTAATGAACATGTTGTCTCCGTGCCGTGTCGTCGCTCTCTGTGGAAAGAGTCATCAAAAGACGCACGCATGGCAAATTTGTGTGCTCCGGCTGTCATCTATGGCCTGGCTGCTCCTACAGCTCCTCCAGCTCCTCCAGCTCCTACTGCGCCGCCTCCTGCTCTAACTACGGCTACAGCGCCAACTTCAACTAAAACTCCAGTTGGATTTCCAGCTCGTGCTCGTGTCGTTAAATGACAGAAATTAGGCAACCTTTCACTGGCGCATAATTTCACCCACACGCACACACTCGCACTCGTCCCCCATACACAGAGCCACTTCCGGCAACTGGCGAGAGTTTTTCGTATACCCGATAATGGTATACCGCCCATAGGGGTATATTGTATTTGTGGAGACTTATGTAACTTGGAAGGGGATGATTTGTCCTGTCTGTTCGTAAGCAAAAGCGAGTTTTGTACTCTTTCAGAGGCAGAGACTAAATCCTGAAAGACTATAAAATATTTAACTATAAGAGGTATGTAGTCTAAGCTGTTTTAATCATATATATCCACCAGCAGCATAAACGGCTTCCCTTTGGCAGCATTGCCATTTCTTATTGCCATTTGATTCTCATTGTAAATGTATTTCTTGATTCTCCTCTCTTGCCTGCTGCATGCCAATTAGATAACTTTCTACTCACAGTGACATTTCATAAACTAAATCTAGCTAATGGGTATGTCAAAATCGAAGCACTCGGTATCGACAATGGCATTCCTATTTGTTTTGTTCAGTTGTTTTTATTTTTGGTGCGTCTGCACAACCAAAGAACACTTTCGTTCATTGGCTAGCCATAAATACAGCACTCAAAACCATTCGAGTGACGGGTCTCACACATATTTTTATTATTTTGCATTTGGGTTAGGGCAATTTCTACGGCCATCGACTTGCCACTGGCCACAGCAGCACCTGCCATGCATGCCAAATCAGGTGAAAAGCACTGTTGAGAGGCGAGTGGAAGCCGCCGCCGACTGTCTCTGCCGTCGCCCGGTGCATTGCTAATTAGATAAACAAATTTTCATGTGTGTTGGGTTTTTGGTGTTGGGCTGCGCTGCGCTGCGCCTGCGCGGCCAACAGTCCACTTCGACGTGTACCGTACCCCTGGACATTGTTGCACGCACTCGAATTATTGAAAAGTGAAATAAGCTGCGAAAGGTGGCTGCTTCGCCAAGGGTAAATGGTGAATGTTGAATGCTCTCTCTATTTTGTGGCTTATGTGATTCGTTTTGAGGGTAATCCAGAGCGGAAAATATTCAAAAATCAATTAAACATTCGTAGTTGATAGGTAGCGCTAAGGCCCCTTAAATATAATAATTATAATTAGCATAGAAATAAAAATAGCGCATAGAAAATATAAATCGATGATGGTCTTTAAATGATGGTCTACATTTATATTGTTCTGGTAATCCAGCACAAATCGAACCTTTGAATCTTTCTTGTTATTGAATGCCATACAATTCATTTGATTTCTCCCACTGGCAAAGCGTCAGGCCTCACCTCAAAGCTAAGATACCCTCATGACAGTACAGTATGTAAGTACTCGTACAGTGATAAATATACAAACAGTCCGATGCTTAGTTTCTAAAAAAGAAAGTGAAATTCGAATGCGGACAGAACGCGGCGTAAAGTGCGAGGCCCAGGTAGCGCCTAACTTGGCCAGGACCAGGCCAAAAGCAACACCAACACCAACAACAACAACAACAACAACAACAACAAAAAACCAGACCCGATCCGATCCGAACCGATGCGACGCGATTCGATTCGATTCGATCCGCTGCGAGTTATCGCAAGTTTTTGATGCTAAACAAATATGACTAATTATGGAGGAACTGACGCACTAAACAGCGCCACATAATGCCCCAGTCGTCTTGGTTTCGACGTAGATGGTCCATCCAATCCCAACCCAGGCAACAATAACAACAACAAAAACAACAAACACCGGGGGACCGGTTGCCGAGACCCAAACAAACACCCGCAATTTCGCCAATTCGTGGAAAAACGTTCGATTGTATGAATGAAATGCGTTTTACGCGACAAACAACAAAGTCGCAATCGAACTCAACTCGAGTCGTCGTAGTTTTCACTCTATAAGGTGACTAATCTCTGCCCCACCCCCTCCACCCCACCCCACAGATGGACTCTCCACGGTGCGCGTCAAGCGCTCGTCCAGACAACAACACGCCTCGGAGAGTCGCCACTGCAGAGGCATCCACCACATCATCCGAGGCAGCGGCTCCACTAACATGTGCAGGCCACGCCCACGACTGTTGCACATCAATCGATTCAACGGCGGCAACGATGGAAGTACTGGCAACAATGGCAACAGTGACAACTCCAAAAACAACTCGGAAGATTACAAATCGCAAACGGACGAGAGCCGGACTTTGAGGTGGGGCATAGCACCGGTCAGCCTCATGGCAAATGATTTTGCCACCGCCTTGAGTGTCCTGCCACCGCATCGCCATGAGATCGTCTCTTGTGCGGCGGCCTATCGTTCGCATGCCCTTGCCTTTGCGGATAAATATGAAGTGAGGAACGTGTACACCAGCTTTGAGGATCTGGCCAGGTGTCCAAGTGTGGGTGAGTGTCTAGACACAATGACTCCTGATGGAGTCATAGCAACTGATCATAGCAACCTTCCAACTTCCTTGAGGTCAGATGTTGTGTACATATCGCCGCTGAATCCGCTGCACTGTGAACTTTGCCACCTGATGCTGAACCACGACAAGCACGTGCTGTGCGAGAAACCGATCTGCATGAGCGAGTCAAAGGCAGAGAAGCTGCTGCGGAAAGCCCAGGCCCGCGGTCTCTTCCTCATGGAGGGCATGTGGCCACGCTGTGTGCCCGCCTATCATTATCTGCGCCACCAGATCCTGCGCAATCGCTTGGGCGACGTCCAGAATGTTCACTGCACCCTCGGTCTGCCCGTGTCGCAGAGTAAGTTGGCCCTCTACGGGGGTGTGACGAGCGATTTCGGTGTGTACGGGATACAGCTGGCGCTGTGGGTGTATCGGGAAGTGCCGGAGAAGGTGCGGGCCACGGGGAAGCTCAACGAGGAGAATGTGGACGTGGTGGCCAATATAGAGCTGGCTTTTAGCCACAATCGCTGGGCCAACATCGAGGTGAGTGCCGAGGAGAAGCTGAGCAACAAAGCCATCATCCAGGGCAAGGAGGGCTGCATCAAGGTGTGTGCACACATCTGTCTCTGATCTCTTCTATAGAACTCTTCTCCCCCCAACAGATGGCCAACTATTGGTGTCCCACGCGTCTCATTACCGAGGACACTGACTACGAGTTCCCACTGCCTGGCGGCGAGGAGGTCATCACCCACTATCACAACCGCCTGGGCATGTGCTACGAGGCGGAGGAGGTGCGAAACTGCATCCTGAACGGCAGCACCCAGAGCGAGCTGTTCAACCATAACGAGAGCCGACTCCTGGCCAACCTAATGGACAGCATCCACGCCCAACTGGGAGTGGGTCGCAGCACCGAAGTCTATACCAAATTTAAGCTGGAGCACGATTCAAAAAATGCCACAGAGGCTGCCACCGATCGGGACACCAGCGAAACAGTAAATAGTAAGACGAAGAAGAAAGGCGCTGGTTCATAGAGCGGGTGGGAGGGGGCAGCTATCTGTTGGATACACTTACATATGTATGCGATTTTCTGTTTAGTGTTTATGTTATAAAGATGTCTAATTTAACATTTAAATGTTAGCTCTTACATAAATCGGTCTGCCTTTCAAATCCACAAAGTTTTTAGCGATCAGAGCGAATATAATTGAGTTTTTACAGTAAAAGTTGTTCATGTAGTTATTGCCGCACATATGACATGATGTATACATTCTACACTGGCGCCCTCAGCCGGAGTTCAGCGAAAGCTTTCGTAGCTAGTTCAAGCTTTTATGCCCGTATGACATTACCAGCACAGAGATAACACATCACGGGAGTATCATGCAGTGTGAACGAGAGACTTTCCAGTGCCAAGCCGGTGACAGCGCAGCAGCAGAGATTATGTTACACATTTTAAATCAAATTTTGATAATCTAACGGGCTGGGTGTTGCTTTGGCTTTGATAGTGGCACAGTTCTTAATAGCCTCTGATAGCCGGGAGACGTGACGAGACGGTAACAAATTGATAAGACAAATGCCTATGTAGGGTAGGGACTAGGATCAAATAAAAACAAAAAAATGATTGGCCGCGATCTATCAAGAATTTACGTGCAGAAACTATTTGTCGATGGGGCATGGTTCTTTTTTAATGGAATTCGAAAGTATAATTTTTGCACATAATATACATAATAACAGTATCCATGTATCCAACGACCACACAATATAAACGAATTTAAAATGAAATTTCTTTAGTATATGTGTATCGCAGGTTAATTTGTTATTTCTTGGGTGTTGTAAAATTGTAGTAAACTCGTAAACACGCAAATATACCAAGCTCTCGTTTTATAAATTTATTTGTCGTTTTTTTCGCTTTTATATAGGTTTTTAATTGGATTTAAAAAAAATAAAAATTCTTAGTATTCTATCAGTATCAACTTATTGCTTTTTAACCTTCTTGTTCTGTGTCGATTTCTTCGATTTGCCGGTACATTTCCTCCACAAAAACTTCCACACCACCTTGTTGATGAGGAAGATCAGATATAGTGCCAGGGCCGCGAGGACATAAATATCCAGATTGTTGCTAGCGACAATGCCCATGTGGACCAGAGGACTCTGCATGTGAGGAGCACCATGGTGACGGATCACATACTCCGTCCAGTAGACAACCAATTCCTGGGCTGTCTGCGGACGATCGCGATACAATTTGGAGAAGTTCTTCACATTCCTGGCATACTTTGGATTGCTGATAATCTCATCGATGGCCTCCTTGAACTCCTTCACATCGAGGGAGGTGAGTTCCAAGCGCAAACCATAGCCGTTCTCCTCTATCTTGTCCGCATTTCCCGGCTGATCGGCGAAGACGGGCAGGGCCAGCATTGGGACTCCATGGTACTGGGCCTCGGCCACGCCACCCTTGCCCGCATGCGTGATGAAGAGCTTGAGCTTCGGATGGGCCAGGATATCATCCTGGGGCAGCCACTTCTTGTACAGTATGTTGGCAGACTTGCCGGGTGTGTTCTTCGGATCGTCCCACTTCCAGATCACCTGCTGCTTCAGACTGGACAGAGTCTTGAAGATGGTCGAGACCACCTCTGGCTGGAAGAACTCGCCCTTGAGATTCGAGCCAAGACTGAACAGAATGGCGCCATTTTTGGCATTATCCATGAACTCCTTGATATCTTCTGGCAGGGCATCTGCCTTGCTCTTCACTTGGATGCCACCGATTTCGATGACGGCCGGCACATTCGGGCGGATGGGACCCTCGCTGATTCCATGACTGTTGCAGAAGACCAAGGAGACGTTCTTCATTGCCTTCTCGAGGCTGGGCATGCTCTTGTCATCGCCCCAAAGGCGTCTGTATTAGAAAAAAAAGAAAGAGTTTCAATTAAATAAGTTATTTTAGATTATAAGCGACATATTATGTTATAATTAAACAATATTTTTACAGAAGATTAACAAAATCAGCAATCAGATTTTTGGTTTCAGCGACGATTACTTTAAAATGATTTTAACTTTTGGTTGCTAATTCTTTTGGCAGCAATGTGATAAAGTAAAAATAAACTGATATGAGTCGATGGAAAATTACAGCTGGCTATCAATACTGGTTAATGCTGGGCAATAATACTCACTCATAGAAGCCCTTATATCGGAAGTCAAGGATTTTGCCTAGCAATTTGAACCCGTTAGAGCTGAAGAAATTCGCCACACGCTGCTGGAAGTTCATGGGCTTTCCTGCTGCAACGGATATTTGCATTTGGGGGACACTGGAGAGCTCCGGATTTCCAATAATGTCATTGACCATATTCATGGGCGGACCCATCCACGATACAATAATGGGACAATTGAACTTGGCGCCCAGTCCCACCTGATACGTATTGAAGAAGAAGCCCACAAAGAGAACATCGAATTTGTTTTCCTTGTTTTTGTAGAGATCCGTGAAACGCTTGTCCTCCAGCGTTTCCACCTGCTTGTGTATAAGCAGGGAAAGTGAACTGAAAATCGATTTCATGGTGACCCAAATGGAGGGCTTCTGCTTGACCATATCCACCATGCCCCCGTGGATCGTCTTCTCCTCCTCGGCAGTCAATGGGATGACAATGTGCTTGATGCTCTTGTGCGTCACCTTTGGCGGCAACGATGACACCACCGTGATATTGTGTCCCTTCTCGGCCAGCGACTTCATAATGGACATGTGCACTATGAAATGCGATGGGCTGTGACTGGTGAACACTCCCAGAATGTTGGATCCCTCGGTGCTCTGGGGCAGGGAGTGCAGGGCCAGGAGGGCGAGCAGCAGACCGCCCAAGCTGCAGCCCATTATCGTGTTTCGATTCTCTGTCATGATTCGCTGATGTCCGCGTCTATACTGATCATTTACTAGCGTCTGGCTCGTATCTTATAGTTGGTCGGCAGAAGCGATAACACACTGATAAGATTTCGTTAGCCGTTTAATCTGAAAAAAATGCATGCCAATTACTAGGCAACAAATAATTGAATCTGATAGAAAAACAGATGTCAAGTACTTTCTTGATGACGAAATTCAGAAGTTTAGGCGACTATTTAGGACTTTATACTCAACAAATTAGTCGGTTTTTATTTAATCGTAGGATATACAAAAGTTTAACTACAATTTAATTCCCATTTATGGAACTTTAGGATAAATTCACAGGCAAAGAATTTTTAATTCTTTTAGGTTTCTTTCTAGACAGAGAGTGTTTGTTCACTGAATATTGAAATAAACACTCCAAGACACACCTCATAGTTGTAGTGCAACAAGAATCTATCACAGAGCTTCCCGTGCAAGTGGGTTACGAGTAAATATTCTCACAGTCAAAGTCAATTTAGAGGTTAACTAGTGTTTCCCATTAAGTTCACAGTCGGCTGATGACTTTAACAAAACAATTATAGATATTCTAAATACCTCTTCTATATACCGAGACGACACACAGCAACAATACACTATTAAATACTAGACAACGAATTTGGAAAACAAAACGCGTTCGGGCACGCGCTGCGCTGCGACTCACTGAGAATTTGAATTCGCATCGATTCGAACCGCTGCGATCGCACACTCACACTGAGTGGGACGAGAGTGGGAGCGAAAGAGAGCCGATAGCCAGCGAGAGGGACATTTCTATAAATAAATAAATAGGGAGAGAGAGTGGGAGGCAACCTGTTAAGCTTGGAAGCACGAGTACGCTATGTGACATAATTATAAAAGCTAAAGTGCAGGTCATCAGTGGCACCTTGGCACGTTGGGTGTACACAGTACATATGTACATATAAACTTTATCTGTTGATTATAATAGCTTAACGATAAGCGATTCGCATGGATAGGTTACTGTAGGTTTCAAAGGTAAGACTATACAATTTGTTAGTTCCCTTCGCAAGGCTAAAACACTATCACCAAAAACATAGATATTGTATCTATTGTATTAGTAAGCTTATTGTCTAAACTAACATACAGTTGCGCAACGCACTGTATTTGGCAAGCAAGAGCAAGTGTAAGCAATTAATTCGAAGGCTCCTTGATTACACGGTATCTCTCTCTCTCTCTCTCTCTCTCTCTCTCTCGCTATGTCACAGCACAAACAGAACACTTCAATGGACGCTTTCTGTCCAGTCATGCTTTCCAGCAAAGCTTTTCCCGCTCTCATTGAGCCCTTGGGTGCACTCACTCGCGCTCTTTTGATCTCTGTTGATCTCTGTTGATCTTTATGCAGTCGCTCTCTGGGCGTTCCTAATGGGGAAGCTGGCTTTGGCGTACACACTTCCGTGGGGTATTCTATGGAATATATGTATGTATATGTACTCAGCAGATGGCGAAACTGTTTCCGATCCCATAAATTGTTCATATAGTACATGTACATTCAAATGTATATATATATATATATGTATTTTTGTATATTTCGAGCTACAGTCGAATAGGTTTTTGTATTGTGTTCGTTAACCTGTTTCTAAATTTTAAAGATATTTTTCCAAAACTATGCATAAATTTACATATATTTATTTCCACACGCAGTACGCTTGTCGAACCACTTTCAAATAAACGATCGGTCATATTAGAAGTTCGAGTGAGACAAACGTTGTGCATTTTAATTTAAAGTCAAAATCGGACTCGTATACTTGCTTTACAAAGTCGTGAAATCTCGCATTGTAGCGATTAATTCGGCAGGGAATTTGAATAGTCGACTCTTTAATTTAATGTTACTTACTGTTTATTTTTTTTCAAACCCTCACTTGTTTAAAATAGTACACTATTTGAAAACACTAAGTTAATGTCTGTCAATTAATATTATTTCATTATAAATTATGTAAAATTATTATATATGTACTACTAGTAATTACTTACTCGTTTTATGCAATTACTTTTTCACTTATTGAACTAGAATTGCGTGAGAAATGTTGATTAGAATATCTTATCTTTAAGTTTGCTATTCGAGGCTTTTGGTCGATAAGAATGGCCACGCACAAAACTTAATACTTTGCGAAATATATATCGGAATACCAGGCGTAGTAACAGCAGGGTAACCAGTCCAAATAATAGAAGTGTTCCGTATACGTCAAGATTGTGGCGGGCTACGATGTCCATGTGGAGCAGGGGACTCTGCAGGTGATAGGCGCCCTGGTGGCGGAGTACATACTCTGTCCAGTAGACCACCGATTGGCGAGCGGTCAGCGGACGATCGCGATACAGGGCTGAGAATCTGCCCACACTCGCCCGGTAGGAGGGATTCTCCAAGAGCTCGCGAATAGTCTCTTCCAAAGCCTTCTCTGTGAGTGTAAGGATATCCAGATGGAGTCCAAAGCCGGACTTTGCCATAATTTCTGCATTTCCTGGTTGATCGGCAAATATCGGGAATGCCAACATAGGAACTCCATGGAACTGGGCCTCGGCAATCCCACCCTTACCCGCATGGGTGATGAAAAGTCGCGTCTTTGGATGCGCCAGGATGTCGTCCTGGGGAAGCCAATTACTAAAGTATATATTTGATGAATTTCCTGGTGTACTCTCCATGTCCTCCCACTTCCAGACAACTCGCTGAGGAAGCTTCGAAAGCACCTTGTACAAAATCTCTACGATCTGAGGGCGAATGCCACTGAATTTGACATTGGTTCCAAGACTAAAGAATATGGCCCCGTTAGTGGAGTTGTCGAGAAACTCAGCCAAGTCCTTAGCAAGAGGATCCGGCTTTTCCTTCACCTGTATCCCACCAATTTCAATGGATTGCGGGACTGTCGGACGGATGGGTCCCTCGCTGGGAGCATGATAATTGTAGAACAGCAGGGAAATGCGACGCTTCATCTCGTAGTACGAAGGAAAGTCCGGATCTGAATTATTGGCAAAAGCTTGGCTGGGAAATGACAAGAAAATTAATATTTGGGGGCTACTCGATTTGGAATCTCGAAATTCCATACTCACTTGTAAAACTCATTCATCTTGTGTCTTATTAAAACATTTACAATCTTTAGGAATGAATTTTTGAAGAAGTTAACGAAACGCATGCCAAAGCCCATGGTGAGATGCCCCGGTTCGAGGGCGACGTTCACACTGGGTACATAGGACGGATCATCAATATTTCCCACCTGAGAATCCGTAAACGGCATGGGGACACCTACCCAGGTGATTATCACCGGACAGCGGAGTTTAGCTGCAATTCCCAGTTGAAAATCGTTGAGCATCAGACCCAAAATCACCAGATCGTACTTAGTCTGGGGATTCTCGTAGAGGGACTTCACTTTGGGATGCAGTGTCCACTCGTATTGTCCATGGAGTACGGGACTGGGCCGCAAAAGCAGGTTGGCCAGAAAGCTCCAAAAGGATTCCTTCTCGCTGGACACTCGTTCCATGTATGCCCTAGTGAGCGCCTCCTGTTCGGGTGTGGGTAGTGCCACAATAACCGTTACGTTCTCATGGGGCTGAAACTTGGGCTCCATCTGGGTCACCACTGTGATGTTGTGACCCCGATCTGCCAGAGTCTTCACCACAGCCATGTGTACGATCACATGTGATGGACTATAGCTGCTGAATACACCTAGGATATTGGCACCTTCGATGGTACGAGTCCCCATTGCCAGCAGGAGAATCACTAGCAAACAGATCGCAAGACGTTTTTCCATTATAAGCATCTTTCTCGATCCCGCAATACTTGACTGAGTGACGACGCCCCAGCGTACGAGTTTTTATAGATTTACTCCCCCAAAGAAGAGTCTGAGTAGGGCTAGACAGATTAAATATTTTTCATTGATATGACTGAAAAGCGTTTTTGCTGCGCCGCAGTGACTTGCTTGCCGAAATTCCAGGCCAGCTGGAAGACATGGCAGACAACAAACATTTCCAAAAATAATCTACTTGCTGACTTGGTGTAGGAAAAAGATTATGCTTATCAGATAGTAAGATATGAGCCAATACAAATGTAACACTGATTGAATGTTTGATAACTAAATCAAATACCACCAACAGTAATATTTGGACTCTTACCAGGTACATACAAATTTATTGTTGTAAAATATGTGACCCAATTAAATATATGTACCTACGTTCATAGTTATGACACCAATTCAGCAATTCTTGCAATGGGAACAATTAATATTATACGTTCATTATGGAAGGTTACCAATTCCAAACAAGTTAGAAAGTCATTAAAAAAAATTTTTTGTTCTTTAAACAAAACAAACCATAAATTTGTATATTTAAGTTTTATTTGAATAGGAAAATAATGCTAGGAATGAGGTCTTACTGTAGTTACTTAATTTCGATGTATTTCTCATTCAGTCTCAATGCTTCTTTTGTTTCTTCGAACTCTTTGGATTACTCTTCGCCTTGCCTTGAAATTTTCTCCAGACAAAGCGCAACGTCAAGCGAGCTAGGAACACAATGATAGCTAACACCGATATCAGCAAGGCATACAGATCGATATTATATAGCTCGACGAAGCTCATGTGCACGGACGGACTCTGCAAGTGCGGAGCACCTCGATGCCGGAGGACGTAGTCAGTCCAGTACACAACCGTTTCCCTGGCAGTCAGTGGACGGTCCCGGTACAGCGAGGAGAACTTGCTAATGGTCTGGCTGTATTTATCATTATCCAGCACCTCCTTGAGGGCTGTCGTAAGGCTTTCTTCAGTGATGGTCTGCAGATCGAGGGCCACACCATAGCCGGAGTTTTGCATCTGAACGGCATTGCCCAGTTGATCGCCAAAGATGGGCAGGGCGACCATGGGAACGCCATGATACTGCGCCTCGGTGATGCCTCCCTTGCCGGCATGAGTGATGAAGAGTTTCGTGTTGGGATGGGCCAGGATGTCGTCTTGGGGTAGCCACTTCTTGTACAGTATATTGGTGGCATTGCCGGGGGTATTTTCCAGATCCTCCCACTTCCAAATCACATTACGATTGATGCCCGACAAGACTTTGTAGATGACCTGCACCAGTTCCGGTTTCACGGCAGTACTCTTAATGTTCGAGCCCAGAGAGAGGAGAATGGCGCCCTCCTGAGACTGCTGCAGGAACTGATCGATATCCTTGGGTAGAGGATCCGCCGAATCCTTGACCTGAATGCCGCCGATTTCAATGATGGCAGGTACCAGGGGTCTGATGGGACCCTCGGTGATCAGATGGCAATTGACAAACGCCAGCGAGATATTCTTCCTCATTTCCTCCAGGCTGCGCAGTTCCTTCTCCTCACCAAAGTTGTCCCTATAGTGACGTGTCACCCTTTTATCCAGCACACTGGCCATGTATCTGATAAACAGATACTTGCCCAAGTTCTCGGCCCGCTTCAGCAGACCCATGGGCTGCGTTGCAGATGTGGCTATGTTGGGCACATACGATATCTCTGTGGGATTGCCAGTGAAGTCGTCTATGATTGGTATGGGCGCATTCATCCAGTCAATGATCACGGGCACTTGTAGCTTGGCTGCCACCCCCAACTGGAAATCGTTGATAAAATATCCCAAAATCATCAGATCGAACTTCGTTTCGTATATGCGCTGGAATCGAGGATCCGATAGCAGATCTGCCTGGGCGTCAATCATTACATTCATTTCGTTCATCAGGCGATTCATAGTGCTTATCACGGAGTTCTTTTGGCCCGCCATTTTGGCCATCTGGTTCTCCAGTACTCGCTCCTGCTCCTCCTTCACCGGCACCACTATCAGGTGGATATTCTTGTGCATCACTGTGGGCTTCAGCATGGACACCACGGTGACATTATGACCCGCCTCGGCCAGGGCCTTGGCCACTGACATGTGGATTATCAAATGGGAGGGACTGTGACTGCTGAACAGTCCCAAAATGTTCGCTCCGCGAGCAGACACCGCCAGCGCTACTAGCAATACAAATACGGAGCGTACAGCTAACATTTTCTTGTCTGGTCAACGTTTAATCGAATACTGCTGGGACCGAGGCACACGACAGGCTATTTATTTATTTATTTACCTATCTATCAGTTCAGGCCATAGCACAGAGAACATAGCTAGCAACATGGCTAAGTATAGCCTCTCTTCGACTGATATTCGATTCTCTTATCTAGCTACGTGCTCCATGCCTAGGTAACCGGCATTGAATGTTATGAAATGGATTTCTTGTTCCCTACGGCAATGAAATACACTTTTAGAGTTTTAGAATTTTAGGAAGTGGACTAAGGAGCAATAAATGTAATTATGATTTAGCTTAGAACTAGCTCAAGTATACTAATTGATGAACTGTCCCAGATCTTTAGGATGAATAAGCGTGGTTCCTTTACGGTAGATTAAGAGAACTGTTTCGAGTTTCGGTCTTGAACCACAAGTAGTAAATAAAGTTATGGCCATGACTTCCTCGCTGCTCTGTCACAATGACTCTGCAGATAGATGTTCAATAGGCCGTGTCTCCATTGGAAGTTGTCCAAGCTTTATGGTGGCATGAACTCTCACACAAAAAAAATATGCAAAATGCAAAATGATTCATGAGAATGTTTGGTGGCTTCAAACCCGATAAAATGAGACATAAACAAAAATAACGATAACGTATACAACATAAACAAATAAACCACAAGCGGAGAGAAGGAGCTTTCATTTAATATACAGATAAAGATAATGAGAGAATGAAAGCTTTACGCAAATAATCCCTTTTTTTCTTGGGGTGATAAGACCAGGAATGGGGGAGAGAGAGAGTTATGTAGAGCTGTCAAAAGTTATTCACAAAATATCTGTTCAAAAATAGAAATGTTCATGGATAACACTGTGCAATAAATTTAATACATATTAATTCAGTTAGACTATTAATTGAATATATTCCTATTATATATATCCATGCCATTTATTACATGTATCCCAAAAGTATGTTAATAAATATATAACTATTTAATTATCGTTGAACTACTAAATCTATCAAAAGCTTTAAATTCTATAGTATATTATTTAATATGGAGCATTATTTTACTACCAGCTAAGTTTACTGACTACCCATACCCTCCCCTTTTCCCTAAACAAACTTGGGGCGCACATCACACTCCAAACTAATTGAACTTTTTGCTGCCTGGCGGCACGGGATTCGCCTCCATGCGCAGGAGCTGCTGAGTCTGCCCCTTGATGTGACCCCAGTGGTTCATCTCCCTTAACTCTGCGTCAAACTCCTGAATAGTTTGATTCAGCTCCGGGTACAGATGCTTGAGCACGCCGTGGTCCAGCGTGGGGAAGAGATGGTGCAGCGCATGATCACCGAAGTGGGTGAGCACCAAGAGATCCAGCCACTTGACGTCTCGCCGATCGATGACCGTATCCATCTGATAGAGACCCCAGTCTCGGTCCGTGCGCTGGGCATCGCCATCGTGCAGTATGCGAGGATCATGATGGGCTGCAGTCAGCCCAATGAACCCAAAGAAAAAGGCTCCAACGGCGAGGACGTGCAACCAGCTCCATAAGGAAGCACTCAGACCCACGCCAGTGGTGAGATAAAGGAACAGGGGCAGTGTGAAGGCAATGAGATCGTCCCAGTACATGATGTTCTTCTTAGCCACTGAGAGAACCAAACTAGGAATATATATAGAGTTGCTTCATGATTACTGAATTAACTTTTGATATATCGCAACCACTCACCGCTGCAGGAACGTCGCAGAGAAGGAGAACACATAAAAGAGCGGAGAAACCACAACGGACATCCAGCGCTTTAGTCGACTGCCATAATGGGGACTGGGAACCCAGCACAGAAACGGCTCGAACATCGACAGCTCCAGATCGTGCAGGGAGTTCGGATACACGTGATGGGATAAGGCATGCGAGACCCGCCAGTTCCTGAAACTCAAGAGCGTCAGATTGAAGGTATACATCCGCCAATTGTCGCGCTGGTGAAAGTAATTGTGCGCGGCATTGGCCAGCCAGCAAAGTGCCAAGCCAGCTAGGGCCTGGACGAGGAAAGAGTCAAGGACTGTGCCAATCCAGCTGAGGATAAAGACAGAGGCCAGGATGCCAGTATGGAGGAGCTAAAAAAGCAATACAAAATATATTGTAGATCGATTTATCTGTAAGAGAAAGCAACCCACATCTGTCTTCTTGGTGGGACTGTAATTAATCTTCCTCAGTTTCTCTCTCACTCTCCGCTTGAGTGTCATGTAGAAACCATTCTGATCGAAGGTAAACTTGTAGTTCCTCGGTTGGGCTGCCTCTCGCACTTCGAATTTGTTGAGCATTTGTCGTGGTAGTTCCTCAATGTGGTGCGACTCGAAGGGTTCGGTGATATCGGTGCCGCGGGTGCACTCGATCCAGTATGCCCCACCCGGATGCCGCGTGGCAAAGTCGCTCAAATCGTATAGCTTATCGTTAATGCGCCAGAGACCTTCGGCCCCATCGTCCAAATGTTTGCCCTCCAGCCAGCTAAAGTGCAACAAAAGTTTTAGTTTTCTTTTCAGTCTTCTAATGGAATTAATAGCTGCAAACCTCTCAGTTGTGGCAGGCTTATGCTGGCGATAGCTGGGATAGGTGTTCGATATTCCCGGACACCCGCCAGGCTTCCTCCTCGATATTGGGGGTCATTTTATGCCCAGGAAGCTAAACGATCTAGAAAAAAACCAGGGGATATTTATTAATAAACACAAATTAATACACCTAATCGCTTCAGATAATTTGTTTATACTCGTAGACTCCCAAGTTCAACCTTCTATGTATAGTGGAAACCGGTCGTTGGTCTTCTATTCAGGGCACCCGACCGCAGTCTGTTTTTACGTAGTGCCCACTGAGCTTCTATATGGAGCGCGGCTCGACTTTCGTCTCGCGATTATCAACGATCAATTAAAAGCACAGTGCAGAGAGTGGCACTAATCAAGAGCTTTTCGCATCAGGTTCTCTCTGACGTTCTCTCTTAATTCCTATCAAGAGTAGAGTCCAATGGAATTGGAATCATATCGAAATGGTTGAATTTCGGGTGAGTCTCTGAATATGTTTGACCCCCCATGGAGACTTTGGTACTTAATTTTGTTGAGCTGTGATGTGTCATAATTTTGGTATCTGTAGGGTTTTTCGTATCATAAAAGAGCAAAAACAAAACATTTTTTTAAATCTTTCGTTTGAATTGTTTTTATCATCTTTACGTTCATATTTGTACCTCATTTTGTCGCCGATGTTCAGCTATGATTTTATCGGCAGTTCGCTTATACCTACAGATACGAAAACACCGATTTTTGCTCTTCAAGTGCCAGGAATGGCAGAATTAAAAATGGGAGGAACAGGTTGGGACAAGAACAAGATCAAGAACCAACTTAAAAAAAAAAATAATAGCGTAATTAATTCAGACTTTGCATCATATAAAATTCTGAGACTGCCTTTGAGGCCGTACTACCCTTAACTTTATCTTCATTCATCACTTTTGGCTAGACTCGGGCCAGCCAAGCGAAGCCTCTGCTGCTACATTTCCGCTATCAGCTGTTATTTTTATTTTCCTCAAAATGGCCTGACCAATGCTGCCCCGCCTCTCAGACAGACCCATGTTTATAATCTCTTGTGGTATTTTGGGCCCCCACAAGCATTAGACGCGGCCCCTTAGACAAGCCCACGATGTGTTTTGGTCGCCACGTGAACTCCCAGATTATATTATCGGTATATAATAGTAAAAAGGGGACGTTTAGAGGGGACGGGTCTGGGCTGTGCCTCTGCTGATAGCACTGACCTTATCAAAATGGAAATGTTTTGAAATATATAAATACGAGTATATGTAATTCGAAATCGATTCTGTTTTATATAACCTGTCGAGATTATTGGTACGCATAAAATCTTTGAACGAATGGCGATTCCATTCAGTTTATTGCGGGAACCACTACCCGTCGGTTGTTCAGCCAGTGCTTTGGTTCGTCGAAGGATCCCTTAAAAGGACTCTGCATCATGGTGATTGAGGAGTGGAAGAAGAGTGGCATTGCCACCAAGTTCCCGACATACCGAAATTCGGGTCTGGTCACCACACACAGCTGGCAGAAGGGCAAGCGCGAGGACGATCGGGCGGAAGGACTATGGCGCATAAACGATGGCATCTATGACTTTACGGAGTTCATAGACAAGCATCCTGGCGGTCCCTTCTGGATACGCGAGACGAAGGGCACCGACATTACGGAGGCCTTTGTGGCACATCATCTGACAACGGCTCCCGAGAAGATGATCGCCAAGTACTGGGTGAGAGATGCTGCGGAGCCAAGGATTTACACATTGACCCTGGATGAGGGTGGATTCTACAGGACCCTCAAGGAGCGAGTGCGTCACGAGCTGAAAACCATCGACAAGAAACCCAAGCGCAAGAGTGATGTGAGTGAAAAAGTGAAGCCATCAAAAGAGCATATTTTTTAATGAAAGTTTCCCAAAATGTAGCTTATCCACTTGGGCGTACTGGTGTCCTTGTTCCTGTTTGCCATCCTCAGTGCCAAGTACAAGAGTATAGTGGCTCTGGTGCTGGCCGGAGTGGCGCTCTGCTGGACCGTGATTGTGTCGCACAATTACTTCCATCGTCGCGACAATTGGCAGATGTACGCCTTCAACCTGGGCCTGATGAACTTCACCGCCTGGCGCGTCTCGCATGCCCTGTCCCACCACATCTATCCCAATTCGTATATGGACCTGGAGCTGTCCATGTTCGAGCCGCTGCTCTGCTGGATCCCCAATCCGCACCTCAAGAGCAAGGCCATGCGTTACGTGTCCTGGGTGACGGAGCCGGTGGCCTATGCCCTGGCGTTTTTCATACAGATCGGCACGCGGTAAGTGAATGATAAGCGTTATCACTCCAATCGGCGATCTCTAGATGATTGATTGACATTTCAGCATTTTCTACTCGTTGCGCCACACGAACATCATGTACTGGCACGATCTGCTGGCGCTTAGCATACCCATCTCCATCTATCTGGCCACGGGCGGCACAGTGGGCGTGCTGGGCTGTCTGCGCACATGGTTGGCGATGACGTCGATCGCCAGCTTCAGCTTCTGTCTTATCGGCCTGAATGCAGCGCATCATGACCCGGAAATCTATCATGAGGGCGACACGAATCGCGAGGATCGCGACTGGGGCCTATTCCAGGTGGACACAATCATCGATCGCGGTGATCTCAAGTGGTCGCAGTTCCTGGTGCTCACTCACTTTGGCGATCATGTGCTGCACCACCTCTTCCCTACCCTCGATCATGGTCTCCTACCAGCCCTCTATCCAGTGCTCTACCAGACTCTCGACGAGTTCAAGGGTCACCTGCGCGAATGCAATCACATCGAGCATATGATTGGACAGCATAAGCAGCTGCTGCGCATCACACCCAATCCCAAGGCACCCGGAGCGGGAAAGAAAGTAAAGTAGTTCCTCAATACCTTTAGTTATGTACGCATTTGCATCAGGAAGCTTAAGTCAGAGACAATAGAGTAGTTTTGGTTTCTATACTGTAAATAAATCAATCAATTTTAAGAAAAAGATGACCTTAATAAATGTAGGAAAATCGTATACTATTGTTGAGTCTATAAATCTCGTGAACAAATTATTATGTCGCAGTATATTCAAAGCGGAATCTCTCTTGCTTGCCATCGGTCGAGTTTTGTTCCGCTCAGGCATCATTCCCTTTTTCCAACAGTGTGTGGATCATTGACTAGCAGGACTAGCAGGACCCTCTCTGTCAGCCAACATTTCCCAAGAGTGGAAGCGCCAAATTAAAGTCAAACAACAATTTTTTTAAATTGATTTACATTTATTTTGTTCCTTTTTTGTATACTTTTCATTAAGTGTCGAGTGATGATCTTTTCTCATTATCATTCTATGATAAAATAAAAAATTAAACATAAACATAAGCGCAGTGTATAGCAATTATGTGTATACGGTCAGTCTGTCTAGTCCGTATAACAAATATTGAGAATACATATACAATATTGAACAATATTCGAACAGTGGGCGACATTTCCTGGCGGACACTCCTGCGGGGCCTTTGAAGCTTTGACGCTTTGACGGGGCTATCGTTTCAAGATCTTTCTCATGATGATGGTTGTTGGTTGAATGCATTTCGAAAGTTGTATAAAAATATATAAATACAAATACAAATACAGGTCTCGCGAGCAGTGTCCCGGAGCAAATGTCGCGCTTACACAATAGCCTGACATACCCAGTGATGCTACACAAAGGACTTATGTCTGTTATCGATCGTAATCGATTGTTCTTTTTAGTTTTTGTTGTTGTTGTTGTTGTTTGATGTTGATGTTGCTGTTATTTGGTTTTTGTTCTTTTGCCTAAGTGCATTTGGTTGTTGTTTGCCTCCCGTCGTTTTCGATATATATTTTGTTATAGTTTTATTATTTTTGTTTTTAAATTAAGAAATTAAATTAAAATCATAAACATAATCATTATGAAATATCATTTAAAATAAATTAAAAAATGAAATGGCATTTAGAATTCGTTTTCAGGGTTAAGGTCGAATCTTGGTGGGAAAGCCAATCCGTCGAATTGTGGCCGAACGGACGTCGCACGGGGCTAAGGAAGAGAAAGATAAATTCGAATTAGTTTTAAGCTCCAAATAAATGGTATTATTGAATCATGCTGAGGTTTGGGTGTGGGGTGGGGTGGCGTTGGCTGGACAAGTCTCCAAGTTGGACAAACTGATCGGGAGAGAACGAGAACGAACGAATCGCCTGCCAGCACGTTATGTAGTGGGCCGGCCGGAGGAGAGAGGAGAGTAATACAACAATTGTAGTGACGACTGTACGTAAGTGCGCTCGCCGAGCGAGTGTCATAACGGGGAAATGAACGAAGACGAGTAACGAGTATGAACGAGATAGCGCCTGACGAACGACGACAAAACGTAACGAATGAGATTGAACGTACGAACGAATGAGCGAGAGAGCACGTAATGAGCTGCGTCTGACTGTGGGAGGGTTTGTTGTGTGTATATTTTTTTTGGGTTTGGGAGTTTCGACACAACGAGAACAAGACAAGACGTGAACGAGCGAGAGAGAACGAGAACGAGAACGAACACGTCCCACTTACAAATGTTTCAAGAAAGTTTCTACTGCTCCAGCAGCGCGCCCCTTTGGCGGCCACCCTTGGACGCTGTCGGCTGCAGTACACATGTACAAATACATTTGATATTTTGTGTGTTTTAATAATATAGTGGAAGAATAATGTGTGCTTTTTCTTTTGTATATTTGTATGCAGAATGGTTGTAGAGTATAAGCAAAGTCGATTGATTAAGCTGCTTTTAACTATTTCTTGTTCTTTTCTTTTTTTGTAGCTTTTTCTTTCTTTTCTGTCAAAATGAACGCATTTTTGGTTGGTACGTGATTTGAGATTCGATGATCTTTCGATTGATCCTTTGCCTTTTTTCTGTGGTTGATTGATTTATTGGATTGGTTGGGTTCTGGTTGCCTCTAATTAGATATTTTCTCATCTAGCGAATGTCGTATGATGCATCTATATTATTATTTTAGTATTTATTTTATAATAATTCTTATAAGCTATAATTCTCTTTGCATGTTTTTGTTCTCTCATTATCGTAAATGAACCAATATTGGATCGCTATATAGAAATTTTT